AAAAAGAGTTGAAGTTAAAAATTAATACATTTTAACTTAACTAAGCTAAGTAAAAGTTATTAACTTTTAACTCTTAATTAATTAATTAATTAATTAATAATTATTACCCAAGCTGATTTTATGACATCGCGATGAAAAAACGCGAAAAAAAGTACGATATTATTTCAGTATCTACGATATATCTCACACAAATAGATGTAGGAGATAAATTTAGAAGAGAGAGTTAAATTGGTTAATTGAGAGATGAAAGCTGCTCTCGGAAATAATTATACAAACGAAACTTGTTATTGCGAGCACAAAAACCACACGTATTTTTGAATACAAAAAAAGATGTATATCGCGTTTTTTTCGAGAAACATATGATATGACACTCTAGTTGAGTCCCGCATAGAGAAAATAACAAAATCACGCGCTTGTAAACACGTGACACATGTCACTGAAAGCAAATCATTATGCAACCTTGTTGTCAATTTATGCAACATTGATAAACAAATAATATTTATATTTAAATATAAATCGCAATAAAATGATCGAATTTTTCTTCTGCCTTCTTCGTTTTTATTTATCTATGCATTATCTATCTATAATAATTCGCACATTCATTTATTCATTCATTTATTTAAAATAAAAATTAAAACAAAGAAAAACATTATAAATCATCATTAAATTTTGTTCAATTTTATTTATTAATATTTATTAAATATATATATATTAATTATATATTATATTAATTAATATATAAATATATTAATTACATATTATATATTATAATTCGCTAATAAATAAATAAAAATATATATATATATATATATATATATATATATATCATATTTATTAGCGAATTATTCATATCAAGAAATAAAACAATGCTCGCAGTTTGTATACATCTCTCCGCGTCAATGAATCTCGAAGGAATGCTGCGCAGCGGCGTGGGCCCTATTACGTCACTACGATCGAATGCGGCGCGGAGTGGGGGGAGCTCCATGAATGACGCACCAGGCAGAGGAGCGGAAGAGTGGGGGAAGGTCACGTGGCGCAATGAATGCGTGCTTGCGTATGGGGGGGGGGGGGGGAGAGAGGGTAAAGAGGACGCGGAAGTTATTACTCTGTGAACGTGCGTAGCGTACGGAATTAAAACAGAAAAATAATGATTATCTATTGATTTTTATATTAAAAAATAATTAATAAAATAAAATAATATATAATTAATAAATATTGAATTTCAATAATGATTCGTATAATTGTCATATTTTTCTCTATTAGAGGCTTCGATCGAAATTTCAATAAATGCTCATTTATTATCGGATAAATAAAGGTGCTCGAAACGAATATTTTTTTCGCGATAAAATTCACGTGAATTGCAAAAGAGATAAAAATTACATAATATCGTTGCGATAATTATTTGTGTCACAATTTCGAACTTGCGAATTTTAAATATATACTTTACTTATCTTCTCTTATATTATCATGTATTATGACACACATGAAATCGTCGAATTTAATGGTTGGAGTAATAAAAATTGCTTCGCATATCAATGAAAGGTCGCATAAGAATTATTTTGCACACACTGGATCTCAATGAAATGCGATACATTTGTTTACGTTTACAAACGCATCGCAAACGTGTTATCGTCCCATTTTTTTCGAAACGTGACATACATCGTTTCTGTATATTAAAAATTTTAATATTAAAATAATTGTGAATTTTATATATATTATATATATATATATATACAGGGTAGGCCATTTTAATCTTTCCACTAAAATTTCTCAAAATCCAAAAATTTAAGACAAAAATGTTTCAGATAAAAGTTGTATGGTTTCAAGGGGGACATGAGATGGTGTCATTGATTTGACCTTGAATAGCCATTTGAAGGTTACGTGAAGGTCAACTTCAATTTCTTAAATGGAACACTATATTTTTTCTTGCATACTTTTGTAGCTGACTTCGAGATCTTTCCAAAACACTACAATAAAATATTTTTCATGAAGTATTTTTCGAGTTATTAAGGCTGCAAATTTGCAGTATTTTGACATAAAATACAAAATATCTTGGGAAATATTCATTTTTCGATTATCATACCTTAATACTTTTATGCACAGAATAATGAGATAAATCAGTTGATGTAAAGAAAACACATAGTTACCTTTAAAAAAAAATATGAAAATTGCAATAAGCAGTTAGATAATTTTTCTTTAAGACAACTATGTGTTTTCTTTACACCAATTGATTCGTCTCATTATTCTGTGCATAAAAGTATTAAGGTATGATAATCGAAAAATGAATATTTCCCAAGATATTTTGTATTTTATGTCAAAATACTGCAAATTTGCAGCCTTAATAACTCGAAAAATACTTCATGAAAAATATTTTATTGTAGTGTTTTGGAAAGATCTCGAAGTCAGCTACAAAAGTATGCAAGAAAAAATATAGTGTTCCATTTAAGAAATTGAAGTTGACCTTTACGTAACCTTCAAATGGCTATTCAAGGTCAAATCAATGACACCATCTCATGTCCCCCTTGAAACCATACAACTTTTATCTGAAACATTTTTGTCTTAAATTTTTGGATTTTGAGAAATTTTAGTGGAAAGATTAAAATGGCCTACCCTGTATATATATATATATATATATATATATATATATATATAATAATATTAAAATAATTGTGTATTATATATAAATAATAATGTTAAAATATTTTATTATATGTGTACATCCAAATAATTATTTCATTTTCAAGAATGAATGTCATTTCGGAGAAAAGCGGAGCAATCATATTAAGAATAAATATAATTTATAATTTATTTAATTTTTCTTATCTGTTACCTGTCAAAATTAATTGCATTTATTTTCGCGATACATAAAATATACATTTAAATTAATAATATGCAAATTTTCTAGATTGTTATATGTTATATATTATATCTAGAAAAATAGTATGCATGTAAAAAATTATTGATTAAAGAAATATTTTGACACATGGAAATGTCTGAATAATTCATTAAAAATGTAAAAATAACTAAAGCGAAGAAATTGTCGCTATTTGTGTCATTTGTTATATGTATAAAATCGCTGTTGCATACATATTAATAATGATTATACATGAGCAACAAATTGTGATAGTAAAATCAAAAGAAAATAATTTTGTATAGATATTATTCCATAAAACTTACCCTTTATCAACAATGCTCGGATTCACTTGATGGATTTTTTCTTCCAAAATTTTTCTTTGCACTTTCGAAACTGCTTACTTGTAGATGACATTTAATTTGGAAAAAGTTTATTAATACGTGTGACACAAAATATACACTTGGAACACTATGGTCGTACGAAGTTTATCTAAAGAAACTGTGGAACTGTTCGCGCAAAGTGTATCTGAGGAAACTGTTAAACTATGGTCGCACGAAGTGTATATCTGAGGAAACTGTCAAACTGATGACCGTCACATATATATCATTTATACACATAATACGACTCCGTTACTTTTTCTCGGCATTTCCGATTATTATGCGATTATTTACAAACTAATATTCATCAAATTATAACCTCAAATCGTTAAAAATTTGTGACAAGTGACATAATTGTAAAGTATACAATTATAAAACTGTATCGATCACGCGATAATATATATTTAACTAATATTATGCAATGGATCGATTCCGCTTCTTTGACATTTATTTGACATTTCAGTCGCGATTAAATCTTGATTACACAAACACATTCAAAATAATCACATTATAAATAACCACAAGAATAATCTAATTACTAAACTTTTGTCAACTTCCGATTACTGTTAGGGCGCTGTGTGTCCGGATATGTCCGAGCATGAACTATGCAAATCAGATATGGCTGTCCCAAAGTGCATCGATCAATCAATGAAGCGCATCGTTTGGCGCGGTTTCTATAAATGCGACATTAAGGCATATGAATATGATCGCGTTCTATGAATAATTTATGGCATTTGATAACATTTGTAATTCAAATTTATAATCAAGAGTGTTACATATTAATATCAAATTAATAGATTTTGTTGTTATTTTAATATTATCATAATTATTAAAATACTTCAATCGTAAGAAATATTCTTAATTCTCATCTGTGTGTTACAATTTTGAAAAATAAATATTATTAAATATTTATAATATTATAAATATTAATTTAATAATCCTATATTAATATAATATATTTTTGTATATGGTTTACAAATTATAAAGAAATATCGAAAATTATAACAAAATAAAAATATGACAGTATATAATTTTAACAAATTTAAGAAATTATTAAACATATTAATAAAATAATAAATTTTTAGTGTAAAAATTCGCCTTTCTTGTTTCGTTTTTTCTTTCTAGTTATAAAAAATTTTGTTAAGTATCTGTCATATAATTTAACATCTATAAATATATATATAAAACATGTAATATTATAAAAATAAATAATAATTTATTGTATACTTTTTTAAATTAACAGTCATGATGTATGAATATCTAGACACGAATGCACCCAAGCAAACCCGAGTACCTTTTAAATGCTTACACGTTTTAATTGCGTCACATACATCTGCGCAGCTAAATTCAGCATAACAACGTGTCGCCGGTTTTTGTTATTCTGGAAAATTGATATCGATCTCGGGAGAATATCGAGATTTTTATAGATTGTCGCGTCTAAAAAATATATAGAATGAATAAGCTTGCGACGCGAACTGTCAAACGTCAAACGATAAAATAACACACATATATCGTGTTTATTTGACAAGTGTTATTATCCGAGATTTATCTGTGATCCATATCGTCGTTTATCCCCACTCGAATAAAGTTCATAATAATAATAATAATAAAGGATAAAGGGCACTAATAGTTTCTAATAAATTATGCATCGCGTTCGCTTGAACGATCTCACGATAAAATTACGGAGGGTGTCGAATCTGCAGCCGATCGTCGTCCATCGAAGGTTGATCGCCGGTCGAAATTCGCTGATTTACGGATCCGAGGTCGCGACAGCCCGAAAAAATGGCACGCCGATCGTGGCACTGGAGTCCACGATAATTACACACGGCATGCCGTACCCACATAATTTGAACACCGCGCTCAAAGTCGAAGACGCCGTCAGAAAGCAAGTTCGTATGTTTTAATTTTATTTTTGTAATATTTTTGTATTTCTTTTTAATTTAATCCAGCCATAGATGTCTAATAAAATATAAAAATTTAATATAAATATAATTATACGTATTATTTTATTTTTATTTTATGTATTCGATAGATATTATCAATGACATTTTTATTTAAATTAAATTTTAATATTTAAATTAATATTTTTAATATTTAAATTAATAGTTTTCATTTTGTTACACACACTGAGATTATCATTTGTACTAAAATATGCATATATATGATATAGATGATTATATAATGTATTATTTAAAGATCAATACATTTATCGATATATTTTTTTTTTAGAAATGTAAAACCATTCTCTTTAGAGAGAAATTGATGAGCCTTATTTATAGAATTATCTAATATTATTTATATATTACAACTAATGCGATTAAAATAAATTTAAATAATGAAATTGGCAAATTTTTATTTCAGGGTGTTGTTCCTGCGACCATAGGAATCTTAGAGGGGAAGGTGCACGTTGGCTTAAACAAGGAACAACTGGAAATCCTATCTAAAGCAGACTCTGCAAAGACTATTAAGTGTTCACGCAGGGATATCTGTTTCCTTGCATCGTGTGGATTAAATGGCGGCACAACAGTCAGTGCCACAATGTTGATTGCACACGCAGCAAATATTGCAATAATGGCAACAGGTGGTATTGGCGGGGTTCACAGAGGAGCCGAGATGACCTTTGACATCAGTACAGATTTGACTGAACTTGGACGTACACCGGTAGCAGTTGTCTGCTCAGGTGTTAAATCTATCTTAGACATTGGCAAGACCTTGGAATATTTGGTAGATACACGAAAATATATTTATCTTTATGTACAATACTTATTAATATGCTTGCTGTTTTCTTTCCAGAAATTGACATAGAAATGGCTTTTATGCTCGCAGGAAACTCAAGGGATACCAGTGATAAAAATTGGCGAATCGCCAGAATTTCCAGCTTTTTATTGCTCCGAGACGTTGGATAAAATAAAAGCACCTTGCAGAGTTTCTAATGCCAAGGAAGCAGCTAATATTGTGAAGATGCAAAGACTACTGGACATTAATACAGGGATATTATTTGCAGTATCGATTCCCGAAAAATATACATTGAAGCCTGATATTGTAGATTCTGCTATATCTGAAGCTTTAGAAAGAGCCAGTGCCATGCATATAACAGGCAAGCAAGTTACACCATACCTTCTAGATGAACTCAACAAGCTCACACATGGTCAATCCCTTGAAGCAAGTGAGTAAGCAGAAGCCAACAGATGGCAACGTGAAAGAAATATGATAAATATTCTTATGCACATTTAACACTTGCATTTTTTTACAGATATGGCTCTTATAGAAAATAATGCTACGGTAGCAGCTGAAGTAGCCTTGAATCTCTCCGAAGGATCTTCAACATCCTACCTAGGACCTGCACCAGAACGATCGATTATATCAAAGCAAAAACCGGTAAGTGAGGGAGAGAAAAGCGTTTTCTAGAAGAAACTCGACGCTCGATGTTGCAATATTATTTACCGACGTGTCTTATCAAGGCATATCGTATTCAAGGCTAACGCAATAATAATATGTATACCATTCCACTATCTCTACCGATAGCAGTGCTTAAAAATATACTTATACCGAAACGTCTTTTATTCAGGTAGTAGTTGGTGGGGCTGTTTTGGATACTGTCGTGCAAGTGCAGGACCCGAAAATAAATGTAAGTCAATAACGTCACAATCCAAATTATACTAAATAACCAATTTTTTTCTTATATTCGTATTACATAATATAGTTGTAGAACAGTAACAGTATTTATATACAATTACCACCATATTCTTTTTTTTTCTTTTTATGTACACTTAATATAATATCAAATAATGGGAACTCTCGCATATTTATATATGTATATATAGAATAGGGGGAAGAGTACGGTGTATGTATGTTTAACAAACGCTTTATAGAATAGCAAACCTATGAGATAAGGCCGTTGCAATAATAATTGGCGGCGTATCTCTATGACTTAATTAAATACAGACGCAAGCTTGGTTGATACGATACTTTACGAAAGGTTCATCAACGTAAACGCGCTATTGAGCTCGATTTGTAACACTACGTGTATTCATTATTCTTAGTGTTTGTCCATTTTTTTTTCACTAAAACAGTCTTCACAGATACACTTTGTTTCGTCTTTATACAATATTAAAGTAATCAAAGCTTTTTTTATTTTTTTTTTTTTTTAATGTGCATACTTCCAATATCGCGCTACAATCACTCTATGAAATATCTCTCATTTGTGGCGTTAAACGCACAGAGGAAACCGGATCGATTGGTCCAGAACTCAAGATGTGGTCGAGTGACGCAAATTTCAATCTTCAAATCAAAACATATATTATTTATTATATAATGTGTCAAAGAACAGCATTTATTAGATACTAGAAAAGGTGATGCACAAAATGTACCATGTAAATTTTTATTAATTTTTTTTCATAGAAGATGACATTTTTCCATTAATTGATCGGGAACCTTCGACGTGCAACGCCACAAATGACTAATTATTCGACCATACCTAGTTGTTTGAGATATAATAATAAATTGGGTCTTAAGCAGGCACTATTCAAAGCTCCCTGTCACGTTCACTCTTCTTCAATTTATATATTACATTTAGATACCAATCTGTTTTACAAATCACTACGCTCGTTTGAACTTTGAAGTTTTACCCAGGTAACAAGCTTACGTCGTTTCGACGTCATTAGGCGTCCAATGACGTCAGTTTGCTACTTGGGTTCTTGCAGTATGGTTGTATAACACGAGGATATACATATATATATCGTCCGAATAAAATATGACATCCGAATAAAATATAACATTTTTGTTGTTCGAACGTATTTTTTTAATTCGACTAATTAATTAAAAAACGATTAATCTCTATCTCTCTTTGTATATAACACCTTTATATACACTTAGTGGCAGAGGCTGCGTGTCTGCGAGGTGTAAGCTTTTTTTTGACGTTATTATTAGTTTTTATTACATTCAACGATAATTCGATGGTCTGATTAAGAAAGAATGATCGTCAGTGAATTTCTCTCTCTCTCTTTCTCTCTCTGGAAAGGGATCGATTTTACATCTCATTGCCGCATAAAATATTTCACATTTCGCTAATAGTGGCCTAAGAATAGTTCAGGCGATCTTTCGTGATTAATATAATTACCCTGTTGTCCAGACTAGTGTAATTATATACTTGGGGGTGTGTGAAACATCAGGATTTTCGCGATTTACACATAAATCCAACTGCGACAGACAGATTATAGTAACGTAAGATGACAGAAGAGACGCGAATGGCTTGGAACAGTTAACAACAGATATAAGATGTCTCGGTTTTTCCTTAAGCAGACAATCGACACGTAGTTATTATCTCTATTGTATGTCGATATATACAACCTATATACTCTCTAGTTCTCGCCCTCTTTTCCTCTCTCTATACATATATATATTTCTTATCATTGCATCCTCATTAAGTGTATAACCCTAAGATTCCTTTATAAGCCTAGCTAGGAAGCCAATTATTTCGAGTGTGTTACCCTATATGTCTTTATTGTTTATAAGATGGATCTCCATTATTGAGGCAAAACAGGCCAAAAAGAAATTGACAAGCTGGAAATGATGTAATATTTTTGCGTTCCACGTTTTATTTCAGCCCAATAATGATGGTCCAGTTACAAGGAACAAATCGGTACAAGCTACTTGCGTGACGCGTATTTTTTTTCAAATGCATACAGGGTGTCTGACATAAGGTCACACCAAAAATATACAGATCTTGTTGATTTGGAGACAATTTTTCCTCAGCAAAAATATTGAGGCATCAATAATTTTCGAGTTACAAGCGAAAATAAAGGGTTTTTCACAATCTAGCCTTGTGAAAATAAAATATTAACAAAATCACATTCTCCAATTAATTTCAAGTAAACTTTACTTTGATAAAATTATAATTTAAGGTTTAGTTATAAAGATACATTATGGCAAACATTGGGAACATGCAAAAAATGATGGCTGAAGAAAAATCGTCTCCAAATAAGGAGATCTACTTGTATATTTTCGGTGTGACATTTTATTTTCAGATACCCTATATATACATATATATGTATGTAAAAGCAATTAGAAATCGTTTAATCGTCACATATATTGGAAATATTTCTCTGTTTTATATTTATTAACGAAGAAACGAATTCTCCTTGTTCAAGGTTCACTCAAGTAGAATAAAGAACAGCCACTTTACATCGGAGAATAGGGGAGGAGGGAATCAATTTGGCAGTATATCTCACAATATATTCTCTCGTAACTATCGTAATTATCCCCAGAAGTTTGTTGAGAATCGTGAAGCTTCACGAGGAGATATTTTATATATATATATATATATATAAATACACGTATCTAGCAACGTGATTCAATAATTCATCAGTGGTGGGCAACGTTCCCGGGAAGAGCGCAGTTACCTTGTCTGAGCAGACATACACACAGGTTGTCTGCATTATTAAAGAGAAACGAATGCGTGGGGAAAAAAATGTACAGCCCCTAGTTTCTTCTCGAGCAACGAAAGTTGCCGAGGAGTTCTCGGATTGAAAGTTTTTCTCTTGCAGTTCCCACGATGACGATTGACGTCGATTAACTGAATTTTTTTCTACAAATGTTTTTTTCTTCTTCCATGTGTTATTTTCTTTTATATATTATTTAGCCCCAGCAAAACAATCGCGAATTCGAAAGATCTCAAGTATAGCAAATTAACATCTAATGACGTCATTCAACATCCAAATAACATATACACTTGCTACGTGGGGTATTTTTCTCAAGAATATCTGAAAGATCTTTCACTTTGTGTGTATAAAATAGAGAAAAGGGGAATGGAACTGTATCTGGTTAGACTGTTAAGATAACGCGTTTATATGTCCTATAGATAGGATCGAAATTTAGAAGATATCCGATTACTAACTTGGAATTTAATTAATTCACAGAAATGTCGACCCGAAATGGAAATCCAAGCGGCAACGAGTGATCTTGATGTGCCATTTGTTAAATGACGATAGTTACTATGTGATATACCACCAGCATGATTCGTGTGACTTAAGATTCCTGGCTCCTCATCGACCATGTTGGAATTGTGACGTCAGAGGTGAGAAGACACAAATAAAAAGATATTTCGATGAAACAGTACTTCAGATGGCTCTAGCATGCTCTTATAATACCACGCTAAAATACCTTGAAAATTCTTTTCCCTTTATAATCAATCAATAGTCATTATACGTCAAAATGACGTTATTAAACATCAAAATGACGTCATTTGCTACTTGGGTCATTTTATTGATCGACTATCAAGGGAAAAAAAATAGTTTTCCAGATATTTTAAAAGTCATCTGAAGTAGTGTTTCATTTAAAAATGACACTAAGAATTTTTAGCGTGTACTTTTTCGCCTCTGACGTCACAATCTAACATGGCCGCGACAAGGCCTCCAGCAGCCTTAAACTTTTCGCATGAGAAACGACACACGATGAACGATATTCGGTATACATTGATGACGATACACGATCGATGACGCTTTACTCGGATGGGAAGCGTATTAAGAAGGGTCTTACGAGGCTAAAAATAAATCTACAAAAGTGGTATAGTCACACCGACCGCGAGGACGGAAGGACATGCATATACATATTATAAGGTGTACACTTGCGAAGAGAGTTCAGAGCAGTTGATGAGCGCAAACCCGCGAATGTATATAAATATATATATATATATAATAATATAATTCCGAACGCACACAAACTACACGAAGCTAAAGCTCACGATTAGTGGGGGAAAAAATGGGTGTATAAAAAGTTAGGAGAGAGAGTAAAGAAAAAGAAAAGTAGCTCTCTAACATCGGTCATTTAAAATTAGTATACGTACCTACCCTTTATAACTCTCGACGTCGACGATGAATAAAATTAGCATACGACTGCTAGAGAGAGAATACCGTAAATAGAACTGTTCTTCGACCGGTTCCTTCACTAATGGAACTATAGGTGTGTAAGAGGTTTGCTCTCGTGAGTCGCTCGTTTAAGGAATCGTAGGGCAATGACGTTTTCCGAATCTCATTTTTCGAGGCAATCTTGGTTAAAACGAACAAACTTCCCTTCGCGAGTTTCGCCTTACAAAAAACCGGAGATTACAATAATACTCTCGCTACTGTTGTACGTGTATACACTTGTGTTTTGATTTGGTCTTTCGTTAATGTATATAATAATTCGCCACCGTGATATCGATATTCGTGAATGCTCTCCTTGGTCTCTCGTGTGTTCTCAGCGTTCAACGCCAACGTCGTCATCATGGTCTCTTTCCTAGTGTCACACTGTGTTAAGCGCACACTTGAAGGTAAAAGGGGACAAGCTATAATAGGAGATAAGTTTTGCAGTGGTTGCCAACCCATTCACTCCCGGCCGATCCAAACGACGACGACGACGACGACGATAGCGTTTCCTCTATCTACCTCCATCTGTTGGACTCGCGCCAGCCAGTAGCTCTCCATATGTGTTTGTGAGAATATGTTTTACTTTCTCTTGAAGAAAGAAACTAAAACGCCCGAGGGAGAATACGTTGCGTTGGTTTGTTTGTTTGTTTGTTTTTTATTTGTACAGCGGTATCTCGGCGTGTCGCCGATTGCTGCTCCTGTACAAAAACCGATTCGAGGTGTTTCGCCACCATCTCCATAGTCAGGTACGCCTGCTCTGACTGCTGGTCACCGTGACGCCCGTGCCCGGGCTGGCGCCGTTCGACAGCAGCAATCTGCGATTGAACTCGCGCATCTCGTAGTTGTTGTTGCCGTTGCTCTTCTCGCGGCCGCCTCCGCCGCCGCCTGTCCCGGTCGCGCAACTGTTGTTGTGGTTGTTGGCCGAGGTGGGCGTCGACTCTTCGAGTATCAGCGCGCAATGGCTGTTGGTGTCGCTGTCGGCCCCGCCGTCCTGCAGATTGTTCGCCAGCAACGGGTGCCGACCCGCGTTGCACTCGTCAGCCGACTGCAGCAGCAGCGACGCGTTGCCTGGAAAAGGCGTAGGCGACGTTTTATTCCCCGAATTAGAAGAGGAGAATGAGGACCCTGTCTAGCGTCTCGCGCGCGTGTCTTCTTCCTCCTTTTGATATATGTACTTGGCGCGAGACGCTACCGAGAGTCTCCCTGCCAAGTACATATATACCGATTAAGAGCGCCATTAATCTTCCTCCGCCTCTCTGTTCTGTTATAGATATAGCAATGCTTAGGTATGTCAAAGTTGCGGGATTTTGCGTCACACGCGGTCGTCTATCGGTGCACCAGACATTGGGATTCCGCTTGGACAGCTTCATCGTCATTAGCGACTTCATCGTTAGCTTCATCGATAACTTCTGAAATCGTCGAGATCGAGCGACTCTGCGACCTTAGAAGTGTGCTTTCGCAGATGAGTAGTGTAGAAAAGCGAAACTTACCGGAAGGCGGGACTGCATTTGGTAATGTTGTGCGTCTGACGATGCTGCCGTTATTGGCGGTTTCCGGCAGCACCTGGGAGAAGGGCGGTTGCGCGAACGGCGTGGCTGGCGGCGGCGGTTCCCTCAGCAGGCGTATCTTCTGTATCATCTCCCGTATCTCGTAGCGCAGGATCCCGAGGAAACAGAGCTTGGCGAAGGCGATTACGCAGAAACCCAGAACGAACAACAGATCCGCCGTCTTTCTCAGCCAGCGTACGAGGGTCTCCTCGCAGCCGCGCCCGTACGGAGTCTGGCAGGACTCGCTCGCGTTCACGCTCGGTCCGCAACAGGTCTGCGGCCAGCGATTCGAAAAGTCCTTGGGCCCGGTCACCCCGCAGCACATGAACTCACGCTGAAGTCGGTCCCACTGTTCGCTGAATCGTGGCTCCTTACCGTAGTCTACCTGCAGGCAGACCAAAAAGCATTATATCACAATATTATGATAATCCAATAGCGCTGTGAGCCTTTCCAGATGGCAAGCCTACGTCATTTTCACGTCAAATGACGTCAGTTTCATCGACGAGAGATCATCATCATTAGATCATGATAATCCAATATGCCTTGGCGCTGTGAGTCTTCTCAGGTAGCGAGCGCACATTATTTTGACCTCGAATTATATCATTTTGACGTCAAATGACGTCCTTTTGACGTTTAATGACGTCAGTTCCGTCGACGAGAAATCATCATCGTAATATTACAATAATCCAATATTCCAAGTAGCAAACTGACGCCATTCACATCAAAATGGTGTCATTTTGACGTCATTTTGGCATTTAATGACGTCAGTTTGCTATATAGCTTGGTCACATCGAGGACAGAAACCGAGACTATATACGCACCTGCAAACGCAGCCTGAGGGTGGGCCTGAGATCGCTGCGCATCTTCTCGAACCGGAAGATCCAGGCGACGCCGACGACGGCGTCGCCGAACAGCAGCACCAGGAGTAATATCCAGTAGAAGTGCAGTAATCGCGCGCTGAGTCGTCTGGCGGCGATGCAGCCGAGCAATTGAACCAGGCCCAACTGGGCGGCCAGTGCCAGATAGCCGTAGAGCGCGGTAGGGTCGTAGACGCGAGGTACGCCCGGGACCAAGTAGCGACGCGGGTCGCCGGTGAAGAGGAGGGTCTGCGACACCGCGGCGGCGAAGCCGACCGCGCTACCGAGCAACACCAGGTTACAGGCGTAGATCCAGAGACGGTAATATCGCATCGCGACGTCCTGACCACCGCCGGCGAGTCGTGGAGACGTCACCGACGACGGCGCCTCGTCGGCGACGTAATCGCGGCCGCTGCTGCTCCTCCGGGTGCCGCCCCTCTTGAAGACGTTATTATTGTTGATATTGTTATTGTTATTGTTGTTATTGTTATTGTTATTATTATTATTGTTATTGTTGTTTGTAGTGGTCGTGGTGTTGGTGTCCGTCGAGTGGCGATGCTCCTCGCGGTCGTCTAGTAGAAAGAGAAAGGGCGGCTTCGCGCTGCAGTCCTTCGTCGCTGTCTTTTGGCTGTGCGTCGACTGCGGGGTGACTGAACGTTGCAGCAGCATCACCGTCATACTATCGTGCCACCCTGGTGTGCGTGTCCTCGTCGTAAGGATTGTTGTGTGTACCCCCGCGAGAATGCACGGAGGGGATGATCGAGTGGGAGAGACGGGCCAGCGCACCTCGTTGCAACCCCCGTTTTTACTGGGTGGCCGTCGTCGCCGTTGCGGTAGGACTCTACGCGAGGGGAGAAGGTGAAGAAGGAGCTTGCTGCAGAAGGTGGAGGAGGAGGCGGCCGATCCTCTACTCGAAACCGGCGCGAATCACGCGATGCACGACGTTGTGCTGCATCGCCGCACCGGAAGGTCGTTCGCGGTGGCTCTCATGGCTCTCTTGGCTCCTCCTCTTCGTGTCGTCACCCGCCGTCCTGAACGACTTCCGGCAGACTCCGGAAGTGGATGATCCTCCTGCGGAAAGAAGAGTTTAGAATCTATGTCTAGGATTATCTACGGAATAGATTTAGAATTCTATTTTTTTTTCTTTTTTTTTTTAGATGTTTAGATTTTTAATTTGCGTAAAGTTCAGGCTCTCCCGCCTCCATCCGCTCTGACAACGACACATGAAATTCAACGTGCGTATACGTTCGAAGTGGAAAAGCCAGGAGGTGGGAGAAGGCTAGCGTGTGCCTCGGTGGATTGTATTTCTTTCTGACAGTTGTAGCGTGCGATAGGCGATTCTATTTATCGATTTTCCGCTAGCTAGCTAGCTCTATGTAGCTCCTCCGAGGAGGGACAGAGATAAATTGTGCGAGATAGAGAGAGGATATGCGCCTGACTGAGTGTATCGTATTCGAGGAATCGAACGAGAAAGAAGCCAGAAAGAGTAACACGTCTGGTAGTTTGCGAAAGAAGAGATGTACAATTACACAAAAAAAGACAGAGATTCGGAGAGAGACCACTTTACTAAACTCTAACAAGGAAACGATAAAAATATATGAAAAGACATAATTAAAATACACGAAACAGAAGATGAAGAAATTACTTTTTCCGAACACGTGTGTAAATATAATAGCCTATTAAAAGAAATATATATATATATTTTTTTTTTAAATATATATTAAGTATAAATATAATTTTTTATTAATTATATTTATATTATTATATATTTATATTACTAATTATATTTTTTAAATATATATTAAATGTAAATTTATTGTTTGAATGTAATATTTAATGTTATTATTTATTTAATATGTAATATATATTATGTTGAAAAATTAGACCAACAATCTTTGAAGAGAAGAAAAGTAATTCAAAATGAACATTTGTTGCAAATACTAATTTTCTTTACGATGTTTAGTTTAACGCTACATATGGTATGGAAGTTTGTAAATTTTGAATTTATCATCCTTGTGTAATGGAGGAATTTTTGAACATATATACTGTAAAAGAGTGAATCACTTTTATGTATATGTTCCTTGTTTTGCGCAAGATTGAAACACAATTTAATTCCTCTGTTCATATATGTTTGTTTGGTGTTTAAATCGTAAACTCTTATACCATGTGGTATTAAAACTAAAAACGTTCTAGAGAAAAATAATATCAACAAAAATCTTTATTCTGATGTCTTCTATTTTCCTTTATTTGTCGGTCTAATTTTTCAATACCCTGTATAATAAATATTTATATATATAATTATATAACAATATATATATATATATATATATATATAAAATATATAATAATATATATAATATATAATTAATAACAAAAATATATTATTAATATAAGTATTAATTATACATATTAACGTTTATAAATATTAATTTATGAAATGTATATATATTAATAGTCTATTATATTTAAAACCAATAGATCTCTTGAATGAGAAGAGAGAACGATCTCGGTAGAGACTCGCAGTACGAGCAGAGATAGAGGTGTCTTCGTCAGGATCGCAGCAGGACGACCGACGGAGAAGAGGAACTTGGACATGACCGAGGCGATGCGCCAAAGCGTTTCCACGCATCGGCACTCGGCTGTGGTTGCATGTAGGCCGCTCTGCCACGAGTATATGCTGGTGACGCATTGTAATGAAAACACGGAAGAGCGAGTAAGGGCCCATCGATCGTTTTAAACCCTGCGCGCGCTCTACACCGCTACGCGGACGGCCACCAACGAGGATATATATATATATCTATATATCTATATACGTATATATAGAAGCGAAAGCTAGAAAGAGAGAGAACCGGAGAAGGCGCGTTACCTTCTTCTCGTCCACGAGGAAACGATCCTCGGCGTCTCTCGGGGCGAGCAGTCAACGTCCTGGCCGGCGTCCAGTTACTTTGCCTGCTTTACATAATTCCGCGAAGGAGGAGAAAAAAAAATAGAAAAAAAGAGAGAAGAGAGTCACGCGCGGATCGATGTCGCACGCGATGCCGCGTGCGATCTTTCCCCGATGCCGGATGCCGGAGAGAGCGAGGGTGGACGGAGTGGGATAAAAAGGATTATCGGGTGGCCTTTAATTAGATATCGATATACGAGAGAGATGACATGTCTCTCCCGCGGTTGGAGAGAGAAGAAGACGAAGAAGAAGAAGAAGAGGAGGAGGCGCGAAAAGCCAGAGGGAAAAAGGACGACGAGGAGAAACGCGCGCATGTACACATACATAGGCACCACCGAGGGTTGGAAGAAGGTGGTAATGGATGTAGGGAGGGAACGCGGCGTTATGCAATCTTTCTCCCGAAGGAATTTATCTGTCCCTCGCATAATCCGCTAATCACCGTTACGTGGAAGTCGAGGACACTCGTCTCCACGAGCGATGCATCCTAGGGCTTCCAAGGCTCTCCCCCGCGAAATGTCTCTCTCTTTCTTTTTGCTACAACCTGCTCGAAGGAAGGACGAAGGAGGGACGGGTTATTTCATGACAGCCTTCTTCGCGTTTCAACCCTCCGGCTGATTCGAGCCATTAAGATACCTCTGAAACCTCGTCGAGACGGTGAAAGGCACGCGCGATGTGTCTTTTCAGAAGACACCGAGTGTCTCTGATCCGAAAGATCCTTCTGTCCTCGGGGAAGATTGTCCTGCCATCGGAGAGAGTCCTCTTCCTCCCCAGGAAGCCGTTCCGTTCGATGGCTCCGACGGTCTTCTCTCGTATAATATAACTTTCACGTAAAACACACGAGAAAAAAAGACCCGAATCTCATCAAGTTCTCTGGTATAATTTCACAGACTCCGGGAGCGCGCCTTCTACGACGTAGAATCGGCACCTACGTGCCGCAACGTAGGCGAGCAACAACCGGGAAGTAGCGTCGTCGTCGTCGTCAGTCGGGACGACCGTACGGCGGTCTGGGCGTGCAGGAGGAACGCGAACGTCGTCGTCGTCGGCGTCGTCTTCGTCCAGGTGTCGTCCGCAGCGCTACTTCCACGGGCATCGCCGCGAGAGTCCCCGGCAACGTCGTCCACGTCGCTCATGCCCGGAGTCACCCTCTTATCGACGTCTTCATGGCTCCACGACCGCTCTCTCACCACGTCGTCGACGTGGACCTTCGTCCTAGACTCTCCTCCGGCGGCAGTCACCTGGTTGACAGCGGTCGATCCGCCGCAGTCACCTGATCGCGACCCACCGTCCACCTTGATCGACAACTGCTCGCCAAGGCCAGCCTTAGCGCGCTTGGTACGACGCTGCCTCGAGCGCTGATCACTCACTGCCACGAATCACGTAGAGTCGAGAGCCTCTGAGCGAGCGAGCGAGCGTCGCGACGCCGCGGCTACGATGATGCTTCAGCGCATGAGACAATATTATGCGTTGTCCCTCTCTCTAGCTCCGTCCAGCTGGCTATCTGTCTATCTACTCAACTGGCTGGCTCTGGCTATCTATATCGTGCGCCTCTTTCTATCTTCTCCTCGTCGTCTCGACGACGCGGCGCCGAGGATACGCCAACCGGGAGGAGGGTAGTTATGGCCAGCGCCCGAGATAGGCAACCGGACTGGCGGCGAACGACGAAGCGAGACTCGGGGGAGGCGCCGTCGCTCGAGAAGTGGGTTGTTATAGAGGAAAGAGGATTTTATTTTTGCAAGGGCGGACGATCGCGCCTTAGGGAATGGTTCGGTCTTTCAGATAGAGACCGTTGTCAATAAAAAGGGAGTCCATGAGACTCGCTTAGCTGTAGACATGGAAATTGGATCATCTCCGTGGAATATAGTGGGTTTGATCGATGAGGGTTGTTTGCCAGGGGTGCGCGGACCTTCAACTACAACGTTGGGTATATAGAAATAGAGTTGGGATGGAAGACGTGGAGGGGGATGCGAATGTCTCCGGAGAGAGAGAGAAAGAGAGAATGGGTATACGTATGCATCAGATATACACTGTGATGTAGAAAAATGGGGTGAAGAGTAAACACAATTTAGACACCAGGGGTGGGGTAGGTTCTCGCGATGTCTGTCTTAAGTACCTGCTCTCAGCCATAGTTACACCAAAGTGAAGGTGTAATTAAATCATTGCAAACTATAAAGAGATGCGCCTCTTCCAAGTCAGGGATTTTTTCAAGGTCTTACTTTTTTTTTTTTTTTTTTTTTTTAAGCTTCTGTGTGAAAAATATAGCAACTCCAAGATGAAAAAATTATAATTATTTATAATCGAAGTCGTGTCAATTTTGAATGATCCTGAAGAGAGAATCATCATTTTCAAAACACATGCTGGACAAAGCATCTTTTCCAAATCAGAGATTTTTTCAAGGTCTTATTTTTAGCTCCTCTTCTATGTGAAAAATACGGCAACTCCAAGATGAAAAAATTATTATTTATTTATAATCGAAACCATGTCAGTTCTGAATGATCCTGAAGAGAGAATCATCATTTTCAGTATGATGGCATCAGAAAAGCACCTCTTCCAAATTAGGGATTTTCTCAGTCTTATTTTTAGCTTGTCTTCTATGTGAAAAATATGACAACTCTAAGATGAAAAATTATAATTGTTTATAATCGGATCTATGTCAATTCAAAATGATCCTGAAGAGAATCATTATTTTCAGTACAATAGTAGAATACATGCTGGACCTCTTCCAAATCAGGGATTTTCTCAAAGTCTTATTTTTAGCTTGTCTTCTATGTGAAAAATATGACAACTCTAAGATGAAAAATTATAATTGTTTATAATCGAAGCTATGTCAATTCAGAATGATCCTGAAGAGAGAATCATCATTTTCAGCACGATGGCAGAACGCATGCTGGACAAAGCAGACAAAGCTGCGGCGGGGTTGCTCGAAACGTAGCCGATGCCTTGATCAAGCTCGGTTTGGAGAACACGAGGCTGGTATCCGTCGTCGGCCTGGACGACCTTGGAAAGGTCATCCTCGAGAGTCTGGGAAACGGCGGGGAAACTGTGAAACGAGTGTCGGACATCAACACCGCCAGGTACGAATTCTAATCTCTCGCCACATCTCTTTTGCTAGTTGTTGATGAATTCAGCCTGGAAAGGTGTTTAACAATTCTGCTGATATGTTATCAGGTTCACGGTGATAGTGGACGTCGACGGTGAATGCCATTTCTGCGTCAGCGAAATGGAATCCTTCAACGAGATCGACCCGGAGTTGATAGAAGAATGTCGCTCGCACCTCGAAGAAGCTAGTTTTATCGTTCTCGATGGAAACCCAGGACCGGACACCATGCGATGCGTCCTGGACATCGCGTCGCAAGCCAACATCCCGGGTGAGTGAAAACTTGTGCAATTTGCCGTCACTTCATTCACGCAAAATGGTATTTCCTTTTTTTTTATTTTTTTTTATTATTATCTTACATGTATTTGTAAGAGTGTTATGTATCATTCCAACTCTTTTGTACAAAAGTATTGTTTATATATATAAAATATATATACGTAAAAAAATGGTGAGATAAATACAACTTATCAGAGTACGTGAGTATAACAATGGACGGATATTTTGCTCACGTATAAGCGAAATAATTAAAAAGAAATTGAACACAAGTTAATAATTAGATTGAGATTAGCTGAGGATCTCGACGCGCTTATTTTTTATGGAATTTTTAAACAAATCTAGCTAAAAATATATTGTTTAAATATATAATTGGACGGATTAAAGTTATATTTAGATATGTAAAATTTTATTTAAGGCTCTTCTGGCTCCTCGCCGACGATGTTGGAATTGTGACGTCAGACGAGCTGAAAATTTTTAGATACTATTTCGAAATAAAAAAATATTTCGATGAAAAGCCCCATATAGCAAAAGTAGTCATTTTGCCATCAAAATGATGTCATAATAACTACTGTGGCTACTTGGGGCCATTTGAAATAGTGTTTCATCGCAATATCTCTTCATTTAAAAGTGGCATGTGCTTTTTCGCCTCTGACGTCACAATCTAATATAGCCACGGCGAGAATCCAGGAGCCTTAAGAGAATTAAATCTCTCGCGCTTGCTTGGTTCAGCAGCGATGAAAGTTTTCTATTACACGTATCCGCTTCGTGAAGGCGGCCCGTGATGAGACTGAGGGTTCGGTTGCATCTGCATTACCAGATTGCGAGATTCCTTGCGCAATCTGTAACCGGTCCGCGCGTCTAGATACAAAAAGAACGCGGCGAATGAGTGCAGGAAGAATGATATAACCGCGAGAGCGTAGGACCACGACAGGTGATTGAAGTTCGGATACATCAGCCAATCTCGACGCCAGCACTGTCCACCGAATATGGATACCGCTAAGAAGAGGAGCACACCTGAGAAATTAAAGAACATCAATTAAAGTCTGATCTACCTCTTCCAGCTTTGAGATAAAAGCTCCTCGGCAACTTACCAGCAACTGCGTTGCATACGAATGCGACAGATGACAGGATCCATTCGTAATGTAGAACAAATCTCAATGGCCAGCGTATCCAGATCAGGCTTATCACGATGAAAGCGAACAGGGACAGTAGCAGAGCCAGGGTGACGAATGCTTGCACGATCATGAGCCATACCGGCAGCAGCCACACTCTTATGACATAATATTCTTGCGAGAAGATATGATGGCAGCCATCAAATTCCTTGTCAAATGGGTAATAGGGATAGTGGAATTGCTGGAAGCAGTATTCCCAGAGTCCCATGTGCTTGAAGTCGCTGAAGGTCTCCTGGTACGATTCTATCCAGTACGGACTGGAAATTATTGAAAGGATCAATAAATAACACTGCTTCACAATCTTACTTGCACAAGAAGAATAACTTGAACAAGTTTAAAAACGATGCAAAATTGTTAATGATTCTAACTTGAACTGGAAATTATTAAGGATCGACTGCAAACTTGTTAATGAAAATAATTGATTCTATCCAGTTTGAACTGGAAATTATTGAAAGGATCAGGAACACTGCTTCACAATCTTACTTGCACAAGAAGGAATAACTTGAACAAGTTAAAAGACAATGCAAAATTGTTATTAATAATGATTCTATCCAGTACAAACTGGAAATTATTGAAAGGATCAGTAACACTGCTTCGCAATCTTAAATAACTTGAAGAAATAACTTGAATAAGTTAAAAGACGATGAAAAATTGTTATTTAATAAGTACACTTACCTTATAAAGGCCATCATTAAGAAAAATAGAGCGACGAAGGTGAGTCCTCCGCCGAAAACCACGGCGTCTATCAATAAAATCAAAAGCAATATTAGTACAGAATACTCAGAATTAAATACTTCATTAATTTAAGATCATTTTGATCAATTACTCACTGGACGCCCTGTGATAATCATGTTTATCCACCGACATGGTGGAACTCTCGGTGGACAGAGACTGACGACAAGTCGATGGGCTCAAATTATTTGTTCTTTGACAATTATTGTGTTTTCCTTTCGTTACTCCTCTTTTCTATAGAAACACTCGCCACACCTTGCATCGCGCTAGTGCTGCCATTTTTATCACACTACGCTATTGAAACTTCTTACAACAGATGATAATATAGTCATTTTGAAATTATAAAGGCAGTATTATCATCTGTTAATAAAAGAAAAAATTATATATATATATATAAAGTAGAATAATTATTATAATTACTGTGTAAATTTTATAGAATTTTTATTTATATAATATTACTACAATTTATGTATATAAAAATTCTATAAACTATATAAAATTATAATAATTGTTATAATTAATTATTATGTGTAAATTTTATAAAATTTTTATTTATATATATTCTTATATATTATACATTATTATAATATTACTACAATTTATATGTATCAAAGTTCTATAACTCACATGAAATTATAATAATTGTTATAATTAATTATTATGTGTAAATTTTATAGAATTTTTGTACACATAAATTTGCAGTTTCACATCAAGAGATAATTTAATTGAATTCAGGATATATAAGTTAAAGTGAAATCTGTAGGACGTATATAAAAATAAAACGTTTGTATATTAAAACTTTTATTTGACAAAGGACGGAGTACAAAATTTATTTAAATTTCTGAGTTTGTTATATTGAAAAAATCAATTTCATTGAGTGTGTATACGCAATTAGAGAATGTAAAACTACATTGTGCATATACATTTTGTGCATAAAGATTAACGATGATGTATAAAGATAATATTCAAGATGTTTTATAATTTGCTCTTCTGAAAAATTTATGAAAAACTAAGTAATAAAAATGACTACGCAATCACTAACAAAATGGATAGACAATTTTTTTTATTACAACCTATAATCGTTTAAACTTTAAATACTTCTATATCTTACTAAAAAATTGTCACTTGGAATAAAAAAATTGCGCGGAAACTTTTATTACTCAGCTTTTCAAGAGTTTTCTTTCTGCGTAATATTTTGTGAGAGATGCGAGTTATAAAACATCCTAAATATATACTTATATTATTGCTAATGCCATTATATAATCATCTCATATTATATATATATATATAATATAAAGAGAAAGTTATAAAATATCATACAAAAATATTAAACTTATATACTTTAGTCTAGACTTAAAATATAAATGTTTTGCTTTTGTACATTCTACAGAAAGAGATTCTTCTACTATAGTTTTGCATCTTGGACGGAATGAATATTAAAATTTTAATACAGATATATACGCAATTCTCATGAACACATTATCGAACAATCGTCATTTAATTAAGCGCGAGATTCTAGTTGAAATCGCGTTTGAGATTCCTTCAGATAATCTCGCTTTTTTCGTTGTACGTTTGCCTCTACCAGGAATAATCCACTTGCTATTAACGTCAGCACGCTACCTATGACACCCAGAGCGAAAGACCATCCCAAGTAGTTGTTAGCGTGTCCAGGCATCCAGCCATTTGCATTACCAAGACAGGCAAATACGATGACAGCTATGCCACCGCAGAGACCACTGGCCAGACACAAGCAACCAATGGTGCTTATCAGTTCAATGTATCTCTTCCGCTCTGGATCGCAGCACAGAGTGAAGAGCAGTATCAGACCGAATGATATTAAACCCAGCAGAAAGCATACCGTGAAGAAGACCTGGGTGGCTATCATAAATGCTGCAACAAGAAGATTTTTGCATTGTCAACATGCTGCGATTCAACGACAGCTCAACGTACGTGCACTGTCATCCTTTCTAATAGCGTTGAATTTCTCCATAATTTTGTACGCACTAACTTATCATTGTAAATTTGGTTTCTTTAATTCTTCTTTAAATATTGAAGAAAAATATTTGCAAATAAAGTGGGAGCGAGCTAATTATATTTATATTTAATTTATTGTGTTTATCTATTATATTTATATTTAATTTATTACATATAAATTATTAAATTAAATAATTTATATTTAATAAATTTCTGACAAGAGAAGAAAAAACTCGCCTACTCTCGGCTCTTAATTAACGCGCTCTCAATTTCACTTGTGAATATTAGCGCCTCCTAATTGAATGTCGCATCTCATCGCCGGCTAAAAATTCGAAAGAAATTCGCAATGAAAAAGAATGACGTATATTTCTGCAACAATCTCAAGGACGACTCACGGGGCAAGAGAAAGCCGCGGATTTCGGAGTAGCCCGCGGTGAAGGGGTCGTAGACCCATCTGCAGCCGACGAAGAATCTCCGGGGCGCGTCCGACTCCTGGGGATTTGGCAGTGACCTGAAGCAGTGCCTCCAGAGCCCGAGCCGGTCCAGCTGCGCGCCGATGATCCTGGGGTCGCTCACCAGCCACGCGGGCGTCCCGAAGGCAACGCACACGCAGACGAAGCCGACCAGGAACACGCCGACGCCGACGTTGCCGGAGAGGCTTCTCTTCTTCATGCTGCTCCCGCGTCTTACGTCACCTCTTCCTGTCACCTGTCACCTGCGCTTCCCGCTCGACGACCGGACCTGGACGCGCTCTAGGAATGCTGCAGCTTCCTTCTGCCTCCTCTGTCGATGGAACGCTAGCGTATCCCACCTGACGATCCCACGGCACTAATATAAACCACACCCAGGCGCCCTGTGTTATTGGCGGAGCGGACCTAGCCTGACCTGGCGGGTCTCACCTCGAGCCACGCGCGAGTATCCCACGAGTACAAGAGAGCGTAAACGTGACGAATCGCGTTTATGTATGTATGTGTGCATGGGCGTCCTCCTGGAGTCGGGAAAAATTTATTCAGAATTTATTTTTGCATTTAATAGGAAAAAAATGAAATAATTGAATAAAAATAAAAAATAACATAGAATAAAATTAACGAAAATTCTAACGATTGGGCGTTCTCCTGGAGTCAGGAAAAATTCATTCAGAATTTATTTTTGCATTTAATAGGAAAAAAATGAAATAATTGAATAAAGATAAGAAAATAGCATAGAATAAAATTAACGAAAAGTCAAACGATCGGACGTCCTGCTGGAGGCAGGAAAAATTAATTTAGAATTTATTTTTGCATATTTAATAGGAAAAAAATGAAAATAATTGAATAAAAATAAAAAATAGCATATAATAGAATGAAGAAAAATTGAAACGATTATAAGAAGGAAAAAGAATTTTTCCTGCGGACGCCCATGTGTGTGTATGTATATCAGAATAGTCTATAAGTCTATAGATATATGCGGGTGACGGATGGGAAAAGAAAACAATTCTCACCGTCCTTCTCCTCGCCTCTAGACGGATAGAACCTCGTTGCTTGTACAATGAGACGTAGAGAATGGGAAAAGAAAGCGTTTGTTCTTAAGGAATACATTAAACGAGTTCTTGCGCGGAGATCCTTTTGAAATTCATCATCTGTAGTAATCTTATTCCCATCTCTCTCCCTCTCGTTCTTATACGATCACGATCCTGATCTGTCAAGGTGTGTCAACATGTGTCACATCTTATTTACGCGCGTTTCTCTTATTCTTATTATTACACTCGCATTCCGACCTTGATCCTGTGTAGGACGTCAGTGAACCGCGAATAAATACGTATTTTTCGATCTAAATCTAAATCGTCGCGTCATTAGAGGTAAAAAAATTCCGTGAGAATTCCTTGATAAAAATATAATATACCCAAAATAATTAAAAAATTATCTAAATTACCTGGAAATTATGTAAACATTTTTTAATGCATTTTTTATCTAGAATTTTTTTAAATGCTTGTTACATATTTTTTCTCCTCGATATTCACTCGATGATTACATCCTGTAATTATTTTATATCATTCACGACACGAATCATCGCTGAATATGAGATTCCTCGAAGGAACCGGATGCGTCATTCTTAACTTACAATGAGATCTCAATGTGCTGTATTTATGATGACGCATTCGCGGATTGCAACGATTTGCTGAAACAGAGTATCTATTCAAATTTTTATATTAAAAATTCTCTGATAAAAATTTAAATATAAAACAAAAATTATTTATTATAAACATCCCAGGGAATACTAATTTATTTAAATTATTTATTAATTTATTATTTATTTAATTATTTATTAAATAAATAAGGAATACTAATTTATTTAGATATATATTATCTATTAAAATTTGAACAATTTTCTATGAAATTTATAATTTATATAAAATCTTGATACTAAAAATAGAGCGTCAATAAAAAAATCACATAAAATTTTAATAAAAACTTAAATATTGTCAAGATATGTTAGATATATGTTAAAATTAACAAAAGGATAATTTTGTTAAAAAATTCCCTGAATCTCAATCAAAAATTAATCAAATTCCATAAGAATTCTCTGATAAAAATAAAAATATAAAACAAAAACTAATTTATTATAAGCGTCTCAAGGAATATACTAATTTTTATTTAATTATTTATTAATTTGAACAATTTTCTATAATTAAAAGAAAATCCCTGAATTCAAATCAAATCCTATGAGAATTCCCTGATTTTTCACAGTTCCTTTGAGAATACCAGATTTTTAAGATTTTTCCCAAGAGTATACACCCTGTAAAAATACTTGCAATTGCGGAAAGTTCAACGCGGTCGATTAAGTAAAATTTAAATTAGGCTAATAATTTACAGATACATATAATACTTCGCGTGCACGCGAGAGAGATCGGTATCTCATAATTAACAACGAACACGAATTCATGAGAATAAAGTGGGTCATACGTGTATATATATGCTTAATTGATTAAATTCGTATCCGAGAATTTTTACAATGCAATCTAAATATTGAGACGTTGGTGATTAGAAAAAATTATTTTATTATTAATTTCTACAAATACACAGTATACAAATAAGAGAGATTTATTCCTCGTAACGTTCATAATCTCTATTAAGCTCTTACATATTCATATATAAAAAATTAATCCCTACAAATATTTTGCAAAATAATACGAATATAATGGACGGATTATTTCAGATATGTGCGTCGCACATAATAGTGCATTAATAATGCATATTGCTTTTCTCTATATATATATATAAAGAACTTTCATATACAACTTTAAGAGATAATATCAGAATATCATCTCAATATACTCTATCTAGTCTATTTAAAATATATATATCTTATGTAATATATATCTGCAACTTCAATATGTCATATGAAGTATAGATATAACAGTATAATATTATATAAGTCTTTAAAAATTTATCTGAATTTATATTCGATGAATAAAATTTGCACTTTTGCAGCCCTTTTATTATCCATATGGCAAAAAAAAATAGTTATATACGTATTAAATTAATTAGTCTGTAAAATTAAAACATAATTTCTTTTCACATTAATAATTTATATATCAATAAATTATTAATCTGTAAATATGTGCTAAATGGTTGTGTGCGTTTTCTGTTCCTCGTTCAATATTTTCTCCTGCTTCTTTCTATGCCTACGACCTTCGATTAGAAATAGAATACCAGCTGCTACCAGAGTGACGCTGCCCACAACAGCCAGGGCAAAGGACCAGCCTACATCATTGTGCTCCCAATTGGGCATCCAATCTCGTCCGTCACCTCTGGCACCGAATATAATCACCGATATGATACCGCATATTCCGCCTAGAAGTAAATTGCCACCGGTTGCCCACAGAAGAAGCTGATACTTGTCGTGATGGCGTGAGCAACAGGCGTACAGGCTGGTCAGGAAACTGCCTATCAGCAATAAAGTCAGGCACAGCGTGAAGAAGAACTGAGTGGCGACGAAGAAGTCCGGCAAGAGAATGTCGTGTATGATATAATACTCCTCCTCGAAGACCCACCAACACCCATAGAATCTGGTGTCGTACAGATGACGTGGGTCCTGGAAGCCTTGGAAACACACTTGCCACAGACCTGGAAAGAGCAGCACAGTTTCTTGATCAGCTGTTTGTTGTCATGTTCATCTCTTTGAAGACTGACATCATGAATGATTTATTTAGCAATTGTATTTCAAGAAGTACATATTACAGCTGGTTTTTCTGTAATAAATCGCTCCTAATTTCTTTGTATTGTTAATTATAAGTGCTTTATCTGTAGATATATGTTATATATATATTTATATATATATATATTATATCTTTATATCTTTATATTTTTATATTATTATATATATATATATGTTTATTATTAGATATATGTATATATATTTTTTGTTTATTATATGTGTGTGTATATAGATTTATTATATGTATCTGAAATGTTGCATCTAATTTTACCAATCTTGACGAACTGCGGATTATCCAGCTTCCCATCGGTCTCCAACCAATTGGGTGTGGTGAACGCGATCACCACCAGAATAAACGCCACCGCCGTGCAGACGGCGGCGGCCTTCCCCGTCCTCGTCTTCCCCATCGCTTACGCTCGTCACTCACGATAATATGTATGTAATCAGAAGTGGATAATCAGAAAAAATACAACTCCTTTTGCGCGATCACCTAGAACGCGATGTTGCACCTAGGACGCCGAATCATCCACTATTTTTTTGTAGTCCTAGTTCGGTGCGCGAACACCAGAGTGCGCTGTATGTCCCGTTTCCTTTCAAATTTCGACTTTATTTTCTCTGTCACACTTGAAAACGTTATTGCGAGGGAACTTTCATTTTTATACTGACAAAACATATTATATAATCGAGAATAATAAGGAAAGTTGAATTCTTTTTTCAATTTTCTTTCTCATTATGTGAAATCAGTATATATATTTTTTTTAAATATACATTTCTACTATTCAATTTTTTAAATATTTAGATATTTATATTAATATATATATATATATATTTTTTATACTATATATATATATTATTATATATTTTTAATATATATGTATATATATTTTTTTTAATTTGCAAGAACACAAAAGATTTAAATAATTTTAATTAAGATAATATTAATTTTTTTGTTACAGTTTGGTACGAGCCCACAGATATTAAAAAAGCAGCAAACATATTCCAAGCTGGACCACAATGGAGAAATGTATTACATTTTATCTCACCTAATCGGAACGAGTTAAAAGTCATAGGCAAACACTTCAATATTCCTGTTCCTGAAAACATGGATCTGGAGGCTGTGAAAAATACAGCTGAACAATTGCTCAAATACATTCCAAATATTATAACTACTTTAGGATCGCAAGGAGTTTTGGTTAGTTTAATTTTTTAAAATTCATCTTTTGAATTAACAAACTATCTAATGCGAAGTCAATATCTCAACAAATTTATCATATTAATTATATTTTATATTTTAGTAATTATAGTATATTTATATTTAATTTAATTTAATTTATATTATATTTATCACATTTATTATATTAATATATTTAATTTATTAAGTCAATTATTCATTTTATAGGTGACACGCAAGGCTTTGCAAGATGAGCCCTTCTACGACAAGAATGGAAAACCTATTGTCAATTCCTCAATTGCATCTAGATTGTATCCTCCTGTGGATGGTGCGGACAAATCCAGTAAAATTCTCAGTGTAAGCGGCTGTGGAGATTGCCTTACAGCTGGAATAATTTATGGAATTCATAAGAATCTGGATGAAGCCAGTTGCATTTCTATTGCTTTAAAAGCTGCTTCACTTTCATTAAGATCTTTTGACACAGTTCCAAGAACACTCACAATGCTTTCTAATAGCAAAAAGAATTTTAATTAATATTTCTTTCTGACAAACTTTTTAATTGCACTATTGCAACAATTTAGCATGTAAGGATTTTAAATATTTTAATTATATATTTTATACTCGTTAATTACATTTTATACAATTTGAACTTTATACTTGTTATATGTACAAGATTCTACTGCTGCTATAATCATATCAATCTGTTGTTTTATTAATTAGATGCATATTGAATTTATACAATGTTTGTCTAAAATCAATATGGAAATTTTGACGTCGCCATCGCGTCATCATTGAATAAGTCTTTACATTAATCACCGTTGCTTTGAATAATCGAGATTATTGACAATACCATATTTATTTTCCATAAAGTAAAAAAAATCCGAATTACAGACGTAAATAAAAAAAAAAGGAAAAAAAAAGAAACAGACTACGTCGTATTTTTTCAAGAGACACCAAAATATGACGAGTCGATCGTTAAGAAAAAAAAAAGCTTCATTCTACACCTCGTACACCTTCCACATGTGGCGTGCGACAACGAACGTGGCGCGTGGCATCGTCGAGGAGAGAAAGGGAGAGAGCGCGAAGAGCCGCGGGTATTTAGACGTTCGGCGGAGAGGAGTGGGGGGGGGGAAGGCGGGGACCAATGGCGTCGCGTCTCACGCGGTCACGTGGCACGCTCTATCGCGCCAGATGGCGCTGCGTGCGCAAGCGAGACGGACATTTGACACTATACAGGGTGCTCCATTTAAATCGATCACCCCAACATTTTTTTTTATTGTGTCTACAACAAAATGTTTCGAACAAAAGTTGCTGGATTCGAAGAAAAACAAAAAAAAAATAATTGACCTTTAAATGACCTTGAAAAGTGCTTTTTTTTTAACTAGAATTCCTAGATTTTTTTATATAAATCGATTCCTTGCGATAAAAAGTTGTAAGAGTAAGGTGGCAAAAAGTGAATTCAACGACTTCTTTTTAAAGATTGCATTTTAAGGTCCTTTGAAGGTCACTTCAAGGTCATTTATTTTATTTTTTAAATGTAAATAGCAATAACTTTCTATACCAAAAGTTGCTATAGTTACATAAAAAAATATAGTGGTTCCAATTTTTTAAAAATGCCCTTGAAAAGTCCTTTTCTTTTAAAAATAGAACCGCTAGATTTTTTTTATATAAATCGATTCCTCGCGATAAAAAGTTATAATTAAGAGTAAGGTAGCAAAAAAATGATATCAACGAATTATTAGACTTCTTTTTAAAAGATTGCATTTTAGGTTCATTTGAAGGTCATTAATTTCATTTTTTTTAAATAGTTACCGCAAATATTTTTAAAATGTAAATATCAATAATATAACTTAAGTTGCTAGTTACACAAAAAAATATAATGGTTCCAATTAGAAAAAGGATATAAATGACCTTTAAACGACCTTGAAAATCAATAAGAAAAAAGTCTCGCGATTCGTGAAAGAAAAATCGAAAACAAAAATTATTCGGGGGCGATCGATCGAAGCGGGACACCCGGTATACCAGCGTGGAAGAGGGACGAATGGATAGAGAGAGAGAGAGAGCGAGAATGACAGATGGCTCCGTAGGAGGGGGCGCGTATTATTACACACAGCTACACTCTCTGTACTCGTCACGCCGCACATACGTCACATGCGCGCACGACCACACGCGAAACGAGAAAGAGAGAGAGAGAGAGAAGCGGACCAAGCACAGCGAGCGAGCGCCGTTACGATAAAAGAGAGGTTTTTCAGAGAGCGTATTCGGAGAGAGCCGTTCAATGGTCGCGGCAGCGATGCGCCTCGCCGCTGCCGTCGTCGTCGTCGTCGTAGGGCACCGTCCGACCGCTAGCTAGTTCCGACCCGGTCAGAGACGCGCGAGACGAGGGGTCGTCAGTTGATAGACTGGCAACGACGCGCGCGCACCTCTCCGTCGTCGTCGTCGTTATCCTCGAAGATGACCATAATAGTCTTTCTGATCGACACGTCGGCCTCCATGAATCAGAGGGCATACCTGGGCGGACGGCCCACGCTCTTGGACGTAGCCAAGAGCGCCGTGGAGACCTTCGTCAAGGTACGCCGACTCCTGGGGGAGAGACTCCGCGCGAGAGCCGCTTCGCACCGCGAGGCGGGAGAGAGAGAGAGAGAGAGAGGGAAAGGTCGCGCGTCTCCGTCTCTCTCTCTCTCTCTCTCTCTCTTCCTCCGTCTCAGGCGCGTAGGAAGTTTTTGGGTGAAGTGCGAAGAGTGTGAAAAAACAAAGAAAATCCTGTTTTCCAGGTTCGACAGAGATCGCCCGAGAGCCGAGGGGATCGCTACATGCTCCTGACTTCCGAGGAGCCACCTCAGAACATCAAGGTAAATTTTCCTCATCGTCTACCTTTCTTCATTTTTTTTTTTTAATTTTTTTTTTCGCCTTTTTTTTCATCTACATATTTCTTTCTCTCTCTCTCTCTCTCTCTCGCATTTTACGTCGATGTGTTGTTAACGCGACCTATCGCGCGAGGATGCCTCCCCGGGAAGCTTCTCCCCTTCCTCTGGCCTCTTCTTCTCGTCTCTCTCACTCTCGAGTTGGGTTAGGTCCGATTAATGGCGCCGAATAATTAATACGGAGCTGCGGAAGACGCGCATCATCGGTGACGGGGGAAGATGAGAAAAAGAAACGAAAATTTCCCCTCCTCCATCTTGAATTTCGCACCTAATTTGGAAAAGTTCTAATCCCTCTATTTTCACTTTTCTGAATTTTATATATATTTTTGATGTTCCTTTTCGTCCTATTTTTTAGATTTCAAAAGGAGATGGAATATAATTTATGCAATTCTCTGAAAAAGCTTGTACGTTGAATAGATTTCTATTCTAAAGTATTTATTTTCTTATTTGTAAAGATTTTTCAAGATACAGATTTATTTGACCTAAATTTGTTCATTAAACTTTGTTTCATACTTTTTTTTTACCAATTAAAGTACAGTGTATAAATAATTCTTATTTAAGAGAATTTTAAGATTTATTTTAGCTACATTTTTTAGTATAAAAGTCTTTATCAAAATTAGCCTTTATATAAAAATATATACAAGCTAAAAATGAATTGATTATCTTTGGATATGAAGTTTGAAAAGAAAGATGAAATATAATTTATATTATTCTTTGAAAGAGCTTGTGCATTGAATAGATTTCTGTCAAAATTATTTATTTTCTTATTTGTAAAGGTTTTTCAAGATACAAATTTATTTAATCTTTATTTGTTTATTCATACATTTTTTACGAGCTAAAAATATAGTAATTCTTATTTAATCCATTTTTAAGATATATTTTATGTAAATTTTTTATGAGAATATTTAGAATCAATTTTAAACTTTGTTTAAAATGTTTCTCATTTTTAAATTCAAGAGATAGTTTTAATAACTCAGATTTTATATTTTATTCATCTTCAATTTTAAGAACAATGATATATAGAAAAAATTTGTAGAGATTAATATCAGAAAATTGTGCTTTTTTAGGCAGGATGGAAGGAGAACTTGGCAACCTTTATGAATGAACTGAAGAATTTACAATGCATTGGCTTAACAACATTAGGTGCTGCTTTGAAGCACGCTTTGGATGTGTTGAATATAAATCGCATGCAGACTGGCATAGATACATATGGCCAAGGAAGATGTCCATTTTACTTGGAACCGTCTGTCATAGTTATTATAACAGATGGAGGAAAGTACACATCCAACGGTGTACCTCCTGTGCATCAAGACGTAAGTATAATTGTTGCAATCAATCTTTGTACGTACAATTATGTCATATAAATGAGATTATTTCTTAATGTATAAAAATTAAATCTTCTCTTTACAGTTTACATTACCCATGCATTCCCCGATACCCGGATCTGAATTAACAAAGGAACCATTTAGGTGGGACCAAAGACTGTTTTCTTTGGTGCTGCGTTTATCAGGAACACCAGCTGTCGAACGTGACATAGGCTTGGTGGCAAGTGATTCGTCACCGATTGATGCCATGTGTGAAGTGACTGGAGGTAAAGAAGATACAAAATTCGAGATCTTATTTTTATATAACATATACTACTTTGACCAATTTAATTGATGCCAAGAGATGCGATAAATTGACTGGACAGTGTTTTAAAAAATTAAATAGTATTTCTGCTTTAGATAATAGGATAAAAAAAGTATTAGAGGAATTATCATCAACTTATAATGCTGTAAAGATAAGATTGAGATAAAAACTTTCAGGGGAATTGACTGTTCTCTTTTTCCTACGTTGTAGCTTATGACTCACTGAATAAAAGATATAATAGCCTCAAAGCAAAATATTGGATAGTTACCGTGTTTAATTATTTATTATTTAGCTTTGAGCCTATTATATTTTTTGTTCAGTGAGTCATAAGTTACAATGTGTGAGAAAATCAGCTGATTTTACCGAAATTCAATTTCATCTAGCATTTTATATTAGTTCCCCTATATTAATATTTTATAAAATTGAATCTTGACAAGATCAGCTGATTTGTAGCTTATGATCTGAACAAAAATGTAATAGGCTTAAATAATAATAGCTAAAATAATAGATAGTTTTTGATGTACAGCCAGTTAAATATGAAAAATTTGGACTCTACGAGTTGTTTAACTCAATAACATCAATAACAACATAAGTTACATATGAAAAAAACCATCAAATTCTATCAAAAGCCAAAATCCTATAATTTCTTTAATTGTCATGTATTATTAACACTTATGGACGATTACAGGTCGGTCATATTGCATCACATCGTTCCGAATGATGATACAGTGCATCGACTCGCTGGTGCAGAAGGTTCAGTCTGGTGTGGTGATAAATTTCGAAAAGATCGGTCCGGATCCGCCGCCGTTGACCAACGACGCGCCGCAGCATCCGGACGAGGAGGAGAACGAGGATGACGGTAACTCGGGACCGCGAGCTCAGTACCCGAACGCTTTGGCGCCAGGCAACACAGCCTGGTATTCCTGTAGACGTTTGATCTACGTCCCGCGATCGGCGCAGAAAGGTTTCGCGGTTGGATTCTGGCCGATTCCCGAGAGCTTCTGGCCGGATCTCAACGCCAGCTCGTTGCCGCCGAGGTCGGCGCACCCGAACGTCAAGTTCACGTGCACCAGCCAGGAACCGATGGTGATCGAGAACTTGCCGTTCGACAAGTACGAACTGGAACCGAGTCCCCTGACCCAGTACATTCTCGCGAGGAAGCAGCCGACGACGTGCTGGCAAGTGTTCGTCGCCAATTCGTATAAATCGAGCGAGGTCGGCCATCCGTTCGGATACTTGAAAGCCAGCACGAACTTGACTTGCGTGAACCTCTTCGTCATGCCTTACAACTATCCCGTGCTGTTACCATTGTTGGAGGAGCTTTTCAAGGTGCACAGGCAAAAACCGACTCCCGAGTGGAGGGCGCAGTTTCAGGGTTACGTAAGGACCATGCCTACTTATTACGCCGTAGTAAATATCTTTCATTATTATCTATATTTTTTGAGTACATATAATTGTTTCTGAAATTTACTCTCACACCGAAAAACGTTTCTCTCTATTGCAGTCGTTGAGGAGAGCTTTAACTAGAATGGGTGCATCCGCGCCTCTAGCACAAACATTGTTACCAGATACTATGGATACTTCTCTGTCGTATAGCGTTTTGACTTATCTGAAGCGGCTGAAAAATTTGGCCAAGCTGGAATTTGATCGACTCTGCAACGAGGTCATTTCTAAGCAGGTTGCCGCTTCGAATCTTACGAAAAATTTATCCAACTGCACCACGAGTACGGTGACAGAAGGGGTGAGAGTAATATCAAGGACACCGCTGAAGAAAGACCTGGTAAGATTTAGTTACGTTAAAAGACGTCTGGCTCCTCACCACGGCTATGTCAGATTATGACGTCAGAGGCGAGAAAACACGCTAAAAATTCTATAGACTATTTCATATATTATATTATATTATAATTATATTATATACTATGTAATAAATTGTATATTATATCATATATTTATATTATATATTATACTATGTATAATAGACTATCAGATATTCGTCATTTTGCAGCTGTTAATTGATCATAAAGGGAAAAGGATAGTTTTCGAGCTAATTTAAGAGTGCGCTGAAGCCATTTGACGTCACAATCTAACATGGCTGCGACGAAGCTCCAGGAGCCTTAAGAAAGATGTCCCATGAATATCTCCCATAAATCATCGTTTAACTGTGTACAAAAAATTGCATGCATTTGCGCAGGTGTCCCATCCTTTGTTACAAGACAAGTTCACGGGTCTTCGCGATCAGCTGAACGAGTTTGGAGGTTTTGTAGTCGGATTGGTGAAGAACCAACAGCAGCAGCGTGGCGCGCACAGTTACAGAAATGCCTTCGACGTCCCGAGAAAGTCCCTCCTCGATCAAGTGATGAGGATGCGGGCGAATTTTTTACAGCCTGGTTTACTGCACACGAAACTGCTCGACGACGACTACGTTCACTCGATGCCTTTAGCCCAAATGGGAAATTATCAAGAATACTTGAAGCGCATGACGCCACCGTTGCGGGAAATCGAGAGTGTGCCAGTGAGACAGCACATGTTCGGTAATTATTCAATCAAATCTTGCAGGTATATACTCTTTCTGGGCGCAGTCACGGAGGAGACGATTTATATGTCGTGCATAAATGATTTGTGTACGTGTGTGTGTGTGTCTACATGTGTATATATACATATGTGTGTGCATATGTGTACACTGTATAAGAAAAAATTGCAAGTATTATGGTGCCATATACAATATTTGTGTATCTCAATCATACAGGCAATCCGTTCAAGATAGACAAGAGAATGATGGTAGACGAGGCGGATATCGACATAGTCGGCGCGACGTCGTCCACGTCGAAGAGCGGTCTCAAGCGTACCCTGCCGCAGCCGGACGGCGGAGGCTCGTCCTCGCCGAGGCCGCCGCCTAACAAGAGGAAGCCCGGACCGATCCCGAAGGACGTGATAGTACGTAGGCCTTCGTACTCTTCGCCCATCAACACTCCGCCAAGCTCGCCGATTCCCTGGGTGATGGAGGATGCGAAGAACCAGGTGCCAGCGGTGCTGCCAGCTACTGACACGAGTACTCCGCCGATTCTGACCTGCCTGCCCAGCGTATCACCGGCTCACGTGTTCTCGGTACCGAGCTCGAGCGCCTCGGAGAAGCTGGTGAACGGACTCGCGGAGATGCCGCCGGCCATCCCGGTGTTCGAGCCGATCCCGGTGGAGCATATCAACAATCACCTGGACACTCCGCCGGTCCTGACGCCGATAGTTAACAATATCGACGCGACCTCGGTGCCGAAGGGTGGTGAAGTTAAAAGTGAACGGATAGACAACGCGAGGAACGAGTGCGGCCGGTTACCCATGAACGATTGCGTCGAGAATAATAGTAGTGCGCGAATAGTTGTCGATAGTGGTGTCGAGGAGAGACTGGTGTCGAATCACGTGGAGGAGAAGCGCGAGACGAAGCCCGAGAGGGAGAGGAAGCCGACGAAGAAGGAGCTGGAGGACATCAGGCGGCACAATTTGAATATTCGGGAACTCGTTTACAAGGAGGTGCGGAGAAGAGGGACAAGTGAGTAATCTTTCCTATCCGTCTGTCTTTTCTTTGACGTATTGAAAGATGGGACTGAGGTAATAAAATTGACCCGATTGTTTGATTTAATTCCAGATTACGCGACGCTGTTTTCACATCTACATCAGATTCAGGGAACCCTAGACATACGGCTTGCATTTGTGAAGGACATAGTGAAGGAATCGTTACGCTTTAAACGACGTAATCTGGCGTCGCTGTTGGAGGAATATCTTAAGACTATTCAAGAGGACGGTTGCGCTATGAACCACAAGCTGAATCACAACGGTGCCACGAAGATAAGTTGTTAAGATATATGCATAATCCAGGGCATTATCTTAATAATTAGCGGAGGAGGAGGAGATAGATTGCGAAGGAACTCTTGTGCAAATTTTGGGCCGGAAATTTTATTAATAGCAGTCTCTTGAGACAAATAATAAGGACTACTTTTGATACTCACTGGGAAGACCTGCACAATCTCCAAGTCTTAGCGCAAATTTCAATAGCATTCTCGGTGTCAACCACTAAGTAAGCCATGGCACTTTTACGTTTTACTTTTAAGCTTTGCGAGTGATCAGTTGGTAGATATTTCGAGTATAGTGTTCTCTCTGCAGGTCACAAAAATTGAAGCAATAATTTATTTACAGAATGTAGCGACAAGAACGATTTTACAGAATGTAGCGACAAGGGTACGCAGCAATATTTCTCTCTCATGTACACCAAAACTCTATTACTGATATAATGATCTCGTTTTAAAACTTGACCGTTTTAAATCTTACATCTCTGTAAAGAAAATCCAAAATTTTATCTATCTCGGATGCTTGAAAATATTGTACGTAGCATACAATCGCGACGATAACATGATTAAAAAAAAATATATATATATATTCATACATATGTTGAAGTTTTATCCTTTATACGAATATATTATATTCGCACGCGTTTCTATATCGTTACATGTAAATATGTTTGCACATTTTGTTTCACCGTCTATGATGATGTATTTTTTCTTCAAGTTTTTTGTCGACATCTCACTTAACAAGTGTATTAGAAAAAAAATTGTCCTGTATGCTGGCCATACGAGACAATAGAGTTGAGACGAAATTATAAGAATGATACACAATATCGATTCTTTGTAAACGCTTGAATCTGCATATAAAGTTTTCCTTGAAGTACAAGTGCAATCAAACGAGCATAATTTCTACCAGCTGCCCAGTCCTCAGCGTCTATGTCAAATTTAGGACGAAATAATTGTATTCATACTCTTACAATTATATATTTCCTATTATATTTAATCTCTATCTAATCTATACATCGTACATACACATTTGTGATTTATATTATTAAGTTTAATAAAATGCCATAGTTTAACACTGTACCAAATTGTCTGTAAATTTTGTTGTGTATACTTTGGTAATATTATAAAAGAAAATTAAGATCTGACTTTTTTTATTGATGACATATACGCATTATATATGCATAAGAATTGCACTTGTTTGTGGTCTTTTTTTTATATATATATAAAAGATGAGAAAACATATCTTTTTGTTATACACAAAGAAAGAAGTTATAGATATTCTTTATGCATTTTATCTCATATAATTAATCGAATCAAAATATCACAAAAATATCAATTTTTTGTTGCAATGCATTTTTCTCTTTTTGAATTATGATATTGGTTTTTTATATTGCAAGACGTGTCGTAAATAGAATCATACCAAATAACGTTTAAATGTAAACTTGAATTTATTGAGAAATCTTGTGCGAAGGGTTGACAGTGTCTGATTGCTATTTGAAATTGACAGGATGTATTTATATTCAACCCACTATGTCTCCAATGCCTTTAATAATATTATTTTGTTTATCATATAATATATATACGTATATGTATATTATATAAACTTATATGAAAAGAGCATTTTTAATTTTATATATTAAATATATATATATATATATATATATATATATATATATTTATATATTATTTACATATTATTATGGTGTATCAGAAACACTAAGAATTATAAATTATAAATTTCTTTACTATTTTATGCAAGTTGCCTATTATTTTATACTATAGATTCTGTACAAATAACAGACAATTTATACATGCATATAAACTTTTCGTTTGGATTTCTAATTGAAAATAATAAAATTGTATCATAGTGTTGTAACATTATGATAAATCTTCAATATTTCTTATATAATATATATTGTGTTTTTTAAAAAGAAAGAGTGTGTATATGAGAAATAAAAAATGTGATAAATTTGTATAAAAGACATTGAAAAGTATCCATATATTATTGCAACGCTATGATACTATTGATAATTATTCAAAAATGAGAAACTTAATTGTTTATAAATTCGAATAAATGTATAATAAAATCAAAACTGCAATATATGTCTGAAATAATACACGTAGAGCGAAATAAATTTTATGTTTTAGCCTCAAATCCTTATGTGTATGTGCAACACACAGTAGCAATTTGAAGCAATATTATTTAAAAAAAAAAAAAAAAAAAAAGGAAAATTTCTTCTTTGATACACATGTGGGTTGAAGGAGTGCATGTTGATAGCGATAACTTTCTCATTTGTATCACCACTAGTTATAAATGTCAAAATTACTTAATGAGTTGTCAAAAATAATTCGACCAAATATTACATATAGGGTAATTAACAAGGATGATTATCTTACTTGTCATCTATCTGTGATTTTTACTATAGCTTGTGTTATAGAATATTATCAAGAATCATTAATATTATATTATCTTACTTTTTCATTTAAAAAAAACACAAGTAAAAATTAGAACAAATTTGAAGACATATCATCATATACGAGTAGAGATTCCAACTTTGTGCTTTTTTTCCATACTTTTTGAACTTTTGTTAACATTTTAAGTGAGATAATCAACCATATGTTTTCTTGTGAACTTGATAATGTCTAATCTCTCTTTAGAGAGAGATGCAGACAAGATTGTATTTATTAGTTGAAAATATGTTGAATATCTCATGGAGCTTAGCTGAGTCGCACAAAGACAATGATGCTAGACGCTTATTTGCTCCAAAAAAAAGAAATTAGTAGGGAATTATTGAACACAATTATTGATATGACACTAAGTGCAATTGTATGTAAAAGAGATTAATGGATAATTAAGGAAAATGTGCGAAAGAGTTCAAAGTACCTTACAATCTCCTTTGTTACAGCGCAGCTGTATTTTATTACCTTATTAAGATTATTTATTATTGTATTATACAAAAAAGTGAATTAGATGAATGGAATAATTTTGTTTATGAACTTTCTTAGGAATTGTGAAAAATAACATAATATGCACAAATGTTTTACCAATGTTTCTGCATAATTTTACAATTACATTAAACTGTAACATTTATGTGAAAGATTTGCCGTTCCAAATATTTCAACAAACTGCAATAAGATTCCAAATAATTGAGTTTGTTAGAAGTTCAGTCTATGCAAAATATCTACTGTAAACTTTGTCAGCACAAAATTATACATTTCACGAATGTATAATTTTGTACAAATGCAGGAGTTCATGCAATCATGTCAGAGCTTAACGCAACTCATTTGCTAATTTATCAAATTGTGTCAATCTAAAGAATCTGTTGCCAAATTACTGGAAATTAATTTTATCATCTAGGATTTTTATTAATTATGTAAAAATAAAATTTAAATTGAATTGCATGATTTCCCAAAAATACAGAATGAAAAAGGGACACAGAAAAAAAATAGAACTTGTAAATTCATTCTTTTATGAATCAGATATCGGGCCATTCAAATTTTACACAATTTTAGTATGAAAAATTAATATTATATGTGTCTCTTTTTATGTATTGCTTAGGCTGTTGATAAATGTTAATTACTATTTTTTCACAGTACCTATAATAGTGATAGCGAGATATTTGCATTGTTGTATATAGGAAATTATTCATAAGGCGCGTGTATTAGTATATATATATATATATATATATATGTATATAAATGTAATTATTATTTATAGACGAAATTCATATTGAAACGACTGTCCTGTTTTTACGTTTATATTTTAGGTAAAACGAGATAAAAATAAGTCTCTCGAAATGAATAAACAAATTGACAGAAACATGTGTCGTATATTTTTTTTGCCAAAAAGTATACGATATTTCGTTTGATCCAAAATACATAATTATGAATAATATACGAAATATAAGTATATATATATATATTCCTTATACAGTGATTTTCCTAACCTGTCGAGTCTCGTGCTCATGTGTCAAAAAGGCTGGACCCTCCTCAGAGAAATTTGCATAATAATATAAGAAAATAAAATCCACCTAATATTTTACGAGGTCAGTTGAGACAAAAAGTTACAGAAATGTCAAAAAAATTCATAAAATAATTAATCGACATATTGAATATCCTTATAAAAAAAATACTGATATATCAAAAGTTGAAGACAGATTAATATCAAATATTTATAGTGAATACATTAATATTTTAGTATTTATCAAATATTTTTGCTCCACAATATTTTTTTATTTTATATAAAATTTATGATTTGTTTTAGAATCATATTTCAACATTTGACCTAGACATGTCGAAAGGGATATATTATGGAAGCAGCATCAGGAAGCACTTCATGTTACAAAAATATGCAAATTCTCATTTCTCTCGGATGAAACGTTCCATCCATGGATCTTCTGCACTCTTGAATGCATCTGCGATTGATGCAAATGCAAACAAAGAAGCTTACATAAAGCAAGGACCGATGAGGAATGTCAGAGATGGACCTTCCTTGAGGGATTTTTTAGGATCGTCCATTATCGATATTCCCAAGGAAGAACCTGTTCCATACCTGCAGGAAATTCGTGGGGAAAATCAAAAAGGTTTCTCTCATTTTTACAAAATTTATCACTTATTTTTATCAATTACTCAAACTTATATTACTGTTTTCTTTTTTTTTTTAGTGTACTTTGAAATTTACGGTTGCCAAATGAATGTGAACGACGCTGATATAATATGGTCAATATTGAAAGCTCATGGCTACAAGCATACACAAAGCATAGATGATGCAGACATTGTGTTGCTAGTCACATGTTCTATCAGAGACAACGCTGAGCAAAAGGTATGGAACAAATTGGAGATGTTGAATGGCCTAAGAAACAAGAGGAGAAAGTTTACACATACACAGTCCATGAAGATTGGACTCTTAGGTAAGCTTTTTATATAAAAGTTTATTGATATCAGGTTGGAGAACTCTGATAAATACTCTGTTGTTAAAGGAAAATATATTTTTATTTTATTATATTAGTTTATTATATTTACATTTATCATTATATTTATATTATTATTATATTTTATTATTATATTATTATATTATATTTTTATTTATATTAGGATGCATGGCTGAACGCTTGAAGACTAAAATATTGGAGAGGGGCAAGCTGGTAGATGTGATAGCAGGTCCTGACAGTTACAAGGATCTACCAAGACTCCTGGCAGTAACCGACAATGAAACGGCTGTTAATGTTGTACTATCATTTGATGAGACATATGCGGACGTTACACCAGTTAGACTTAATCAGGATTCTGTTGGAGCATATGTGTAACGTGTATATATATACATTTGTTAATATTTTTATAATAAAATATAGTACAGGGTGTTCCATAGGAAATTGCTGAAACTAATCAGCTGTCATTTTTTAATGCATGCAGTTATTGAGAAAACAATTGTGTCGGAAAGAGGAAAGTCTGCAGTTTTTAATGGATATAAATAAAATGTTTGTATACCATTTTATTTTATTGAAAAAAAGTAATGAAAAATGTGCTAATAATCACATATGTAAACTATAATAAATATTTTAGAAGTAGGCATTATTTGAATTTGTATAAAAGCTGCTATTAAATCTAGCACCGTTGAAAATATTTATCATTAGTTATGTGATTTTATGTAATTATTAGCACTTTTTTCATTACTTTTTTTCAATAAAATAAACTGGTATACAAACATTTTGTTTGTATCCATTAAAAACTGTAGACTTTCCTCTTTCCAACACAATTTTTGTTTTCTCAATAACTGCTTGCATTAAAAAAATGACAACTGATTAGTTTCAGCAATTTCCTATGGGACACCCTGTATATGTCTGTGTGTGTTTTCATCATTTTTAATAGGTTTTACCTTATTAATTTTATTTTATTATTATTATGCTATATTAGCAATATACTATATTATATTTATTATATCTATATTTACATATTATATATATTATATCTATTACATTTGTGATTTGCAGTTCTATAATGAGAGGTTGCGATAACATGTGCACCTACTGCATTGTGCCATTCACAAGAGGAAGAGAGAGATCGCGACCGGTTGCGAGTATCCTAGACGAAGTTCGACAGTTATCGGATCAAGGTGTAAAAGAAATAACTCTCCTTGGACAAAATGTGAACAGTTACAGAGATTTATCGCAGTCGGAATTTGTCGTACCTGATGCAGAGACTCATCTCGCTAAAGGCTTCAAAACAGTCTATAAGAATAAAAAGGGAGGTCTACGGTTCAGCGATCTTCTAGATAAAGTCTCTTTGATTAATCCGGAAATAAGAATAAGGTATCTTTACATCAGAGAAACAGAGAGAGAAAACAAATTATTTCACTATACATCTTTGTAACATTATGACGAATTTTAGATTTACGTCGCCCCATCCCAAGGATTTCCCCGACGAGGTGTTGCACTTGATAGCCGAGAGGCCAAATATCTGTAAGCAGATTCACCTGCCCGCTCAAAGCGGCAATTCCGTTGTATTGGACAGAATGCGAAGGGGATACACCAGGGAGGCGTATCTAGACCTGGTGTATCATATACGTAAAATTCTTCCAGATGTATACCTCTCTAGCGATTTCATCGCCGGTTTCTGCAGCGAGACCGAAGAAGAGTTTCAAGATACCTTATCGTTGATAGACGAAGTGAAATATAACACTGCTTATTTATTCGCCTACAGCATGCGCGAGGTAAAATTAAAGTTATAAATTTAATAAAGTATAAGCGAAAATTATCGTATAATTAATTTTTTATATAATAATTTTATGTATAATAATTTTTTTATAGAAAACGACGGCGCATCGACGATATAAAGATGATGTCGAATCGCATGTGAAGCTGGAGCGTGTAAATCGTATGAATATGTTGTACAGAAAAGAAGTAGAAAAATTAAACAAAGCGCAGATAGGACAACATCAACTTGTTCTCGTGGAAGGCGTAAGTATTTCATCAATTCGATTATTATATATTATATTTCAAGAAATATAATATCTTTTTTTCATAAGCTCTTCTATATATATATATATGTATGTTTTACATTGATGTATTTTTTATAAAATAGCCAAGTAAGAGATGTAATGAAAATCTACAAGCTAGAAACGATGGCAACGTAAGAGTTATATTACAATCTACAGTTACTCGAATTAATCAACATTCAGTTACAACAAGGAAGATACAGCCTGGTGATTACGTTGTTGTGCGAATCGACAATGCCAACTCTCAAACTTACAAGGGATACCTTTGTATTGTTCTTCTATCAGCGAATATTCATTAGAAAGATAATGATTTGTTACATAAATAGGAATTATAACATTTAGAAGTTACAAGTGAGTTTACTTTTTTCCAAACACATATTTATTCTCGATATATATAATATATGCAAATATTTTATTTTTGAATATTGTACGTAATAGAATTTGAATAATTATTTATAATATAATTTATATATATATTATAAAATATATAAATTAAAATATATTAATATATTATTATATATATAATATAGTATATATATTATTATATTTTTATTATGTATATAATGTTATATGTATTATATTTTTTTATAATTTTTTATATTATAAATAATATAATTTATAAAATTTATTGTATCCAATAGATTTGAATAATTATTTATAATATAATTTATATATATATTATAAAATATCTAAATTAAAATATATTGATATATTATTCTATATATAATCTAGTATATATATTATTATATTTTTCTTCTGTATCTAGTTAAATGTCTTATTATATTTTATTATAATTTTTTTATTATCCCTAATATAATTTATATATTATAAAAGATATAAATTAAATCTATTAATATATTATTATATATATGATATAGTATCTATTATTATATTTTTATTATGTATATAATGTTATATGTATTATATTTTTATTATAATTTTTATATTATAAATAATATAATTTATAAAATTTATATAGTGTCGATAAATTAGAACATCTTATTATCACATGATAAATTTTATAGTATCAATTGTAGTACCTAGGTGGCAGAAAATCACAATCGCGCATGCGTGAACATATACACATAAAAATGTGTACATATGTATCATATTATCATTCAGCTTCAGGTTATGAATTGTGAAGTACGAGTAAGGTGTTGTTTACGTGCGCTACATTTATTATCGATGCTCTGATTGTGCGAACGATTGCAAATTCTGTTTCGCAGAATCCTCTTCAGCAATCTTCGAGCATAAATGGTATGTAGATTAAATTACAATAAGCAAACATTGCAATTTATAACTTTTCTCTTCTATAGACACAATATTAAATTTCAAAATTTATTAATTCTTTTTATTTGAAATGATACCAGATTTAATGTAATAAACACTTGTCAAAAGTGCTAACCATCCTGACTGACATATATATATATATATATATATATCTGTCAAATCACCAGGCTTCCAACGATGGTATTCCTCCACCTGCAGCTGTAACAGGATTTCCACCGGCGACTCCGAACATCGCATCCAGCTTCGTGCCACCCATCATGCCTGCAGCACCCTTCATTCCACCTCCCAGTCTACCACCAGGTCCTCCGGGTATAATGCCACCTCAGTTTTCTATTCCTCCTCCAGGATTTACCTTCCCCATCACGGCAGCGCCTTCTCCAGAGACTGGAGTCATAGGTTAATATCCAGTTGCTATTAATTATTCATATCAATACGATGTAAACTTGGACGTAACTATTTTTTCCTTCATTTGTAGCTGCATCGCCACAGATAACAGCACCAGGAATTCCTCCTCCCTCGCCTGTCCCCAACGACGTAGCCACTTCGACGTCCACGTCGGAGAAGAAGAGCGACTGGAGCGAGCACAAGGCACCGGATGGCAGAACGTATTACTATAATAGCATTACAAAACAATCGTTGTGGGAGAAACCAGATGAGTTGAAAACCCCCAGCGAGTTGTTGCTATCACAGTGTCCTTGGAAGGAATACAAATCGGAGAACGGCAAGATATACTATCACAATGTAACTACCAAAGAGTCCAGGTGGACGATACCACTGGAACTGGAAGAGCTGAAAACTCGAATCTTGGCTGAGGAGGCTGCAGCAGCTGCCGCAGCTGCTGTGGCAAATACTACAAATTCGTAAGTGAAATTAATTTATGATATATATATATATTTATTTATATATTTATATATATATTATAAATTTATTTCACATACTAATTATATGGTATATAAAAATATAAATGATTTATAATATATAAAGATATATATATTTTTTAATTTTATTATTACATTTATTTTAATAATTTTATATATTTTCAGTAATATGGTTCCTGTAGCGATGCAGCACTTGTCACCGAATATCACGACTATATCGCAGACCAGCACACCAGAACCAGGTGGAAAATCTGCCATCGAGCTAGCGATGGCCGCGACTCTTGCGGCGATTAATATCCCGACACCGCCGACAAAACCGGACGAGGATAGCAATTCCGCGATGGGTTCGGCCAACGACAGTCGTACTAGCACACCCGAGCCGAAGATGCAATTCAAGGATAAAAAGGAAGCGATCGAAGCGTTTAAGGAACTGTTGAGGGAGAGGGACGTTCCGTCGAATGCGACGTGGGAACAGGCGGTTAAATTAATTCAGAACGATCCTAGGTATCCACAGATGAAGAAGCTGAACGAACGTAAACAGGTCTTCAATTCGTACAAGACGCAAAAGCTGAAGGAGGAGCGCGAGCAAGAGAGACTCAGGTAGATCTTTTACGTTTACTCAAGTTATAAAATTATATTAGTTGAAATCAGATGATAAGATGGTTTCTCTCTGACAGATTGAAAAAGGCGAAGGAGGATCTGGAGCAATTCTTATTGGAAAGCGATAGAATGCTGAGTACAACCAAGTATTACAAGTGCGAAGAGCTGTTTGGAAACCTGGAACTCTGGAGGGCAGTCGGGGATTCGGATCGCAGAGACATTTACGAGGATGTCATCTTCAATCTGGCTAAACGCGAGAAAGAGGAGGCGAAACAATTGAAGAAAAGGAATACCAAAAGATTGGCCCAAGTCCTAGATACCATGACCGAGGTGACGTACAGGACCACGTGGCAAGAAGCTCAAGCCTTGTTGCTGCAGCACCCTGCATTTGCCGAAGATGCAGACCTATTGGAGATGGATAAAGAGGATGCCTTGATTGTGTTCGAAAATCATATTCGCCAGTTGGAGAAGGACGAGGAAGAAGAGAAGGAGTGCGAGAAAAAACGCAGAAAACGGCAGGAGAGGAAGAACAGAGATGGTTTCATAGTACGCGTCATTAGCTGTTTTTGATTGATTATAATTATATTTTTCAGTATCTAGTTGTACTTAAGTGATCAAATTTTCTTTTTCATTAAGAACAATATAATCGAATTATTTGATTTTTATATTTAGTTTTTATATTTGGTATTTTATATTTTATTTTATATTTTAATCATATTATCTATTATTTCTCTTTTTACTCAAGATTTATTATTAATTTAATTCTTCATAAAAATCAATAATTTTATACTGTTTTTATATAAGAAGTATAGAAATAAAATGCAAACATATTATTTTTATGTTATATTATTCAAGTTCTCCGGCATTATAATATTAATTGAATTTGTAATATAATATTTAATATAATATATTGAATGAATATAATATTTAAGTAATATTTAATATCACATTTAATTTAATATAATATAATTAATATTTAATGGGATAATTATGATTTCAGTATCTACTCGATGAACTTCACGAGCAAGGCAAACTCACATCAATGTCGTTATGGGTGGAGTTGTATCCTATGTTGTCTGCTGATCTCCGATTTTCTGCTATGCTCGGCCAGTCGGGTTCGACCCCTCTAGACCTCTTCAAATTCTACGTTGAGGACTTGAAGTCTCGATTCCACGACGAGAAAAAGATTATTCGCGAGATACTGAAGGACAAGAATTTCGAGGTGCAAGTCAACACGACTTTCGAGGAGTTTGCCACGGTCGTGTGCGAGGACCGGAAGTCGGCGACTCTGGACGCGGGTAACGTCAAACTGACGTACAATCTGTTGCTGGAAAAGGCGGAGGCGCGCGAGAAGGAGCGCGTCAAGGAGGAAACGCGCAAGTTCAAGAAACTGGAGACCGGTTTCAAGAATTTGCTGAAGACGCTGAATGTCGATTATCAGATGACGTGGGAGGACGTGAGGGCAAAAATCGAGGAAGAGCAGGATTTCAAGGCCATCACTTTGGAGAGCGAGAGAATACGCATATTCAAGGAGTATCAGCACGAACTGGAGGAGAGCTGCAGTCATCATCATATTAGAAGCAAGAAGAAAAAGGCAAAGAAATTGAAACGCAAATCGCGATCGCGATCACACAGTGTGAGCATTCAATTGTTTCTGTTTTTAATTACTTCTATATAATTTAAATTTGAAATGATACAAAATTTATATCTCTTCTCTGAATAGGAATCGGAAGGTAGTGACAAAGGTTTGAAGAGAAAACGACAACATAAGTCACGTTCACCTAGCATTCCAAGTAAGTCCGACAGTTCCGAATCCGAAACAAGGAAATCTAAGAGAAAGAAGAACAAACGGAAAAGGGGCCGCAGTCATTCTGTATGTATTAAATATTTTATTATATAAAAAGGTGACTCTTCTCTCGACCGTACTGGCAAATATTATTTATTAAATCACAACGTTTCGACCCTTCTTTGAGTCCTTATCAAGTGTTTTGTGAAAATAAAAATAAAATTATAATTTTAAGATATCAAGAACGAACATAGTGTCGGTTTGACAACACAGACTAAGAGTCTTGACGTGTATTTTATATTTTATTTTATATTTATTTTATATTTTATTTTATATTTATTTATATTATTTTATTTGATATTTTATTTTATATTTATTTATATTATTTTATTTGATATTTTATTTTATATTTTAGTCGTATTATTTATTATTTCTCTTTTTATTCGAGATTTAATTCCTCATAAAAATCAATAATTTTATACTGTTTATTATATAAGAAGTATAGAAATGAAATGTAAAACAAATTATTTTTATGTTATATTATTCAAGTTCTCTGGCATTATAATATTAATCATATTTTTAATATATTTGATTTCATATAAAATAATTATGTCATTAATATAATAATTAATATAATAAAAACGTAGATATTTGAAATCGTCAGACAGAATTTAAAAAAAGATTTTTTTTTAATTAATATAATATTGAATAAATATAATATTTAAGTAATATTTAATATACTATTTAATATAATATAATTTTCAAAGTAGATTTTATATATAATTTCATCACATTTCTCAATATTTCCAGCGCTCGCACTCGAGGGTTGCATCTTCCGAGGAGGCTTCTCCGGATAGAAAACGGAAAGAGGAGAAGCACCGGAGACCCTCGGTTCACAGCGAGGGATCTGTCACGGAAAATAACGAGCATCATGAACTTTCCGAAGACGAGTTGGAGAAACAACGGGCGCAACTTTTGCGCGAGCTTCAAATGCAACAATAGGAGAACTGAAAACTATGTCAAGTCCTTGTGTTGTGCGACTCGAGAAAGCGAGATAATGCTCTTTCTAAATTGCTTTTTTTTTCTCGTTAACTAATGATGTATAACTGTCTTTTCCGACTGTATCGTTGAAAAAAATCATGTTCCTTACTACTTTATTCAAAAAATGACAATATATTTATAGAATTCAACGAATTTGAAAGAACGAGTCGAGTCACGTTTGCTTTTAAGAAAGCTCATAAATCTGAAATACGTATCTACACATATTTAACGAGGACGTTTGCATAAAAATAGATTATATGACATAACGTATTCCAATCTTCCACCAGGCAAGTGATCTTTTCTAAAGATGAATGTGACTTGTCTCATCTTTTATTCTTTAGCGATTTAACGATCACATTGTATTCTTTTCACAACAAGTGCAAAATATGATGGCTAAATCAACTTTTCTGAAACGTATTTTTCTCTTTGCTACACTAAGCCTAATAAAATTGTCATCACGTAGATAATGTAATCCATATATTATCCACTTTGATGTCAGGCAATTAGCCTAATATATTTAATAATAATACTTGTAATTAGCCTAATATATTTAAGAATTTATTGTTTATTTTTATTTATACTCTCTTTGTCAAGTAATAATAATAATACTGCTATATTTCTATTTTTATTTTACATTACTTTTTTATTACTACTTTTAGCTTAGAAGGTTGGCAAAATAGAAATGCATAATTTCCTTCAATTTTATTTTAAAAGAAAACAATTTTGTATACTACTGGGTATCTTGAGAAAAGATATTTCAATTACATAACATTTCTATATAATCAATCCTGTATTTGATCCAATATGTTTGATATTTAATTATGCTTTTATTTATTGCAACAATAATTAATATTATTAATTCTATGAGCGAAACAAATTGATGCTGAAAGCGGATTTCTTATAGAAAACAAAGAAATAGAAAATAATTGCGAATATAAAAATTGACTCCGTTTTGTAAAATTTTTAATCAAATAAGGAATCGATATATGTTAAAATATTTGCATTTAAAAATTCAACTCTGATTGATTCTCACTTATCTTGTGCGAAATTATCGCACGAGGTACATATACATACATGCGACATACATTATGTATGATTGACCATTATTGATTTTGATTAGGCCTAATGTAGTCACAAGTGATATGGATTTAAGTTGTAAAAAACGACGATGCCTAATACTTTGACTCCTCTTTTGAATAAAAAAATATTTTATTTTAATACACATATAAGAACTCTAAAATATTATATTTTTATATATTACATTTTTTATTATAATATGTAGAATATAACTTTTATTTCGAATATTATATTTTGTTATAAGATATAATATATTTTATATATTATATTTTTATTATATTTTATAATAATAAATATATAAAATATATAATATATATATATAATTATATATTTTATAATATAAAAAATATATATATTATATTATATAATAAATATATATTTATAAAATATATTTATTTTATATAAGTATTATATTTTATTTATAATATGTATTATGTAAGGTAATATAATATAATTTAATATATATATATATATATATATATATATATATATATATATATATATATTATAATTTTATATTATAACTAGAGTTGGGACGAGCACAGAAAGGGTAATAAAATCGACTGTGAAAGTAGACCAGAGACAGAGACAACATTTGATAATAATTTTCAGCAACCCCAGGGTGATCTCCAGGTGATATCCTAGGTACGTTCCTGATCGTTTCCACGAGAAGAAGGTGGGGGAGCCCGTAGTAGGCAGCGTTCGCCCGATGGTGCGCGGTGGCGTCGAACTGTGTTTCAACTCAGTTTTGGCGATTCGGCACAACGAGTGCCGAGGAAGAGAAGGAGGTGGAGGAGCCGGAGAAGAGGAAGAAAAAGAGAGCTGCCGATCGTGTCGCGAGAACGTCCGTCGAGAACTGTCAGTCGAAGGGCTCCTTTGCCCTCGAGCATCGCGTTTGACGAAGGGCGCCGACGTCATCCCACTGTCCTTGTAACCGCTGAACCATGTTGGGCCTGGTGTGTCGTCAGGCGTTGCTGGCGAATACCCAAAAGTGAGTATTTGAATCTTTCAATCGCATATTCTTCATTTCTGCGAAGTTGCGTCAACCTTCCCAGAGCTTTTTTCTCCTCTTTTTTCATCAATCAATGACTGTGAATAATGTATCGATCATCGTATAGTCCTAGGGTAACCTGGATTTTCTCCCACCTGGTCTTGCGAAAAAAAGAATTTATTGTCACATGCTAAAGTGACACCTTGACGATGATGATGATGATGATGATGATGATGATGTATGAATTAATGCGAAAAAAAAGAAATTATTGTCACATGCTGAAGTGACACCTTGACGATGATGATGATAATGATGATGATGACGATGATGATGATGATGTATGAATCAATGCGAAAAAAAAAGAAATTTATTGTCATACTGAAATGACACCTTGATGATGATGATGATGATGATGTATGGATCAAGAAGGTTCTCTATCAGAATGAATGATGATGGTGTGTCATGTGTTGTTGATTTAACACGTCTGAAATCATATGTGAATGTTCTTGCAACATCAAATATTGTATTTGATGCGTAAAGAAAAAAAGTAATCTTTGACTGACATCATCATTGTTGATGCTGGTCATTAATGAATGTGCTCTGACCACAAAACTCGGCTATATTTTATATCGTGTTGCGTTCTACATTAAGGTCAGATTTTTCTTGAGAAGAAAAAAATCGTCGAACGGAGTAATTCTTGAAAAATAAAGTAATACTTGATGTAATTTATTTCTGAAAATTTGCAAAAATTAATTGTAATTAACGTACAAGTGTAAGAAGCTTAATGGATCATACAGACAACATTTATTTTTATATAAATTTAGAATTTATATTTTTACATAAATTTTCGCGATTTAATATTTATTGAAGATTCAGTAGTCATCTTTTTTTTACAATTTTTTTAAAATTAAATTACACGTGTCAGTGTGTCATTTGCAAAAAAAAATAAGAATTTGTGAGTGTCTTTATTTTTTTTTATTTGTGAAGAGAAAATTTTCTTAATCACGACAAATGTTTTCTTTGTTAATTAATTTTAATTTTCTAACTAAATAACTAAAATTGAAAATAAACAATTGTAAAAAATATCTTGAATACTATGTAATCTTAATATTATAATGGGAGATAAATGTTTATTTAAATTAACTTTTAATTAACAATTCAATTTCCGTCAGACTTTATAATTGACAATATAATCAACATTTATGCGTGAAAACAATTAAAAATGGATATAAACAATTATAAAAAACATCTCGAATACAATATAATCTTAATGTTATTATGGGAGCGATATATCCCCTTTTTGGTAGATGAAATTTATGTTTATAATCCGTCATAATTATCTATATTAATTATCGATGATCCCGCTAATTAAGGTCAAGCGAAGAGAATATTATATAACATATATTTTCTTCCCGCGTGTTTATATGAATGTTCTCTCCTTCGTCTCTTCTAATATATATTAATTTAATAGTTAAGTTATCGATTAGATCGCGATAATTTTTATCAGCATACGAGACGAAGATGTTCTTACATATATACGGTTGCAATATTAAATAAATCACTTTTGGTCAAGTACGACATAAGTAAACAAGAGGCTCGTCTCGAAACTCAAATGCATATTTGACGAGGACGATAAGATTGTCAACTCGAGATTCCACCGTAAAGATGCCTAAATAAATATTTGAAAATCTTATCGGGGCTCTCTTAAGAGTACTTAGATAAATTTTTTATCTGCTGGTGCGTCTTTCTTCCGGAAGAAATTAAAAACAATTTAATTATCAATTATTATTATTATCATTATTTGTTTTCTTTTCTATTAATTGTCATTTTTTTCTATTATTATTAGTATTATAAATTTCTCTTCTATTATTATTATTAGTTTTTATTATACATTTCTCTTCTATTATTTATTATTACTATTATTGTTTTTCTCTTCTATTACTTATTATTTTTTATTATGAATTTCTCTTCTATTATTATTTATTATTACTACTATTGTTTTTTTTCTTCTATTATTTATTATTATTATTATATTTTCTTCTATTAATTATTATGAATTATTATTATTATTATTATTATTTCTTTTCTATTAATTATGAATTATTATTTCTATTACTGATTTTTTCTTTTATTAATTATTACCTATTATTAATTTTTTCCTCTTTTATTAATTATTTTATTATTTTGCAGGGTCAGCGCCAGATGTCTAGGGTCAATAGTGCCGGTGCCAAATCCTCCGGAATTTCCTCTGGAGAATGAACCGGTTCTCAGTTACAAGAAGGGCAGCCCAGAGAGAGCGGAGCTGGAGAAGGTCCTGGGGAAGATGGCTACCGAATGCGAGGAGGTGCCGTTAGTAATCGGCAACGAGGAGATCAAGACCGACCTGTGCAGGCACCAGGTCATGGTACGTCGCATCATATCAATTAAGCATAACAAAAGATGTATAATAGTTTCCAAGCTAAATATTGGATAGTTACAGTCAGCAAAACGACTCGCAGAGTCCGATGTCTATTATTTAGCTTTGAGCCTATTACATTTTTTACACAACAGATCATAAGTTGCAACATATGAGAAAACCAGCTGATTTTATTGGGATTCAATTTCATCCAGGATTTTATATCTCAAAAAGCCTCCATGAAATCTTGTATAAAATAAAATCTTGATAAGATCAGGTAATTGTCTTATACATGTTGTAACTTTAGTAACTTACAACACGAAATGTCAAATGGGACAACTAGTAACTCTTACTTACTCGTCTAAAACTTCTCTCCTACATTGACCTCAATTTTCCCTCTCCAGCCGCACAATCACCGGGAGAAGATCGCCAAGTACTACTGGGCGACGCCGGAGCTGGTGAAGAAGGCGATCGACGTTGCGGTGAAGGCGCAACGCGAATGGGAGAGGCAGCCGATCGAGAAGCGACTGGAGCTGTGGCTGAGGATAGCCGATCTGATGGCGAGCAAGTACAGGCAACAGCTGAACGCCGCGACCATGCTCGGGCAGAGCAAGACCGTGATACAGGCGGAGATCGACAGCGCGGCCGAGCTGATCGACTTCTTCCGGATGCACGCGTACTTCGCGCGGGAGAGCCTCAAGTATCGGCCGATCTCGCCGAATCGGCAGATCCTGAACTCGATGAGGTACCGCGGCATGGATGGCTTCGTCGCGGCGATCTCGCCCTTCAACTTCACCGCGATCGGCGGCAACCTCAGCTACACGCCGGCTCTGATGGTTTGTAAAACGTGGTTGCAAACCTGAATGGACACGCGCGCGCTTTAGTCGAGGCTCTCACTCGCGTCATAATAATGTATCACGAGCGCGTGTCAATCATGTGCGATTGCAGGGTAACGCCGTGCTATGGAAGCCGTCTGACACCGCGTTACTGTCCAACTGGTGGATCTTTAAGATATGCAGGGAGGCCGGGGTGCCGCCCGGCGTGGTGAACTTCGTCCCGTGCGACGGCCCGGTCTTCGGGGACACCATCACGTCCTCGCCCTACCTAGCCGGGCTCAACTTCACCGGCTCGGTGCCGACGTTCAATCGCCTCTGGGCGCAGGTCGGTCAGAATCTCTCCAGGTACAGGAACTACCCGAAGTTGATCGGCGAGTGCGGCGGTAAGAATTATCACTTCGTGCACGCCAGCGCGGACGTCGACTCGGTCGTCTACGGGACCATCAGGAGCGCCTTCGAGTTCAACGGACAGAAGTGTTCCGCCTGCAGTAGGATGTACGTGCCGGAGTCTCTCTGGGCCAAGGTTAGCGAAGACACATTATTACTATTATTGTTTTTTCTCTTCTATTATTTATTATTACTATTATTGTTTTTTCTCTTCTATTATTTATTATTATTATTATTATTATTATATTTTCTTCTATTAATTATTATGAATTATTATTATGCCGTGTTGTTAATTTTTCTGTCAAAGGCAATTTTAAGACGCCTGCGGCTATGTCAGATTGTGACGTCAGAAGCCTTAAATGTAAAAGATATGAAAGAGAGGAGGTGTTATAAAGATATTGTCGTGATACATTAATGAAGAGATGAAAAGTTATGCGTTAACAGAAGGATTAAATTAACTTTGAACGTAATTAATTTTTAATTTAATTTTTTCAACCATTTTTTGGTTTTAGGTAAAGGACGGTCTTTTAGCTCTTCGCCAGAAACTCACGATCGGCGATGTTCGAGATTTTACTGTGTTTACCGGCGCCGTTATAGACGCCACCGCGTTTAAACGTATCTCCGGTTACATCGATTATGCGAAGAAATCACCCAAGATGGAAATCCTCGGCGGTGGAGGCTACGATGACTCGTACGTTTTGTGAACACTATTATTATTATCAATTTATGATGATGATGATTATTAATGCAACCTTAATGTTGCAATCCATTCTAAGATACGAATTTTCCTTTCTAGATGCGGATATTTCATCGAACCAACAATAGTGCAAAGCAAGGATCCAAAAGAGAAACTCATGACGGAAGAAATATTCGGTCCGGTGCTTACGATATACGTTTATAAGGATTCCGACCTGGACGAAACCATAAAACTGGTAGAAACATCCACACCTTACGCTCTAACAGGCGCGATATTCGCGGAAGACGAGTAAGTAAGAGTTACTAGTTGTTCCATTTGACGTTTCATGTTGTAAGCTACTAAAGCTACAACATGTAAGAAAATTAGCTGATCTTACCAAGATTTTATTTTATACAGGATTTTATGGAGGCTTTTTGAGATATAAAATTCTAGATGAAATTGAATCCTAATAAAATCAGCTGGTTTTCTCATATGTTGCAGCTTATGATCTGCTGTGTAAAAAATGTAATAGGCTCAAAGCTAAATAATAGACATCGGACTCTGCGAGTTGTTTTACTTACTGTAACTATTCAATATTTAGCTTGGAAACTATATTATACATCTTGTGTTTAACAAGTCATAAGCTAAAATGTATGAGAAAACCTGCTGATGTTATCCAGATTCAATTTTAACAAGGATTTCATAAATAGATTCAAGAACCCCGTTAATTAATTCTATATAAAATTGAATCTTGGTAGGATCAGCTGGTTTTCTCGTATGTTGTAGCTTATGATCTGCTGAACAAAAATTGTAATAGGTTCAAAGCTAAATAATAGATATCGGGCTCTGTGAGTTGTTTGATTGGCTGTAATTATCCAATATTTAATTCGGAGACTATATATCTTTTGTTTAGCAAGTCATAAATTACAACGTATGAAAGAATCAGCCCAATTCCAGCGAAAGCTAATATCCTATACATTTGATGCAGGGTCTTTTAGATGAAAAATGTTAAATATTGTATTTTAAATTGCTGAATTCTCCAAACTTGAAGACATGTAAATTATTATTCTTCTCGTTTGTAGGAACTGGGCGAGGAAGGCGCTGGAGGATTTGAAATATACCGCTGGCAATTTCTACGTGAATGACAAATCGACCGGATCGGTGGTCGGCCAGCAACCCTTTGGCGGAAGTCGAATGTCCGGGACGAACGACAAAGCCGGCGGACCTCATTATGCACTTCGTTGGGCGTCTCCGCAGTCCATCAAGGAGAACTTTGCGCCTATACGAGAGTTTGACTATCCGTACATGAGATCCTAAACGCGGATAATTCCGTTGTCAATTCATCGATGTGATTACGGACGTATCTGGTAATTTAGATTGGCGATAGGCGCGTCGAGAAATATCTGATCAGAAGAGAAATGAATGTTTTGAAGCAGTATATATCGCGGTATTAATTCACTCTTCATTGATTCGAAAAATAGGGTTTTCATCGAGGTGTCACATAAATTCGCAACACATTAAAAACGTCATTCTTAAATTAAGTTTCTTAATTGAGAAAGGCAAATATGATTACAGGAATAACATGAAATATTATATATTACATATTCCAAAATTTTATTCGATTAATATCATTTCTGACTTATCAATCAGAAAGAAAAAAAACGAGAGAACTTTTAACAAAGAAAAAAAATAAAAAAAAAGAGTAAAAATAAACAAGATGAAATACAATCTAAAATGCTAGATTAATTTAACGTAAATAAAAATTGAAAAAAAAAATTGAATTTGTGTGCTCTTTGTTTCGATGAAAAGCACGATAAATGAATTTGCGACCGCAGTTTTGCTATGCACAATAGGGAGACACGACTAGATTTTTTTTAGACGAACCAATGCTAGAAGGAGAAGTCACACACACACACACACACACACACACATTTACACAGCTTTGTAAGAGAGTTACATTTAATAATGCCTTCGAATGTTTTTGATGAAGTCTTACTATCCAGGACATTGCTTTGAAGAATTTAAACATACGATCAAAGTATCATCTAATAAAACGCGAGATCTCCTCAGTTTGTACCGAGATATACATCCTTTTTCTTCGTGTCTCTCCCTCTCGGTACAATATAATACTTTTATAATTCAGGTAATTTAGAGGAAGAAAGAACGACGCGTTTAATCAACTATTAAGATACTTTGATTACATGTGAGATAATCTTTCACAGAATGTGCAATCGATACTGAGATATCGTTATTGCCAAGTGTCCTGAATGTCCTGAGAATCGACGGGGATAGAATAAATAATGTTTAATGTGATCGATAAAGCGCTTCGGCTTAAGAAGATCCTGTTTACGCGACGCGCTAATAAATATTCTGTTTTTTCTTTTTAATTACTACTAGGGAGATTGTGTGATGTGCGGATATGCAGTGACTCTTTGGTTCCTTTTTAATGTACCTTGTAAGATTGTATATATACAGAAAGACGATCTCTGTAATAACGGTTAATGTAGGATTAGATACACCCTTTAGACCCGACATCGATTTGTCCTCTATTCTCTCGTGCGAGATTGACGTGATTTCGCGAGTTGATGAGCCGAGAGGACATATTAATTGACAATATATATTGTATACTGCGGCAAATGTTACAGCGTTATTTAAGTGTACAATAGCAATAAAAAATATATATATATAAATTGATATTTATATCTTTACAAACATATTCTCTCTCAGATAACAAGCGTACGTCATTTTGACGTCGATGACGTCATAGATATCAAAATGACGTCATTTTGACGTCGAATTTACGTCTTAGATATCAAAATGACGTCATAGATATTAAAAGACGTCATTTTGACGTTTAATGACGTCAGTTTGTTATACTTGGACTGCTTTGTATCTAATTTATACTGTAATAAAAAAGCGCGCCATTTTTTGAAATACCGGATGTGACGTCACGCGTTATCTCGAGAGATCGAGACTCGAAATCTCGGTCGGTCTTTCTTTCGTGATTCCACGCGTAGGAAAGAACTAATGTGAGTAAATTCACGAAATTTTTCAATATTATCCTACATATAAATGTTACGATGACGAAACAGTTTTTGCATGATTTTTATTAAGTTATGTAAAACGTTTAAAAAGTCCTTGTAAAACAAATATCGTTTTACAAAACATTTTATCAGTTTCGTGCATTTTTAGGTTAAGTTGTATTTCAATGAATAATAATGCTTCAAATATATTTCAATTACTAATTCAAATATCAAGAATTATTGCATTTTGCAATATTCTTAATGCAATTTCTGCGTCTGTACAATTAATAATTATATTAATTATATTGTATAATTATTATTATTATATCATATATTTAATATTATTATTATTAATATATTGTGTAATTAATGTTATTATATTAATATATTATATATTGTATAATTAATAATAATATTAGTTATACAATATATTAATTTTTTACATATTATATATATGACAGTAGTTGATAGTAATAATTGATAATACTTGAAACTTATTTCATTATACAAGTATAATTATTGTAACGACATATCAGATGTAATTTTAGTTATTAACAATATTTGCAACAAGTTAAAACTTTTTCAAGGTAAAAATAATGTTCTGTGACGCAACACCTTTTATAACATTTTCCTTTAAATTGCAGAATGGCGGACGCTGCTCCAGCCGCTCGCGGAGGCTTTCGTGGAGGTTTCGGTTCTCGCGGAGCTGGAGGCGATCGTGGAGGCCTGAGAGGTCGAGGTCGAGGCAGAGGTCGAGGACGCGGCCGTGGACGCGGCAAGGAAGACAGCAAAGAGTGGATCCCCGTCACCAAGCTGGGTCGTCTGGTCAGAGACGGCAAGATCCAATCCCTCGAACATATCTATCTATTCTCCTTACCAATCAAGGAGTACGAGATTATCGACAAGTTCCTTGGACCGGATCTGAAGGACGAGGTTTTGAAAATCATGCCTGTACAGAAGCAGACCAGGGCAGGTCAACGTACACGTTTCAAGGTAAACCTAAAGTCTTCTTCCTGTCTTCGACAATTATTTTATATATTAATATATATTATATTTTATATATTATATATTTTATATATTATATATTTTATATATTATATATTTTATATTAGAGGTTTATTATATAGGATATTATATATATTATGTTTTATATTATATATATTAATATTTTATATTATATTTTATATATTATATTTTATATATTATATATTATATTAGATATATTATGTTTATATTATATATATTAATATTTTATATTATATTTTATATATTATATTTTATATATTATATTTTATATAATATATTATATTTTATATATTATATGTTTATATATTATATTTTATATATTAATATTTTATATTTTCTTATATTAATTATTTTAATAAATTAAAATTGATAAAGATACAACAAGAATCTCTAATATGGACTAAACAAGGCTAAGATGCTTCATATGACAAGACTGAGTAAAATGAAATTCTGTACAGGCTTTCGTCGCCATCGGAGACAGCAACGGTCACATTGGACTGGGAGTCAAGTGCTCGAAGGAGGTGGCCACTGCGATTCGCGGTGCCATCATCCTCGCCAAGCTCTCCGTCGTTCCTGTTCGACGCGGTTACTGGGGCAACAAGATCGGCAAGCCTCACACGGTGCCGTGCAAGGTGACAGGGAAATGCGGCTCCGTGCAGGTGCGCCTGATACCGGCGCCTCGTGGTACCGGCATCGTGTCCGCCCCGGTTCCCAAGAAGCTGCTGCAAATGGCTGGTATTGAGGACTGTTACACCTCGGCCAGGGGATCCACCTGCACGCTCGGCAACTTCGCCAAGGCGACTTACGCCGCGATCGCCAAGACGTACGCATACCTTACGCCCGACTTGTGGAAGGAGCAGGCTCTTGCTAAGGCGCCGTATCAAGAATACGCCGACTTTCTGTCGAAGACACACAAGGGAGGCGTTAGAGCGGCCGAGGTTGTCTAAATAAAACGTTCTCCAGGCCCAGGAGAGCCTTTTGAAAACATTGTAAAACGAGTCTCATTATTTTCCTTCCGCATCTTTCAATTCCTTGAAAGTTAGTATATGTATATATATGCAAAATTTAGACGGTTTTTGATTTATCGATATGTTGAGGAAAGCTTAGATTTTTATTTATCTGTTTTAAATGATATATGTAATTTTAGGGGAAAGTGCAATTTTTATTTAATTAAGAAATTTATGATATAATGCTAAAAATAATATTACTTGATTATTTATGGAAGATATATTCTATGATTATTTTAATTATTAGCATAATGCATTTATTTTTAATTTATTAATATATTTTATTTGTCAGAGAAATTTAAACTTATGTCTGTTTTAAATAATATGAATAATTTTAGTAGGCACATTTTTTAATTACAAAATTTCTTTTATAACGTCAAAAGAAAAAAATTACTTGATGTATTATTTCATGATTATTTTAATGATACTATTATAATGCATTTGTTTTCTAATTAATATATTTTGATGACAGAAGTTTAGATCTACATTGTAAATAATATCTATGTGTAATTTAGTAAATGCGTTTTTCATTTCATTATAATATAACAGAAAAAGTTTTATAGTATAAATTAGAAATTTATAAAATAACAGAAAAATTAACATATATTATTTATTGAAGATATATATTTCATAATTATTTTAATTAGTATTTTTTATTATAATTTTTATTATAATATTTGTATTTTGTAGCCCAAATCTAATTGTTTAAATTTCATTATATCACAAATAGAATTGTAAATCATCATTCGACCTGAATCGGCATTGAAAACGGTGTCTAGTGTCAAATGACGTCACCACTCACACCACAATGGCGGTCGATGTACATACATATGTGGCATACATACATAATCAAATAATGTAGAGCTGGACGCGATTCTTCGCATCGACCGATCCGATTTCGCTCGCGAGGAGCGTCCTCGAGGAGTGGGAACTCCCGGACACAGGACTCCAGTCGCATTATGCTCATCATCATCGTAGAACAGATTGCGCTTGCCGTCACCGACCTCGATCCACGTTGATCCCGGACGCTTATCGCGCTTATCAGGCTAGCTGCGGTTTCGCGATACACGCCAGGATGTTCAAGAAATTCAAGGACAAGCTGGCGGAGGAGATGAAGCAGTCACCCGCCAGGTTGCAGGCAAGCGTGCAACAGCTGGCGCAGGTTCGCTTTGACATTTGACATTTTAAATGACTGTCGTCGATTTCGTCGTGTCTTTTGTTCCTCATTGTTGTCCTTGCCCTTTTCTTCCAGGCTGTAGTGTCGCCGGCGCTGTCCAACAGCTCCATTCAGGAAGTGTCAGCGTCAAGTGACAATTTCAGTTTGACAGAAGATGGAGACGGTGAGCATGCATGAGCTTGATGTTCGACAAGAATTGTTCAGGGTTTAGAGCTTCGGAGTGCTTCAGATATTTGGGATGAGTCACCGGAGACAAAATATTTAAATAATCCCTAATATAAGATATTTCAAACACCTTGAAAGCCTCTAAATGTTGCTTGGATCTTCCTCGATCAAGATATCTTTATAAGAAAAAATTATAATATAACAGAAAGAATTTTGCAGTATAAATTAGAAATTTATAATGTAACAGAGAGAGAGAGAAAGAAAATATAGAAAATTATATTATTTATAGAATATATACAGGGTGTCCCATGGGAAATTGCTGAAACTAATTAGCTGTTAGTTATTTTTGCATGCAGTTATTAAGAAAACAAAAATTGTGTTTGAAAGAGGAAAGTCTGCAGTTTTTAATGGATGTGAATAAAATGTTTGTATACCAGTTTATTTTATTGATAAAAAGTGATAAAAAAAGTGTTAATATCATATATGTAAACTAATGATAAATATTTTTAAATTATACACCATTTGAATTTATACAAAATTCTGTTCTTTTAAGAAAACTCGTAAAAACTTTTTAACATGTCATTTTTAATGTTATTGACGATTCTTTTAATAGTTGCTATTATATCTGGCACTGTTGGAAATATTTATCATTAGTTTATGTGATTATTAGCATTTTTTTCATTACTTTTTATCAATAAAATAAACTGGTATACAAACATTTTATTTATATCCATTAAAAATGTTTGTTTTCTCAATAACTGCATGCATTAAAAAATGACAGCTGATTAGTTTCAGCAATTTTCTATGAGACACTCTATATATTTCATAATTATTTTAATTAGTATTTTAGTATAATATATGCATTTGTAGTTCATAGTGCAAATCTAATTTTTATATTTCATTATCATCGCAGATAGACAGGATTGTAAATCAGCATTGAAAATGGCATCTAGTATTAAATCATATTTTAGGGCTATATAAGTGTTCTGTTCTCTTGGTGATCACATATTTGGTATTGCATTTTATAGATTTAAATTAAGATGATATTTCTACTTGTAGAAACACCAAAGAACACTCCAGCGAAGCATAGTTTCCAGAATGTTGACCTAATGTCGCCATCTCCGAATCTCGCAGAGATCTCGAGAAGATCCTCGGTGAGCAGTGTCACCAGTGACGCGTCCTCGTTGTTTCCAATGTATGAGAGTCCTTCGAATCTATATCATCTACAGGTTTGTCTTGTTACTTCGACATCCATCGACAAGTGGCTTGTCATTCTTTCGCAGAAACTAACAATTTGTACCTTTTACAGTCGGACATGGATCAGTCAGCCAGCGAAGTAGATGACAATATCAGTCCTCACCTTGACAGGGTGACGAAGGATCAGTTATACTCCGCTTATCGAAAGGTGCAAGCGAAATACCACAAATATCGCGGTAGATACACTGATCTGGCTGCTCACTATCGCGAATTGGACAGAGTGAAGAGCAGACTGGAGTCTGTGTTAGTGGAGACACAGGACAAGGTTCTGAGGAGGATAACCGACCTGAAGGAACAATGTCAACTGGAGCAACAAGCGAAGGCGCATCTGGAGGAAGCGCTAAGAAACGATATCGAAGAGAAGGATCACATTATCAGTACTTTAAACACAAAAGTGAAATTACTACAAACGAGCGGACCAACCCTGGACAATTCGGTGTCAGAGGAGCAAAAGGAAAACTCCAAGGACAATCTGATCGACCTGAGTAACGAGTCGCCTAACGAGAACGAGAGTTCCGCTCTGTCGACGGAGAACGCACAGCTGAAGGACAAGTTGAAGAAATTGGAAAATCTGGTCTTGAAGTATAAGGAGTCCTTGAAGCGCAATAAGGACAAGTTCACCGAGGTGATGAAGGAGAAGAACGCTTTGGAGAACGATCACGAGGCGCTGAAGAGTTCCACCGCCGAGAGGATAAGCGCGACGGAGGGCGAATTAAATGTAGCTCGTGTCGAGGTCGAGAAGCTGACGGAGCAGGTGGCCACTTTGCACAAACGCGAGGAGGAATCGGCGATCTCCTTGGCCGAGAACAAACTCTCGGTGCACCGGGAACTCGAGGAGAAGGAGGAGCAGATCAAACAGCTGCAGATCGAGCTGAAACACACGGTCGAGGATAGGGACAGCTTGAGTGACAAATTGAACTCCACGATAACAAGATATAAAACCGAATTGAGTAAACTGGGCAAGTCGCACGAGAAGGATGCAACGGACGCGAAGGAGAAGGTCGAAATGGTCAATCATGGCGAGGAAACCAGATCGGGGAAGGATGAAAATACCTTGGAAGAGTTAACGCAACGTTTGAGGGAGAAGGACACGGAAGTTCAAGAAGTGCAGCGTAAGCTGGACGAGTCGGAGAAGCAAAACGTCGAATATAAACACGACAAGGAGGCACTGAATGCCCAGTTGATGGTCTACAAAGAGATATATGAGGAGCTGAAGGAGGAGTACAGCGCCCAGAAGATCATTAGGGAGGACGCCGAGGCGACGATCGAGAAACTTCAGGCCACGGTGCAGAGCGTCGACAAGGAGCTGGAGAACATGAGGAGCGCGTTGATCGATCGGGACCAGGTATGCGAGAATTACAACAGGAAGATACAGCAGTATACAGGCATGGTGGAGAAGGCTAAGCACAAACTGGCGGAGCAGGAGACGCAGATCAAGTCTCTCAAGGACAAGTTGGAGGACAGGACGGAAGTCTGCGAGCTGCAGAGGGAGCTGGAGAACAAGAAGGCGGAATTGAGTGGGGTGCAGAGCGAGCTGGAATGTTGCAGGTCCTCGATCGACGATCTTAAGAATAAGGTCCAGGCGGACAGTTCGGCCTTGAGTTTGCTGAAGAAGGAGAGGAGCGACTTGATCAACCGTCTGGTCTATTACAACGATTGTATGCAACGTCTGAAGAAGGACTGTGCGATTGTTAGAAGCACAGTGAGCGAAGAATTCTCAAGTCGACAAGCCGAAATGTCCAACCTGAACGCGCTCCTCGCCGGGTCCTTCCTGAAGCTCGAGGAAGAAAACGCGACGCTCAAGTCCGAAGTGAATAACCTGCACTCGAAAATGAAGAACCTGGAACAGTTTGCACAAGTCAACAGTTCTAAAGAGATGGAACTGGAGTCGGAACTGACGCGAGTAGCGAATCTCAAGGTCACGCTGGAGGCGGAACTGAGACAGGCTAAGGAGCAGCTGAGGGAGATGACCTTGAAGAATGACCGCTGTGACGAGCTGAACGCGATGAACAATAAATTGATAGCCGAAATTGACAATCTTACTTTTAAGGTACACGATTTGGAGAAGGCCTCGCAGAAGTTGACGCAGTCGCAACAGGAGGTCTGCGTCTTGGAGGAGCGGCTGCGAGCCTTGGAGAACCTCGAGGCCGTAAATCACACTCTGTCGCTCGAGATCGACGACTTGAGGGAGAAGCACAGCCAAGCTGGTCGTGTCTTCAAGGAGGTGGACGAGTTAAACGCGAGGCTGCGCGAAGCCACCGAAGTTATCGACTCGCTGAAGTCGGAGAGCGGCGACAAGGCTGCTCTTCAAGGCGAGCTGCACGCTTCCAGGTCGGAGCTCGCTCGCCTGAGGGACGACCTGGCCGAGAGGGAGGACCGGGTGAGGAAGCTCGACGAGCAGCTGGAGTCAACCTCGAAGGACAACCTAACCTTGAAGGAGGAGTATGAAACTGCGACGGAGATCCACGCGAGAGAGACCGCGGAATTGGTGGAGAACAACAAGGAACTGCAGGAGACGATAAGCACGAAGCTCGCGCAGCTGAAGAAGCTGAAGATGATCAAGGAACGGCAGAGTAAGACTATCGAAGAGGCGAACGCCGAGCTCGACGAGCTGAAGACGAAGCACGCGGAGTCCTCCAGGTTGCTGGAGACCTCGGAGAGGCAAATCGAGATGCTGAAGTCGGAGAACATTCAGCTGACGAAGGTCGCCCTGGAGAACAAGGATCTGAAGGACAAGCACAACGATCTTCTGAGTCACAATCAGAGGCTCTGCGAGAACGAGGAGGCTCTGAAGCAGAGGATCAAGGATTACGAGAAGGACCTTGAAGAACTGCGGAATACGATGAAGGAGCACGTGGAATCGTACAAATCTCAACTGGACAGTCGGAATGAAGAGACGGACCGGCTGAAGAGTGGCTTGACAGCTGTCAATTCGCAACTAGAATCTAAAGAGGCGGAATTGGGGTCGCTGAATGAAAGACTGGCGGCGAGCGAGAGGGAATTGCGAGAAGTCGCGGAGAAACTTGAAGAGCGGAGCAGCCAGCTGCGGGATAGGGTCTCCGAGTTAGATGCAGCCGTGACGAATGGCAACGTTTTGAAAGAGGCGAAGGAACAGCTTCTCGCCGAGCAGGCGACCTTGAAGAATAGAATCGTCGAGTTGGAGAACGCAGACTCCTACAACGCGGAGCTGCAGACCACTTTAACGAATCTGCAGTCCAAGAAATCCAGCTTGGAGGCTCTGCGCGAAGCGAACAGCAGATTGCATTCGGAACTGGACGCCCTGCAATCTGGCAGAGACTCGTCGACGGAATTGGACGCCTTGAAGGACTCCTTGACGCAGAAGGACGAGGAGATCAGGCTGCTGGAGGACAAAACTTCCAACATGCTGCAAGAAATCGGGAGCCTGAGGCAGTTCTCGCTGGAGGTCGACGAGAGAAGAAGGGAAGTCGACTCGCTGAGAAGTTTGGTTGCGCCCTTGGAGCAGAAAGTTGCTGCTCTGCAGTCGGAAATCGGTTCCCTCACCCGGACGAACGACGCGTTGCGAGACGAATTGGAGGTCGCTCGTAATGACGCCAAGTGCCAGCTGGAGAACGAGAAATTGCACGAGGAGAAGAAGAGATTGGAGGCGCAGCTCGACGAGGCGTTGATCACATTCCAAGCGAAGGAGACGCAGATGACGCTGATGAGTAACGAGCTGAAGGCGCAGGCTAATCAGCTGAAGGAGGAGCTGAAGACTAACGAGGAGGAGCAAGGGATGAGGCTGAAGCAGCTGGTCAAGGAGTTCCAAGCTCAGTTGCACGATAAAGAAGAGGAGCTCCAGGCCGCGTTGGAGAAGCGTTTTGGTAGGACATATTTTCTTCTTTTTTTAAAGATGTGTGTGCGTAAAATGAAACAATTTTGAAGTGTGTAATGACCAGCGTTTGATCTTTGTAGACCGCCAACAGAATTACGAGTCGAATCTTGTGCAGCAGTATAAGGAGCAGCTGAAGGATTGTCAGATCGAATTGACGGAAAAGTCTGAACAACTTGAGAGCCTTGTCCTGGAGAACAAGGACGCAGTGGAGGAGAAGGGAAAAGATATCGATCGCCTGGTGGAGACGATTGCGCAGATTAAGGATGAGCAAAATAACGAGATCAAGGAGTTGGAGAAGAAGTGGAAGGCTATAGTGCAGCAGAAGATAGATAGTCTGCAAAGTAAGCACGAGGACGAATTGAACGAGCTGACGAAGGAATGGCAGAACGAGAGGAAGGTCAGTTCACTAGTCGAAGATGAACTGGCTAGTTTAGAGTTTGGGTTTGTTCTTTTCAGAACTAACTGCACTAGTTTGGGTTTGCTCTTTTTAGCTGAACTGCCTGCTCTAGTTCAAAGTTTATCCTTTTTACTTCATATATTGGAAGGAAAGAGATAAACTCTGAACTGGTGAAGTCAATTCAGCTATAAAGAACAGACCTTTTATCTTTTTTCTTCACACTGGAAGGAGAGAGGTAAAGTCCGAACTAGTGTAGCCAACTGAAAGGGACAGATCTGTTATAATTTGATTTAGCGCACGTGGATAATTCGAATATACAGATTTTTCAAGCGAGAAATCGTACGCATTTCTTTGAATTTAATTTAATTTTTTAATTTGCATTTTGTTTTCGCATTATTTTCAGCTTGATGTGCAAACTGCAGCAGCTTCCGAGGTAAAGCTTATTATTTCTTTTCGTTTCTTTTTCTTTAGCACTTACCTTGGGTCTGTTCTTTTCAGCAGAACTGGCTATTCTAGTTCAGAATTTATTTTTTCACTCCATATTGGAAAGAAAGAGATAAACTCTGAACTATCGTAACCAGTTCAGCTGAAAAGAACCGATCTTCTGGCTATTTCTCCTGCATGTGCATTGCAATTGCTACGGAATAATATATCTAGAGTGCTCAGAGTAAATGAAGATATAATTAAGTAGATCTAAATAACTAAACCTAATTATAATTATATAATTGAATAGAATAATTGAATACATAATTGAAATTTCACACAGGAATTGGAGAGCACTTCTCGGGTGGCGATGGCCGCGATACAAACCAGCACTGGTTCCATTCACACTCTGCAACAGACTTTGACGTCCCAAAGACGGGAGATCGCGGAGCTCAGGAAACTGGTGAAACTCCGACACGACACGCTAGAGGACTCCACGGAGATAGAGTACCTGAGAAATATTCTGTTCGAATACATGATGGGAAGGGAGACTATGGTGCTCGCCAGAGTGATCGCTGCTGTTGTCAAGTTCGACCAGGAACAAACTACAAAGATACTTAAGAAGGAGGAGGACAAACTCACTCTGGTAAGCAAAAATATGTATGCAAGAATAACATCTTTCACATACAGCGTAGCAAGATTATGTGACGGATACTACATATCTCTTTTCTTTCAGTTTGGCTCGCTTGGTCTTTCATAGTACGAAATGTACGACTTTTCTATATAGAGGTGCACAAATGTTCCATAGGCGATTTGACGCGATTTCTATATTTCTGTAGAATTTTATAACGCGTCGTTATAATATAACGTGGGCATCTTCAGTCTGAGATATATATATACATATATATATATATATATATACATAAGGAAGAAAGCGAAAGAGAATTGTACAAAATATGTTAAAATATGTAATGCTCTTATAGATTTTTATAAATATTAATTTAATAGAATATATATATAATATATGCGCGCGCGATAAGGCTTATACGATATTATACAAATATAGATGATTTATAAAAGATGTCCTCATCTGTGATTTTCATTGTGCGTAAAGTATAATCATCTGCTCTATAGACACTCGTGTTCGAAATATGTACTTTTAACTTTATACATTAAGGACTTAAGGCGTCGTAAGTATATACAGGGTGTTTGACATAAAATTATACCGAAAATATGCAAGTAGATCTCGTTATGTGAAGATTTTTTCTCAGCAAAAATGTCGAGAGACTCATTTTTTGCACGCTTCCAATTTTTGCTATCATGTATCTTTGTAACTAAACCTTAAATTAAAATTTTATTTAAGTAAACTCTACTTGAAATTCATTGGAGAATTGTCTCCAACTAATAAAATCTACTTATATATTTTCAGTGTAACATCTTATGTCAGACAGCCTGTATATAATTAAACTAATCTAAGGAACAATGTGTATATATACATAGTGTATAATTGATAATATATATTCGTATAACAAATACAATATGCTCTAAATAGTGACAGCTTATTATCTACATCGACATCGATGACAATATATGTATGTACATACAAGGTGTCCCATAGGAAATTGTTGAAACTAATCAACTGTCAATTTTTAATGCATGCAGTTATTGAGTAAACAAAAATTGTGTTGAAAAGAGGAAAATTTGTAGTTTTTAATGGATATAAATAAAATGTTTGTAAAAGCCTTTCCTCTTTCCAACACAATTTTGTTTTCTTAATAACTGTATGCATTAAAAAATGACAGTTGACTCATTTTCAGCAATTTTCTATGGAAAATATCCTGTATATGTAATCACGTAGATTTATAGGTCTCTTAAGCGACTCATCCGTTCCTTTCAATTTACACCAAAGCTCAGATAAATCTCATTTCTGTTTTTCTTTAACATGGATGTTGAAGAAAGACAAAAGTGAGATTTATCTAAGTTTTGATATAAATGGGAAGCAACTATCATTACATTCTTTACAAAATGGAATTGAATTGCAATTAATTAAACAAGAAGATACTTTTTCATAAGTACATTTCACACCTTATTATTATTCAAATTATTCAAACGCAAATCGAAGAAGGCTTTTCTGTGAGAAATTGGCACGTATCTCTGTCTTAAGAAGGTGTGCTCATTTCCATAAGCTGTGTAGGTGCGTTTTCCATCGTTTCCCAAGAGAGACCTCAGAGCTCTGTTCCTGCTCAACAGTTTCTCATAAAATTCCTGTCCTCCTTTAACATACTCAGGCCCTAGCTTACACAGGGCCTCATCGTGTTCGCTGTCTAGATTATAAGTTCTGTAATCCTTGATACCAAACCACGCGAGGATACCACATAGGGTGAAGCTCGAATAGAGGGTGCGACACATTATTACATTTCTGTGTAAACTGTACTTGTATGTTATAGAATTATAAAGTGTCCAGAAGCCTGCTATGATTACACCTAGAAGAAACGAGCTGAAGAGCGGCTCCTCTGTCTGGATTCGCAGAATCTCATTAGCTATCGCGAATTTTTGCGCGTTCTCCGACAGCGTCGTAGACTTCAGGAAGCTCTTCGCGTCCTGTCGCGTCCAGTCTATCGGCTCCTCCAGGATCTGCAAGTTCTCCCGGAGCTGCTCCGCCGCGTTGGTGAAGTTGACTGGTATACCTAGGATGGCTCCGTACTTGGTGTAGAGCGACCCAGCGTGAAACAAATCAAACCCAAACGCGTTGAAGGGTTTTATGAGGCTTTTAACATCGTCAGGTAGTTTTAAATCGTTCATCACGTCCTGAATCGTCTGATGCATCTTAGAACCCAGTGGTGCTTCCTTGTCAATTCTGTAGGTTTGAGAAAAGTTCATACATTAATTAAATTTTAGACTCGGAGTGAATATTTTGATATCTCCTTACTGATAGTATCTGGCTCTTATATATCTGTATTGATTTAGAAGAATAGTATGCGGTGTGAGAACTGTGCAGCATCCGACAACAGTTGCGGTTACACCAAAAACCAAGTTTCTGTGTCGGAATGAAAATATCTTCATCTTGTTACGGAGCCCTGAAAATGAAATTATACAGTTTATTCCTCAATTTGGTACTTGTTAATATATTATAATATATTTTTTCTTATAATATAATATATATATTATTATATATTTATGTATATTTATTATTATATATTACATATTATTATTATATATTTTTTTTTATTATAATATAATATATATACATTTTATCATATATTTTATCATAATATATATAAATATATTTATTTACAATATATTTATTTTATGTATAAATGTGCTGTTTTTCTCTATTTTTGCAAAAATGTCATAAGTCGAAAATCTTGGAAAATTAATTCAAAACTTTTTTTAATTATTGTATCCCTGTCTGTTTATTACATCTGCCATCTAAATCAGCTGTGCTTCAAGATTTGCTCGCTATCAGTTGCAAAAAATGTAAAAAGCTTGTGTTTATTATTCGATGCGATACTTACGTTGACAAATACTTGACGTACAAATTAACAACGATATCTAAATATTCTAAAAATAATTTTTCCTTTCGTAGATATAGTGTATACACAATCCTCGAAGAATTATCACACGTGCCACGACAAGACCCAATCTTAACCTAATCTAGAGTTGGACGCATTTTAGGTTCTAGCGCGAATCTTCCATTGGAAGCTTATTTTTGGGAAGCCTCATCAAGTCTTCAACATTTGACAGCAAGATTATTTCAACATAAGGAGAACTCTCATCTTCAGAATTTTTTTGATCGACAAAACTAGACCATTATTGGTCAGCGCAGTGCAATTAAACCACAAGAAGAGTAGTCTTTAGCTATTTAGTATGTAAACATGACAGAAGTGGACCAAGGAGATATATTTGTTCGCATAGAACGCGCTTTTCCACTGCTTAATGGGAAGCTGTTACATGTAATTAATTGATATATTATTAATTTTTTTATATTCTTAATTCTTAATATTGTTAATTTCTTTATATTCTTCTTTTATATTGTTAATTTCTTTATATTCTTCTTTTATATTGTTAATTTCTTTATATTCTTCTTTTATATTGTTAATTTCTTTATATTCTTCTTTTATATTGTTAATTTCTTTATATTCTTCTTTTATATTGTTAATTTCTTAATATTGTTCATATTTTTAATTTTTATATATAATATTCTTAATTTAATCACAGATATGTTGAACACTCAACAGTTGTTAATTTGATGACTGTTTTCTTATTTTGAAAATGAATTATTCCTTTCTCCTTTGCAGGCTGAAGAAGAATGCACGGAGGAGGAGTTTGCGAATCTTGTGAAAAGTGTGAGAGTCTTGAAGCTGTCACAGTTTGTCGAAGACATTGTTCTTGATCATGTGGAGCAATACATCTGTTGGCACGTGGCACCAGCGTTCTGGGAAAAATTCCAGAATACAGAGAACAGCCAACGGGGCTTTGAATTGTTCAAGTCTGCTGTGGATGATCTGTATATTAATTACACAAAGTTTCTACCTGTTCTAAAAAAGTTGGAATATTTAAGACAGAACAATGATGCGGATCCATCAGGCACCAAAAGTGATATGGAGACACGATTGAAGCTCATCATCAGAGCTACACTGTTCAGTCAATTACCCCTGTATCACGAACGTATCATAGAGCAGTTTTATAAAATCGCCTTCAATGTATTCTGCAATTTGGACAACTCGTCGCAAGGTAAACTCGTTTATCTCAAATGTATTCACATTTGTGATTTATCCAAAACTTGTGATATATAGTGAAATATATATATGTTTTGCTGTATAAATTATAAATATATGTTTTAAAATAGATATATCAGATATTAATGATGTTCGGTGCAGCGGATGTGCCCAGGGAGTTAACAACTGCCAGTGCCAAATGATTGTTTATATGTTCCACGAGACAAACAGAAAGCTGATCGAGCTGAAATTATTGGAGAGACTCGTAGGAAATGTACTCACATCATTGATTCATATCCGTATAGAGAATCATGTGATTCAAACATCCGACAAAACATTTGATGTATCGCAATTAAGTTCATTACAAAATGTATGTGAATGTTTATCTCTCTCCATTAATCTTATTTTATAATTTATGATAATATTTACAATAATGAGAGCTGCATGTATGATGTATTTCATTTTTTTAGTGGCTCGAAACTGTTGTCATGAACTGGCTTACAAGAATCTATTCCGGTGGCTTTTCGAAAGCGGTTACACTTAGTAACGAAATTCAAAGTGCTATATATCAATTTAAACAAAAATTATTTCATTTTCTATATGAAACATATACCAAGATAAGGATCGATCATCTATTCAATATAATAATAGGTACAAAAAATGATACATATTTATATATATACATATTTTATTTATATATTTAGTTATTTTATTTATATTTATAAAAAATATAAATATTTTATATTTTTTTATTTTATATTTTATTTTAAATATATTAAAATAGTTTTATATTTTTTTGAAATATAAATATTTCATATATTTTTTTTTATTTATAAAAACATATGTTTGCATATGATATCTTTCTCCAGAATATCCAGAGTCGCAACCCGCAGTAGACGATCTCCGAATTTGCCTGGAAAGAACCGATCAACGGAAGGTCCTGGTTAAGAATCTGCAGGAAGCGATCAAAACGCGACTCCTGCATCCCGGCGTGAACACCCCGGATATAGTGACGGCTTACATCGCCGCGATCAAAGCACTCAAGCATCTGGATTCAACGGGAGTTCTCTTGGAAGCTGTAACGGAACCTATCAAGTGAGATCTCTGCATCTTACAGCATGTACAGGGTACAGGGTGGTCCCATAAAAAATTGTTGAAACTAATCAGCTGTCATTTTTAATGCATACAGTTATTGAGAAAACAAAAATTGTATTGGAAAGAGGAAAGTCTGAAAGATTTGATGTGATAATTAGCACTTTTTTATTATTTTTTATCAATAAAATAAACTGGTATATAAATATTTTATTTATATCCATTAAAAACTGCAGACTTTCCTCTTTCCAACACAATTTTTGTTTTCTCAATAACTACATGAATTAAAAATGACAGCTGATTAGTTTCAGCAATTTCCTTATGGGACATCTTGTAGATTCTTACCTACATGTCTTTGATCTATATTCAATTTGTCGAATACCTTGATTTTTTCAGGAGTTACTTGAGAAGCAGAGAAGACACTGTACGTTCTGTCGTGAACAGTCTGCTGGACGATTCGCCGAGTGAATTGGCCGACGAATTGGTGAAGGGCGAGTGTCTGCAGCTGGACGACGGCTCCGCAGATGAGGAGACTGAAGACTGGGATAAGTGGATGCCAGATCCAGTCGACGCCGATCCCGGTAAACCGCGAAATTTTATTGTAAATTAACTTCAGTTTTACATATATAACTTCAGTCTTAAATATATAGCTTCAATTTTAAATATATAGTTTCAGTTTTTAATATATAGCTTGTTTTAAATATGTAGCTTCAGTTTTAAATATAATGATTCGTCCTTTCAGCTAAATCAACGCAGCGCAAGGTGTCGGACATAATCTCCACCCTGGTGAACGTCTACGGCAGTCAGGATCTATTCGTGAACGAGTACCGCACCTTGCTGGCCGACAGATTGTTATCGCAACTGAACTATCACACTGAACGGGAGATACGTCACTTGGAATTGCTAAAGAGACGCTTCGGGGAGAATCAGTTGCACTACTGCGAGGTCATGCTGAAGGACGTTTACGACTCGAAGAGGATAGACGGCAACATCCACTCCGACACCAGTTATAATTTGCAGAGGGAGCTCTTCCCTACTTCCGCTCTTATCCTGTCGGCGCAATTTTGGCCGCCGTTCAAGGAGGACTGGCAATTGAAGCTACCGAGCGTCGTGCAGAATCAGTTGAACAAGTATGTGAAGGCGTTCGAGGCCTTGAAGGGAAACAGGACGCTCTGCTGGAAACCTCACTTGGGAAATGTGAGCCTGGAAATCGAATTGAAGGATAGAAAGCTGGACATAAACGTTACGCCGATACACGCGACAATTATCCTGCACTTTCAGGATAAAAGTAAGTACATAGTAGCCGATTTATCATCGGGCGTGATCAAGCAGTGAGTTTAGGTCCGTTCTTTTCAGCTGAATGTGGAATAAAAAATAAACTCTGAACTAGCGCAACCAGTTCGGCTGAAAAGAGCAAATCCAAACTCTTCAGCTGAACAAAGAACTATTGTCACTAATTAAAGTTGAATTGCAGATGAATGGGCTTTGCAAGACTTGGCGGAAGTGATGCACGCTCCGGCGACCGTTTTACGACGTAAGATGACGTTTTGGGTGTCGCAGGGTCTTCTGAGGGAAACTACCAATGATGTTTATATCTTGCAAGAGGAGAGTACGTCCAAGAATCGTTTGTCAACGGACCTCGTCGAGGAGGAGGAGACCGAAAGCGTCATGGCCTCGGCCAGCGACCAGAGGGAGGAGGAACTGCAAGTTTTTTGGTCGTACATCGTCGGAATGTTGACGAATCTAGATTCGATGCCGATCGAAAGGATTCATCAGATGCTGAAGATGTTTGCGTCTCAAGGACCGGGCGCCGTCGAATGCGGTTTACCGGAACTGAGGCAATTTCTGGACAGGAAAGTCAGGGAACATCAATTATTGCTATCCGGTAGTTTCTATCGATTGCCGAAGTCATAAGTTTTTTTATTGTTTTACATTATTCTTAACGTTTCGTTAAATGAACTTGTACAGTTTGTGTAACGATAAAAAAATATAATTTGTGATATTATATTTAAGAGCGATTTCTTATCATATAAAAGGATTTTTCTTTTGACAGAAAAATAAAGCTTATGTATAAATGATGTATTCCAATATATTTCGCATAAAATGTCAATTTAATAAGTAATTAACACACGTGTACACAACTATAAAATAGAAATCCTATTCAATTCCTTTGAAAGTCAAAAGAAGCTTGTCGAGTATTGAAAAAATATTTTTATTGCCGTTTATCATAGTATTTATACATGTCTGTTGTATAAACTATTTTCTTATTTGCACTTTTATTGCAAATCATAATGTTTTCTTTCGTAAGTAGCGTACAGTAATATTTTATGATTCACATCAATAATCAGATCTTTCCGAGATTTCAGAAAATAGATTAGCATCTCATTGTCACTTATACATTAATATTGCCACATATATCCTGCACATCTCAACATTAAAATAAAATATGAAACTAAAAAATTATCATATAATAAATTTCGGCAAAAAAACTATATATATATAACTATAGAATAATAAATGTAAATTCGCATGCCATATAAGATCTAACAAGATTGCTTGCACATATATATATTCCTTATATAACTTATCTGTATACATATTTATAAATATAACAGGGTATAAATAAATTACGCCAGGAATTTACTTTTGCGATGATGATAATAGAAATAAATCGGTAGAAAAATTTTAATAAAAATATATGTATATACACACAGAGTATATACAATTTACAGTTGTTATGAAATTATTGCAGTATAAGGACATAAACTTTCGTTGCAACAAATGCAAATATTAAAAAAAGTCACAGAGATATTTAAAAAAGTAACAGAGATAATTACAATATATTTATTACATATATATAATTTTATATATATATATATATATATATATATATATATATACACACACATAATTATATATATTACATAAATTGCAATTTCGCAAAAGTAAATCATGCGCATTTATTCGTATATCTTTCGGATGTTCAACTGAGTCTCAGTGCATATGTATAATACATTATGTATACATGTGTAATAATTTGTTTCTCACGCGCATACATGTATTAAACAGCATATACATAAAGAGTATACATATCTCTCTGATTTATATATAATATATTATATTATATAATCTCTATATATATTATATAATATTTAGAATTATATAATATATTAATAGATATATATATATATATATATATATATATATATATAATATATAGATTATATAATAATAATATATTATATATAATATAATCGATCACGCTCGCGAATGCGCAAGTAATTCGCGCTTTCTAATAAAGGACAATGATATTCAAAATATTTCTCATTAAATCAATTATTTACGTACAATAATAAAATATATATTTATGTATATATATCGGATATATATATATATTTACGTTGTGAAGACTTAAGTAGATTTTCAGATCACTCTTAATGTGTAGCTGTATGTGTGTGTATGCTTTTCCAGCATTTTTATTATATATATATACACGAAGGACCAAGCTATTTATTGGTATCTAAGAGGGACTCTTCGGATAAAAATTCAAAAATATCTGTCGAGAAAGAACGAGTATAACATTTGACACATGGATGACTATATATATATATAGGATTTAATAAACGCGTGCAGCTTTCTGTTGTTGAGAAATCGTTCTTAATCGTTATACATGTACAATATGGCAGACCTAAAAGTGGTGCAACTCTAATACAATATGATAAAAGTAAATCGATATTTAAGTAAATCACTCTCTCACGCTCAAAACACTCTTGCACGTGTGGACAGAGATTATACATACATAACTGTTTCTAATTATAAGATCCTTGTAAATTAATAATTTTGCAACGCTAACAAATATCGGTACCTATCTCATTTGTTTTTGTTCCGTCGTTTTTGATGGTATCGATACGTACAAAAATTATATTCACATCGTATTGAATGCTTTTGCAACTCGAATATTGAAAATGCTTGCAACAATTTGCAATTTTATTCAACAAACATCCTGGCAACGCGTAGAACTTGTTTCTTTCTTCAGCAACGTATTGCACAATTGACAATGATCTAAAATATTCTCTGTGATTAGCATTTCTCTTTAATACTTTTGGCTGAAACAATATTATATATATACATGTAGCTCTCGTATATCCGCGTCCGACGACGGACCGTTTAAAGCCTTCTCTTCGGGACATTCTATAGATTACAAGGTTTCCTTAACATATATAGCTTGCAACGAAATGGATTGCTAGAAAAAAGTCACCTTTTGCTCTATTTGGTGGCTTTATTCTACCCTTCTCTTTCGCTTAATATATGTATGTATATGTAATTGAAAAGATGAATTTTGATTGCACAGTTCTAATCTATTACATAGACTACCGATATATTTTAACAAGATTAAAAATAGAAGAAAAACAGTAACGCACTATGTTAACATTAAATGTAAGGCACATTTATGCGAGAGAGTTGTATATAGAATTTCGAGCTTCTTTATAATGTGATGTGTCGCACACACGAGAAAAGAGGAAGACGGAAATATCATATAATATCTGGTTGTGATTTTCGCCTTTAGAGCGAATACGCGCGTCTTTTTTTCCTTTTTTTCATTCGACGTCTTCTTTATAAAAAAAAAGAAAAAATCTCGTCGTGTTTAAGTTGTATTTAATATATTGTCACATGTTCTCGCGCTGTCAGACCTTCGAGGATGACGAAGATCTGTCAGCGTAAAATCGTAAGTACTGGAGAAAGCGCGAACAACTCTTTCATTTTCGCGAGAAGAGAGAGAAAATAAAATACTTCGGATATCAAAGCGATATAATTTGCCCTCTCGTCGAGGGGGGACAAAATAAAAAATATCCGGCAAGCTCTATTGTCTTTAAAAACTACTCAATTTACTCGAATCCCGCGTTTACTCGCCCAAAAGAATAAAAGAATATATATGGAATATATATATTATATATAGAGATGTATCTTATATATTCCATTATCGAGTCGAATCTCACATTTATTAGCGTTCATATATATATATATATATATATATATATATATATATATATATATTATGCGAGCGCTCTAATGTTCTGCAAAATGATTTAATATATGAATTAATTATATATATAGTATATGAATTAATATATATATATATGAATTAATTATATTAATTATTCGTCGACGACGAAGAGGTGGCTCGGAATCCAAATCGACGATTCGTCGCCGAGAGAGAAATAATTATCGTCTTTTTGAGACATTAAGAGGATACAGGATGATGGATAAGCTTGACGAACGAACAGGGCTGGTGACGCGGACGGACGGCGAAGGTGGTCGGCTGGTTGGTGAACCGATCGAATCGCGGGATGCTGTTCCAGAGTCCAGGTGTTAGCACGGGGCGAGTGGATATCCATTGTTAGCACTCCAAGCCTACAGGCCACGGGCAACCACGGGTTAACAAGAAAGAAAAGAAAAAACAGTTTGTTAGTAATCTGATATTATGACTCTGACCGAGTTAACATTAAGTGTATCTAGCTCGCTAGCTGAGAGAATCATAGTTAGTGAAAAGCAACGCTTCGATATTTCTATATTTATATATGCATGATAGTTTTCTTATGTCTCTGTTAGAATTTTCGTTCATGATTAAGACTTTCATTAAACTTTCCAGGTAGCAAACTTACGTCATCAGACGTCGAAATAACGTCATTGTGACATTTAATGACGTCACTTTGCTACTTGGCTGCCCAGGTAGCAAGCGTACGTCATCCTGACGTCGAACGACGTCATTAAACGTCAAATGACGCCGTTGAACGTCAAAATGACGTCATTAAACGTCAAAGTGACGTCAAATGGCATCATTGAACGTCCCTAAGTAGCAAAATGACATCATTTTGACATTTAATGATGTCATGACGTCAAAATGACGTAAGCTTGCTACCTGAATCATTAAACGTCACAATGACGTCAGTTTGCTACTTGGGTAGTCATTATATCATCGTGTATGAAATTGTAGGCTCGACCGGGATGAAGCATTGCTTTGCACCGACTACTTGTAATATTATTATTAGTGTGAAAGCATTCTCGACTTGTGTATCGCGTCATGACAAGATAATAATCCAACGACACGCGAAAATAAGTCGTCAGTTCGTAAAATCAAGCACTTTGTTATTTTTTTTCATATATGAATATACATGTCCATCTATCGATCCGACAATTAGATCGTGTGTCTCTTCCCGCGCATAGGACAGCTACAGAGCTCGTAAATCGATAGACACACATATTTTATTAAAGTGATATGATTCGCGTAGATTAGGGTAGATGCACTAATGAACGAGGACACGATACATAGAATCGGTGTCTCTTGAAACAATTCTTACACGCATCGGAGCGATTTACTCAAGTTAAGGAGTCATCCACTTCTATATATATTGTCGCCCGACTTTAAACGGCAACTCTAAATTACTTTATTCTCTCAATAGGCACTCGATCTCGAAAATATTAATTCTGATTGATGAAACGAGTAGGATAAAGTGACACTGAGACTACAAACATTATTTTCCGGTTATTTAAACTGATATGGTGCATCTACCCCACGCTATATATCTCTTTGCTAAGATGTAGCTGCCTGTGCGCGTCGGATGTCAGTGAGAAACAAAAAAAGAAACGTTTAATAAGTGGAAAAAAAAGTAGATCGCTATTTGTTGTTAATATAATTATTACACACGTATACGTTATGTCCGAATATTATTATTACAGTGATGAATTATTCAGACAGGCAGCCTTTGATGTGCACCTGCCACCACATTAGCACCGATTAAATGAGAGAAAGATATTACATATATATGTATATATATATATACGAAATTTCCGAAATTACATATATATAAGTTACAGTATTATTGTATCCAATCATTGATCGATCTTTAGTGATTAATGTCCCATCAGCAAGCAGGTGTCAGAGGCTCATGAGTGTTTTGCATGTGCCATACAGGACAGATATATCTGTAGTACAATTCCAGGCATTTTTTTTAAGAAGCATATTATTATTATTATTAATATACGCTATTGTAAACAGATCTCTCTATTTATATGTAAATATATATATATATATATTATATATTAATTTAAATTGTGTGTGTATGTGAATTTTTTAAATAATAGAACTAAAAACGATCGCAAAAGTTGCATAAGAAAGTATGAAAAAAATTAAGTTTTTAATTTTTTTAATAAAAAAATATTTTTAATTTTACTCTAATTTTTACCGATATTAATATCATATATTTTTCTATCTTTTTGAAGGATCTTTACACATAAAAGTATTGTAATCCGAAATTTGTTTAGGAATAAGACTTGTCGAGTTAAACCAATTCATCACAATTTCAATCTTTTTCGTGATTTATATAATTTAAATATTTAAATAAATGTAGTTTTATCGTAGAACCTTCTAATATTAATTGATTCGCGATTTTTGAAATATTCTTTATGTATTATATACGTATTTGTGTGTATGTATATGTAATTACAATGCAAATTCTTTTCTTCTGCCAGAATAATATAAATTGAAGTATAAAGAGAATATAATTACTCTGAATTCGCGATTGCTTTCGTTATTATGTTAAAAAATAATTATAATAGTTATAAAATCAAAAATTATTTTGAAAAAAAATTATGTTTCTAGTCTAAAATATTCTAGTCTATACATTTATAAAGATGAGTAATTCAAACAAAACAAAATATAAATACTATTTGCATAAGCATACTTAATTTGCACACGCTGTATATATGTAAAATATATAAATGTGTATGTATATATTATTTAAAAACAACTCGCATAAAAAATACATAGTTGACAAATGTTTTTATAAAAATTACAATCAATTGTGAGCAATTAAAAAATTATTTTTTCGTATGAAAAAAATGGTTCTCGTATATGTCAGCGTTAATCTTGAATGTGTATGTGTGTAAAGTATCATTGTTAGTCTTAATTTTACATATAAATAAAAGATAGTGCAAGTTGTGCAGTCTATAATGAATGAAATTGCATCTCTATGATAAGGAATGTCAATTATGTTGTACAATAAAAAAATACTTGTTAGTGAGATAAAAAATATGTAAAGGGTGGGATGCCATCTCTGGCAGCATTTTCGTATTCGCGAGTCGCTACTTTATTTTTTTTTTTTTAATATGGTTTGAACGCGTGAAAAATTGATCTGTTGTAAAAAATAATAATTGTAATAATTTACATTTAGAATATAAAATACAGATCGACGCGTTTCTTGCATAAACCTTCGCTTCGTACCGCGTTACCGCCCCTTGAAATAATCATTTACATGTCTTGGACAAACATGTGTGTGTGTTGAACGACGATTTCAAGTCTGTTTATGTGAGAATTTTGGTTAAAAAAAAAAAAAAAAAAAAAAAAAGTAAATAATTATTCGGCGAAAGAGCAATTTCAATTTTTCACGGAATTTCGACGTCCCGGACATCTTGAAGACTCGCGATCCCCCTAAGAAAGAAGAAGTCTTTCTCTTTCTCTCTCTTTTCGTCCCACGCATCTCGATCCACCCATATGTAATCTCTCTTTCCTCAGCTCTCTTCCTTTCTTTACCTCGACTATTATGGCTAATGAAAGTTTCCACTCTGTTGCAGGTTGTTCTGAGGAAAGTACGACCTATTTCTCGGAGGTAGGGGGACATATGTATATACTGCGACATTAATCAACTCTTCCGTATATATACTCTTATACCGGAAGTACAAGATATCCGCGTATGTATCTATATACCCAAGTAGCAAAATGACGTCATCAGACATCACAATGACGTCATTTTGACGTTCAATGGCGTCATCGATGTCAAATGACGTCATTAAATGTCAAAATAACGTCATTTTGACAGTTATTGACATCAATTGACGTTTAATGTCGTTATTTTGACATTTAATGACATCAATTGACGTTTAATGACGTCATTTGACATTAAATGACGTTATTGACGTCAAAATGGCGTATGTTTGCTACCTGAATACAAGTGTGTAAAAGAGAAAAAAATAAAACAATTCGATGATAATAATAAAAGAAACAAAACCGATGTAGATCGGTGCGGCGTCAGGTACACAGGACGAGGGCGCGCAGGCACAACACCGCTGCTGCATCATCTTCTTCTTCAACTTCGTAGTGAAAAAAGCTCTCCCGAGAACTGACATCCGAGAGAGATGAGACACACGTACACGTGTGTCCGTATAAAAGGCACGTATTTTCGTCCCGGGTGTAGTAAAACACGCGGCCGAGAAACACGTAGCCCCCAGGTAGCAAGCGCACGTCACTTCGACGTCGAATGACGTCACTAGACGTCAATTTTGACGTTTAATGACATCAATTTGCTACCTGGGCCGGAGCGTTTGTGTTTGCGCGGATCTCGTCATATAATATAAATGGTATCAAGCGATATAATAAATAATCGCTGATCGGAGAATGATCGGGACGCTTCATCAGGAATCTTGAATTATTATTATATATATATATATATATATTTAAAAATTACTTTGACAGGCGTTATATTATTTAAGAATTAATGATATATATACAATAATAATCAATAACATGCTATTACGATATAATTATTTTTGCATATACACCTATAATTCATCTATCAGGTGTATTCTTTCAAGGACAACACGAATCATCACCTTTGGACCTTAAGACAGGAATAAATCCATAGGTGCATGAAGCGTTCCGATCACTGAAGACGTCGAGACTGCAAGAAAGATGAAAATGGTGGAAAAAAGTATAAAAGAGGACAAAAGAGAGAACTTAATGAAGTGTCTGTGCAGAGACAACACTAACCTTTCCGCGTTGGCGCGAGAACAGTGCTTTTTTCTCTCTCTCTCTCACTTTCTCTCTCTTTCTCGCTCTACCTCTCTCTCTTTCTCTCTCTTTGTATACTCGCGCTGTCTCTGTGTGTTCACGAGAGAGCGCCGGCCCTTTGATAAGGGTGCTCGCGGATCTGACCCAGGTGTCTACGCTGCTTGGCGGCGGCCGCCGCTGCGCCTGTCGCCAACATACATAGAGAAATGAGTATACACATGTATATGCGACCGAGAGCCAACGTCGAAAGTCACTTTCCGTTCGCCTATAAAATCTAGAATCTTGCCGCTTATTATCAATGCAAACGACACACCCTGGCGAGGGACCCGTTTCATAAAGAAGAAGAGATGTTTTCTAGATGTAGACATTTCAATGAATATTTATTACCGTAATCTTTCTCTCGAATCTTCTTCTTAGTATGCAACGGGTTCCGGTGTTGTTACGAATTTGACAGGTTTTTCTTATACCAGAATTAAGGTTCTTTCTCTTCGTCCAATTTGTAACAGCACCGCCGGATTATGATTGTCGCCTACGGACCACGACCGAGCCACGAAGTTACGATTTCATCTCCGTCTTCCTCAGGAAGAAGAGGGTGAACTAACACGGAGAAGCTACTAAATGCTTGACATTTGGCTTTCAACATGGAATATGTGCCTAGATAGCAAACTGACGTCATTGAACGTCTAATGACGTCACTTTGCTACTTGGGTAGAGAGACACTGTAATTCAATATTGAGATATCCTTGAATAAGCCGGATTTTTCAGAGATACTGCAAATTTAATTTTTTTCTAAGGCTCCTAGATCCTCGCCAGTGTTTGTGCTTAGATGATGTTAAGATTAGCTAGATAAAGCTGAGATGAAAATATGTAAATTCATCTTAAATAAGATGAAGATGATTTTCTTTTAAATCTAGCTAGATAAAAGATAAAATTATAAAGATAAATTATTTAAGTATTTTTGTGCTATAATTTTAAACTTAAACTGAATATTATATTCTAGATAATTATTCATTTTAGTAAAGATAACACTTTTCATCTAAGATGTAGATATAGATAATATATATTTTTATTATTTATATAAAGATAAGATGACGCCAAAATTCCATCTAGATGATCATCTATATATGTAATTTTATTTAGATAACAACAAACACTGATCCTTGCCACGTTGGATTGTGACGTCAGAAACGAGAAAACGCACGCTGAAAATTCTTAGATGTCATTTCGATGAAACACTACACTTCAGATTGCTTTAGCACACTTTTAAAATATCTCGAAAATTCATTAAAGCCATCTGGAGTGCTATTTCACTAACATCTAAGAATTTTCAACATATTTTCTCGCCTCTGACGTCACAATTCCAACATGGAGCCTTATAATAAGAATGTTGCTAAATCAGAGACTGTATACATTGCTTCAGCTTCAATAGTATTTACTTAGTGTGAAAATCTTTGTTGACAATCTCTTACAGATACTTCGAGTTACTTAAAGATATCTCAACATTGATAGGACAGCTGATTTTCCTAGAGTTTCGATGACATATAATTGCTCGTCTCCTCGCAGCTTAGCGTTCGGTCGTAATCTTTAGGCTCTTTAACACTCTGTAAGAATACTGTATTATATATCAATGAGAGAAGTCGTGCGTCCCTGAAAAATTCTGTGTTAGAAATATTTTCACATAAATTTTCACGAGAAGCGAGATACGGCTTTTTGTCGGAGACGCGCACTTACTTACTTATATTCATACTTATATTCTTTTCATTAAAAGCCTACCATATATGTATATCTCTACAAATATATTTCGCCTTCACTATCGACGTTTCATATAGGTACGTGAGAGATTTTTACACATGTATATGTTGCGTGTATATATATACGTATATAAAATTAAATACTTGAGAAAACCTATTTGACACCGGGTTCCTTCTCGCTTTCAAGAAGACCCCACTTTTGATTCTTGTCGAGAAAAATCAGGTAAATCTTTGTCATGTAAGCTAAAATGTATGCAACCATTCTACTCGTTCCTAACAACAATGAGTATTGAGATTATATCCTATCTATTTTGCCTCGACCCTTAAACCTCATATATAAATATATATCTATATAATAGCTAAAACTTTATAAAAATAAAATTAAATAAACGTATAAAATAATATAATGTGATATATAGTATGTGTATATATATGTATATATTATATATACATATATATATATATATATATATATATATATATATATATAATTTGCAAAGCGCGTCGAATTTTAATATTTACTTAAAGACTATGCCATCAAAAGAGTATTGCGTGTCTATAAAATAATAATAATCATCCGTATAAATATATATGCGCTAACTAATCGTCATTCGATTCTCCTTTGTTGCGGGGGCGATAAGAAAAACAACCGAAAAATAGAACAAAAAGAATAAAGAAAGTTGAATACTTTTCAACGCATAGTCTTATATCTGTGTATCTCTGAACTTGCTACAAGTAAACGCTAGAACCATCAGTCCTCAAAATATTGGTTTGGTCCCTGGGGTATATTTCTCCCTCCACCTATATACTCTGTCTGCTCGCCTAAAAAAAAATCCTACGTACACGTATATTTATTTGTATAGACCTATCAGCTATCACCAGCCATTGTAACAACTGTTTTGTATATGGCGTGTCGCGCGATAGATTTCAATTTCTGTCCGAGGATAAAGTCCTCGCTAATTCGATTTGCCGTCAATTGGTCATCAATAATGACGGATCGTCTCGAGATTGACTTTAAACTCGCAATTAATCGTCTTCTCCGAATGAAACAGAAAAATTAAAGAGCTACTATATCTCGAATATTCCTCTTCTTTTTTCCCGTTTTTTTTTCAAGATTAACTAGCGTCGCGCTAAGCGATTCGCGTAATTATTCACTACATCGCCTAGAGTCGTCACTGCAAAGAGTTACGTAATTAAAAGAGGCACGGAACGAGTAATGTTGCGCTTAAGAGAGAAACAATGCGGAGTGAGTGTTTTTTTTAATTCGTAGGAGGAGAGGTGGACGGATCGAGTTTATTAGTTGTTTAGTCGTATGTTAGATCAACCCGAGGGATATATCTCTCGATTTGGGATTCTAGTGGTACTTTGTAGTTAAGATCGTCGGTAAGCGTAATTCGAGTCAAGCTGTCGTGAGAAAAAGAGAAAATAAAACAAGAGTCGCGAAGAGAAAGAAAAGGAAAAGAAACGCCGGACTAAAGTTCGGTTAATGTACCATCACCGCCCTAAAACGATCGATTTATTTGTTTTAGTAAGGAGAGAAAAAACGTGTCTCTAAGCTGCGACAAGTTACACAGTCTAAACGACAAACATCCCTTCATCGAAACTACAAAACTATACTAACTTCGAACTCTAAAGAGAGAAAGCTTCTTTTAAAAAAAACCTATATTACACAAAATACAACATTATTGTATATATAATCTAAATATATACTTCAATAAATATATATATTCTCTGAAATACTTACACACGAACGTACGTGTATATGTATATATATATATATATATATATATATATATATATATATATGTATATATACGCACATTTATAAAATAGCTACAACAAAATGAATGGCCTTTGATTACTGCTTTGAGTAATTACGGATCTCCCTCGTCTAGAAAATCGTAAGAAAATCCATCGAAAGATCTTACACAGTAGAAAAATTTGTGTTTTCTTGTTAAAAACGGTCCCATAAATTTTTGTGTTAAATATTTAACGCATTCATGTGTTAATTTAACATGTTGCTGTTGTGTTAATTGAATTTAAATGTTGAATTATTAAAACCACTGAAAAAAGATGTAAAAATAACACAATGTGCATCTATTTTCATTTTTACACAATAAATATGTTGTTTTATTAATGACAAGATTTCTGTTAAAATTTACAGAATAAAATGTTAATTTTTATTTTATAATATAAGTAGGGATGATAAAATCTAAAAATTAACATATTTTTTAAAATGCATTTTTACATTAAAACTATGTTAATTGTACACAAAATTTATTTTAAACTACTTGAAGTTTTATGTTAAAATATTAACACAGTATTTGTGTCTCCATTTAACATATCCGTATTATGTTAAATTAACACAAAATTTTTGTGGACCGTTTGGGACATGTGATATCTGTTAAATTTACCACAAATTTTTCAACTGCATACATTTATATAAAAACTGTATCCTTTATCCATCGAGCTTTCCTTTTTCACGCGATCACTCATTACCGGGTAACTGGATGCCTTTGTATGTCGGAAAAAAAGAAAGACACGGTCTGAAGAGGACTTCCGATTATATATAATGTAATAATAGTCTTCACATTATATATGTATATAAAAATGAAGAAGACTGTTTATTGCATTCTCGGATAGTCTCTCGTTCGTTTAAGTATCAAGTGCGTCAGAGACTACTTCGTATCAACTCGTACCACTCTGCTGGGGGATGTGTCTTTTGGATACTCTGGTGAGGACTGGAAAGGACCTTCCTCGCGTAATTCTACGTATCCCTATTGCGAATTCTTTTAGCTACAACGACGCTGTAATTCCCGAGCACGACCGAGTCTACACTCGCGACCTCCCTGGCACTATGACTATCTACAAGAGAACAAAAATATTTTATCTGGTTGACATGTGTAGAAATATTAAAAAAAAAAAGAAGGAAAAAAACTCGGCGATATCAATTTGGATTTTAAAATCCATCCAGTAATCTGAAGTAATTTTCTATTAAAAGATTAATAAAAAAAATGATTAAAAATTAATATAGTCTTCTTTATTGTGGAAGATAAAGAAGAAGAAAAACAAGGAAAAACTTTGTATGTATATGTATAAAATCTTAAAGTGGAAACGTCTTCATTCGACCAGATAGAATATTTTACGTTTCCTGTACACCGTGCATTCCTCTAAAAGCAACACGAGGAGAAAAGATACATTTCAGACGGCTAAACACGTGGCTGCTGACGAACGGTGCGATTCTATGTGAAAAAAAAAAAAAACAACTTTCGGACTAGTACAGCTACATCATCCACCTGCACGAGTATACATCCTTATTCTCTCCTTTCCTATACTGTCCCTGATAAAATCTTGCCAAATACGACCGTCTCGCGTTCTTGCCGCTCTGATATCGCTATGTGATAACCCTGAATCTTCGTGACACAATTATTACGAAGGCGGTGCATACATTACACGCTAATGCTTTTACGTAATTATTAATATCTGAACTGGACGCGACTAGTAAATGACTGATTTCGGTTGTGCTCTATACTCTAAGCTATCCTCACTCGCTAACTTCTATGATGACAAGATGATGATGAAAATGATGACGACGAAAACGATGACGATGATGATGATGAGATGATGATGACAATGATGACGATGACAGAGAAAATGATACGGTGATGATGATGATGATGATGAAAACTATGACGATATGTTTGTGATGTAGATAATAACAATTAACAGCTACAAGAGCAACCAGCTCGTAATTAACAAATATCGTCTTAAAATATACGCGATTGTATATGTATTATTATACATATTATTGGTGACGCTCCCGGCAAACCGACGTGTATTAATCAAATCTTGTTGCTGTCACGTTTCGCGAAGCTGAACGTCGATCGCTATCGGAGTGTCACGATAACGTTACATTATTCAATCCCGTTTTTTCTCCGTTGTATATAATAATAATAATAATAATAATAATAATAATAATTTAATTTCCGAATTTACAATTTACGTGTGACGTATAAAAATTGGCACTGAGTTAAAAACTGGATTAGACGAGCAGTTTCTCACGACAATAATAATTAGCAGTAAAATCAGCAGTTGGACTATAACAATCGACTTCGAATCGCTATATTATACGACAATCAATTTTTTTCTCTTAATCTCACTGCTGTTAACAGTTCGTTGCTCGTCTAATCACACGACACTTATAATACAAGATAAAAAAAGAGAAGAAAAAACAGCCACCGTTGTGTAAACGCGTCTCTGAAGCAGAGAGAGTCACCAACCATCATCAACAATGACGTGCCGTACGCGACGTAATAATATCAATAATAATAATAGATAATTCTAGATAATAATCATAATAATAACGAATAAAGGCGCACGGCTCCGTTCCTTCTGCCTCTCCTGATAAAGTCGCTTCTCGCGTTTTTTACGTTCTCCATTTGATTAAAGAGAGGCGACAGAGAGAGAAGGCGGTTCTCCCTCTCGCGACGGAAGAAACTCAACGAGCAAACAACCCACCAGAATGATCAGCAGTGGCGTACTCGGTGAGCAACGGCGAGGCCAGGGCTGCGTAGTTGGCGTAATCCGCGTACGGGGTGTAGATGAGCCCGTGAGGGTCACCGGCCGACAGAAGCGAGCCAGGGGGCCCGGAGCCGTTGAGCAGGGAGGCGGCGGTCGTCGGCACCGATATCCGGGGCGAGAGGATCAGCGGCGCACCCAGGGGCGCACTTGGGGTCCGCATCGGCGTCGCCAGACCAGGCAGCAGGCGCTGCGATTCCGCCGCCGCGGCGGCGGCCACTCGCCGCCATTCCTCGTCGCAGGCTGCAACAGACGAGGAATACTGATGTCTCTGGTCTCCCATGACTCCCCCGAGGTCTACCTTCCACCCGGAAGCAGCGGAAGCTGCTTCCAGCATCGAGTGGCAAATATATCCGTAACTAGCTGTGAATATGGGGTTGTAACCACGTGTTTGAAGATAATTATATTAATTGTATTGTGTAATTAAGTATATTACGAATTTTATGTTATTATATAATATATTTTATATATAAATTGCGTACTATATTATATAATTATTTAATATAATATATATAATATATATAGATATAGATATATAATTGGACATTATAGATAATTAGAGAAGAGAGAATAGGAGAAGGATATATTAGACATTTTATATTATTATTAATATATTTATATATAAATTGTATACTATATTATATAATTATATGATATAATATATATAATATAATATAATATATAATATATATAATTGTACATTATTATATAATTATATAATATATAATATTATAATTATATATAATTAAATAATGTAGAATTATATTATATAATATAATAAAATTATAATTAATTATATAATTCTATTATTCCATTTTAATATTTCTCTTTTAAATGCAATCATTATGTTTCTTGCATGCAATAAGATATGATAAGATTGTATACATTTAAATTAAATACAATTAAAATATTAATACAATTAAATATAAATACAATTAATATAATTAAATATAAATGCAATCGATACGATAAGATTATATATACATTTTAATTAAATATAAATGGAACAATGAAACATAAATAAAATAATAAATAAATTTTTTTCTCGAATGGAGGCTTCGGATGTACGAAATTCATCCAAAATCCTTGGCTTTCTCTCTATTGTAGAAGCGCATAATAAAAAATATGCATAATGAGACAAGTTCTACGAACGGTACCTGCTGCGGCGGCAACCTTTGTGTTCGAATCCCGGTAAGTCCCATTGATAATGGCGAGTTCCATTAGCTGCCTCTTCTTTAGCTCATCCTCGCCGTCAGCCTGCTAACAATCGACATTACCGTCAGAACAACACACCACCGGAGGTACAATGATGATTATCATCTTACGAAGGGGAAAAAAAGGCACTTTTGCCACTATCTCTATTGTACAGATCTTGTTCATTTACATGTGAAAGCGCAGGTTACATAATTAAGGCGCATACGGGATCGCTTTTAGTTTAGAAGCACGTAAGCGTGTCCTCGTAATTTGATTAATACATTGTATTGATTTTTGGCGGAAAACCACCGTGGGTGGTTCTTTCAAATATTGTGATTCATGTAAATTTTGTAAATAAAAATTGACATAAATTGTAATTCATGCAAATAATGTAAATAATTTTTTAATAAACACTGGAATATATTTCTATATATTTAATATAAAAAAATAAAATAAAATAAAATAAAATTGAAAAAAGTTGAAAACAATTTAATTACGCTCCCTCCTGAAAAAAATCCTATGGTAAATATAATATTACAGGAAGATTCGATAGACTGTAAATCATACTTATTTCAAGTGTCATCAAAATTCTAGCGAAGGAAAAAAAAGAAAAACTTTCTAACAAGATTTCTCGACGCGAAAGACAGAGAGAGAGCTCTCTCTTTTTATATTCATCTTGGCTCGCGGTTGTTATTGTCTCTATTCTAGGAAGGAGGAAAGAGATATATAATGCAATTGGAACTTTCTCACCACGGGCACGAGAAGCTTCTTGACTTCCTCGACGGCACGAGCGAGCTTCAAGGTGGCACGATTCTCGGTGTCCTCGACAGTGAGCAACACGTGCAACTCGTCCGTCAGGTGTTCCCAATTCGGCTTGCCCCGATTTTGCTCCTCCTATGTAATCAACACGCCGCAATTTTTATACAAGCATGCGACCGACTGTCAATCTGCTCATCTCGCCCGTGAATACACACACACGCATACATCAATTTGCGATCAATAAAGGATTTCATTCTTCAAAAATAAAAAAATAAGGAACAGATATAATATAACTTAAATAATAATTTTTAATATAATAATAATATAATATATAATTATATAATCATAATAATATATAATTATAATTTTTTATTATATCATTAATATATAATATTTGTATATTATATATTATATCATATATTAATATATAATGTATAATATAATGTTTTAAAAGAGAATATATTATATTATATCATATTATATTAATATTATAATTATAATATATATATAATATATAATGTTAATATATAATATAATATATTAATATAATATATTAATGTAATAATATATGATATATTTTAAAAGAAACAAAATATTGTACAATTATTATAATACAATATATATTTATATATATTAATATTAATATATTTACATTACAAAAATATCTACGAAAATAAATATATTGTATATTTTTTTGTTTATATCCTTATTTCTGACAAACTTCCATCAACAAACGTGGACTTTTATTAACCACACACAGATGCATGATGATAATAATAATAATAAACATATATATTTATAGACAGAGAAAATAAAAGATACGTCGTATTCACATCAAATTAAACGGAGTTTGATCTATATACTTACGAGAAAACATTTCGTTCGTCTACCACATGCAGCTTGAAAAAATACAGCGCTTAAGTTTAACGTGTGAGTTACAATTAATCAGGGTTGGGTAAATTAATGATTTTTTAAAACTAAGTTAAAATTGCATGAACAAAAAATTAACTCAGTTTAAGCAAAAGTTAATTTTTAAAAAGATTTATATTATATTATATTAAATTAGAATTTTGTTTGGTAATTTTTTTAAATTGATACTAACAAATAATAAAAAATGTTTAATTTTTATATCAAAATATATTTTTTGGTAATTACAATTGATGACAAATAAATATAAAAATTAATAATACTTAATTTAAAAATAATACATTTATTACAACTTATAAAAAAACAATAACTGTATTCAGAGATAAAAAAATTTAACTTGGGAAAAAAGTTAATAAAAATTTATAAAGTCAAAAATAACTATACTGTAAAAAAAATATGTAAAATTACATAAATAATAAATGAAAAATTACATGATAAATAATGAAAAGGTAAACATTTCTATTATTTATCGTGTAATTTTACATTTATTATTTATGTAATTTTACAAATGTTTGTGTAATATATTACATATTTTTTTTACAGTGTAGTTGAAGTTGAAAATTAATATATTTAAAATTAACTAAGCTAAATTAAAAGCTATTAATACCTTTTAAATAATTAACTAGTCATTACCCAACCCTGCAATGAATGTTAGAGGAATCTTTTTGTCGCCGAAAGTATGTGAAATTTGATACGTGAAACTTTAGCCTTCGAACGATCGATTTTTCCCCCTTCGTTCTTACCTTCTTTTTGTCCCTCATCGACCCTTTTCCGCGAACCATGATTTTACATCCTGTCTCCTGCTCCAATTGTTTCGCAGTCATGCCTCGTGGGCCCAAAATCCTCCCGACGAAGTTAAACTGTAATCATACGACATAACGAGCTGAATCCCTCCGTGCCTTCGCTGAGAAAAGAATTCGACTCTAATTAAACTCATCGGATTATATCCGTTCGCTAATTATAATAATAATAATAATAATAATAATAATAATAATAATAATAATAATGATAGGAAACGCAGAATGCGGGAGCCTTCAAGATCACTTCAAGATCACTTTCCTAAATTTATGCAATCATTATGATCTTCTGTCTGGGACGAATTATATGTGCATGTGCATATACATGTATGCGCTTGCACTCGTGCATGCGTTTGTGCAACACGCAACATAATAAACACACTCGAAAATAAATATGTATCATTCGAGTTTCACGTGCCGAATCCGCAGAAACCTGGCTTGTAAAACCGTGAAGAAAAAAAGACTTGTTCCTCGCGAGGTATCCAGTTTCATTGTTGGATCCCGGTAAATAAAGGCGAGAGTAAATTTAGACGGTGAATCATCCGGCTCTTTAGCCCGCTGCTGGCACATTTTTTTTCAAAAATATTCGGAAAAAATATCTCATAAATATCTTCATCGTTTCGATATAAAAATAATCGTGTATTTAGAGAGAAGACTTTCATTGTCGAGATGCAAATTTAGAGATGTGACGAGAGAGTTGAAAGATTCTTCACACGTTCTAAAAATTGTTTTTCATCTATTTAATAATAATAATAATTAAATATAATAAAATAAAAATAGAATATAAATATAAAATAAAATATTTAAAATAAAATAAATAGAAGTAAATAAAAATAAAATATTTAAAATAAAATAAATAGAAATAAATAAAAAGAAAAAAATGTTTAAAATAAAATGAATAGAATTAAATAAAAATAAAATAAATATAATAATTAAATAATATAAAAATGTAATGATTAAATAATAAATAAAAAATAATTTAAATAATAATTACAAGGTAAATTTATTTATTTTATGCAACCACCTCAAGTGATAAGAGTGATAAGGTAGCCATCGCGAATGCGTACAGAAGCATTTTCTTTAATTATCGATAACGCGCGGTTTATTAGCGAAAAAAATTACCAATCTCGTAAAATCAGCTGCTCGATAATCGGCGAGTTATCGAGTCGATGGGCGTGTAAGCTCTTGAGTAAAGCCAATCGTGTATACATGTCGCGATAACGGATCGATCGATCGATCGATTGCATCCGTAATGAGTTAATAAACGCGGATGCCACCGTCTTAGATAATTCTTACGCGCTGATAAGATGGATGTAATTAATTATTTTCATTCTGTCGCGTTTCACACTTTAAATAAATTAAATAAAAAAAAATGTGCAAAATTTTTTTTTAAATTGCGCGTAAAAAAAATTCATTCTTCAAATAAAATAAAACAAAGAAAAATCGGGAAAAAAGGAAAATTGCGTATAAGAGAGAAAAATTCGCCCTTCAAATAAATTAAAGAAATCATGAAAAATCGGAAAAGGTAAAAAAGAAAAATTGCATGTACAAGAGAGAAAGAATCTTCCTTCAAATAAAGTAAATAAAAAATTTTTTAAATCGTGAAAAATCGAGAAAAGGAAAATTGTGCGTATAACTCGTCCTTCAAATAAATTAAATAAAGAAAAATCGTGAAAAATCGAAAAAACTAAAGAAAAATTACACGTATAAGGAGAAAAAGAATTTCCCTTGAAATAAATTAAATAACGAATAAAAGCAATCGGAAAAAATCGGAGAAAAATAAAGAAAAATTGTACATATGCAAGACAGAAAGAACTCGTCCTTCGAATAAATTAAATATAAAAGAAAATCATGAAAAATCAGAAAACAAAAATGATGCGTAGATGAGAGAAAGAACTCGCCCTTCGAATAAATTAATTAAAGAATAAATGAATGCGTATATATTTGAGGGGAAAAATTTAAGCACACTCGCGTTCGAAGGGTTAATAAGCTTACACGACCTCGTTATTACGTCTCAATGAGCCGCAGTGGGAGAGACGCGTGCAAGCGAGACGAAGAAACGTGGCTGAGAAGGAAAGGGAGTCGTTTCTTTGGCGCGAACCCTATTTCGGGCGTTACAGAAATAACATTCGGGCGGTTCGATGGTGCATCGCTCGACTTCTCGTCTCGAGATCGACGAGCAAGAGAAGTCTTCTTCCTCCACGAGAAAAATATGCGATGTCGAGTAAAAAAATTTTGTTTTAAAGAAATAAGTTTCTCTTGAAGAAACACGCGGAGAGAATCTTCAGATTCAACAGGATCACTATATGCATATATATATATATTTCTACTATTATTAATATTAATAATACTATTAATATACTATATTAATTAAACATTAGTATATTAATAATATTATTGAACACTAGTATATTGATATAATATTATTGATATTAATATTAACAATAATATATCAATAGTATATCAATAATATATTATTAATATATTATACTATTACTATATAGTATATAGTAATACTATATACCATATAGTATTACCATATAGTATATACTATATAGTATTACTACATAGTATATAGTAACAGTATAATATTAATAATATACTATACTATTACTATATAGTATATATTAATACTATATAGTATATACTATATTATACTATTACTATATAATATATATTATTATAATTAATATATATTATAATATATATACTATTATTAATATTAATAATAGTACATATCATAATATACTATTAATATACTATGGATGTACTATTGATATACTATTCCTATACTATTGATATACTATTAAGATATATTAATATATATAATAATGTTTAATATATATTATATTATTAATTTATACCAATTATTATAACGATATACTATTATTATATATTATAACAATTATATGTGGTTATATATATAGAATATTTTAAAAGATCCGAATTTCGAAAAGATTTAACTCGGTATCTAAGGTCCTTGAGTCTTGTTTAAGTGAAAAAATAATCCGGGAAACACGCCAAGCTTACGTTGCACCGCTGGTGCAACAGCACATGATATGCACCTACGATACGTCATGATACTCACGTCTGGATGTTCTTTAACGGGTACGTAGACCTTCTCTGTGAGAGTCGTGATGTCGCCTTCGGGTTCCGGCAAGACGAGCGGCTCCTTCTTCACTCCGCTGATTTGAAAAAGACTCGCCCGCACCTTTGCGATCTCTGTAACAAGAAATGAGAGAGAAAAGATTAATATAGTCCCAGTGTTGGAGGATTTTTAAATTAGCTAGATCGCTAGAGAAAAGTGAGATAAAAATATCTAAAAGATAAAATCATATGACGATTCATCTAGATAATTTTATTATTTTTATAAAGACCATTTATGTAAACACAGTTGTGAAAAATGTAAATTACATACACAATAAAAAATTGTGTTTTCTTATTAAAAACGGTCCCTGTTAAGAATTTTATGTCAAATATTTAATATATTCATGTGTGTTGATTTAATATATTGCTGTTGTGTTAATGGAATGTTAAATTATTAAAACAACTAAAAAAAGATGTAAAAATAACACAATGTGCATCTATTTTTAATTTTACACAATAAATATGTTCTGTTTTATTAGTGGCAAGATTTATCTGTCAACATTTACAAAATAAAATGTTGATTTCTATTTTATATTTTTAGTTAATTTTTACATTAAAACTATGTTAATTTTATACAAAATTTATTTTAAATTACTTGAAATCTTGTATTTATTTTGTATTAAAATATTAACACAGTATTCGTGTCTCCATTTCACATATATTATAAATGAACAATTAACATAAAAATTTCTGTGGATTGTTTGGGACATGTAAACTCTGTTAAATTTAACACAAATTTTTCAACTGTGTATAAAAGGGATATAGAAATATATTCATACTTTTATTTGTAAACTTTTATCGTTTTTATTGTTTAAATATTTTTATCTGCTATAACTCTAAACCAAATTATCTGAACATTATTCCAGATAATTCATTAAATATTTTTCCAATTAAGATGCAGATATACATATTTTTATTATTTATGTATATATATAAATGACACCAAAAACTTTTAATATATAAATATATATTTTTTAATATATAGTATATAAATAATAATTTAAATAAATATATTATATTATATATTATATAATATTTATAATATATTTATATTATATTATATAATATTTATAATATTTATATAAATTATAAATAAATGATGAACTACACGTATAATTCTATATGTATGAATAAAATATATAAGAAGGAGATAGAAACACAGATAAATGTGCAGCGGGATTTTAATTAAAATCGCTGATTGATCCTAAGAGATCTCGTGAAAGAATAAGCACATCTCAAGTTGATTTCGAATAGTCATTCTCCGATGAATCTGCCCCGGGAAAAGGAAGGGAGCAGCAGGCAGTTATACATATATCATCGAGGAAAACGAAACGAAGCGAAATGAAACCGCGTGCATCCTTCATTCGATAAATAACGTGACGCGGTCGGTCCTTATACGCGCGATAAAAGCGAGCCTGCATAAGCGAACTGCGCGTGTGCGCGCGCGTTTCGTGTCATTGCATACCTCTATATGCACGGCATGCATTCTCACGAACGTATTTATGTATGTACGTAACTTACCCGTGCGTCAAATGCAGCGCTAATAACGGGGCGCTGCGAATCTGGGCGTGGCAAGCTTCTCCTTAAGTTGCGACCAGAAAGGGACTCGAGTGATCAATTCTTTTTATTTCCCGGAGTTTTTTTTTAATCCATTCATTCATTCATTCATATTTATCTTAATTAATATTTTTAATTTTAGCTTAAATAATTTTATTTATATTTTATATTTTATTTTATTATATTTTATTATATTTATTTTATTATATTTTATAAATATTTTTTAAGATATTAAAAATATATAAAAATTTTTTAAATATTAAAATATATAAATATATTACAACTCTCCTATATAAATATATATTTTTAATATATAATATATAAACAATAATTTATATAAATATATTATATATATATATATATATATATATATATATAATATTTATATATAAATTATAAATAAATGATTAAATACATGTATAATTATGTACGTATGTATATAATAAGTGTACTGAGTAATTGATATAATTGACTTAAATTACGATTAATTGAGTTTTAAAGAATTTTTCGACATGTATCGGAGATTTAAAAATGTTAACATTTTTAAATCTCTGATACATGTCGAAAAATTCTTTAAAACTCAATTAATCGTAATTTATGTCAATTATATCAATTACTCAGTAGCTTCTGCTTTCATGGTAAAATCGCAATTAAATAAAAGATCAACTTTAATTTGTAATTGTCGCAATTTGTGAGCAAAATATATACACTGGAAAAAATTGTTAGCTCGAAACCGTTCAACTAAATTACTATTTTGTTAATTGAACATATATTAGTATTTAAGTCAAATATACATTTCTTTTTTTAAATATTTCCATACGTTCAATTAATAAAATAATATTTAATAGTTGAACGATTTAATTAAGTTTACAAATTTTTTTCAGTGTACGCAAAACAATAATTAAAGTTATTTAGAAAACATTATAAAACAAATTTAAATCGTATTCGATAACTCGAACAGCTGTTTACTCATTCAAGAATAATATACAATTGTAATTATTTATCTTTCCAGTTATAAATATTCTAGATATAATTATAATATGATATAATTATAAAAATAATCTTAATATTGAATTAAAAAATTCAATATATTAAATTCATGTATATATTAATATTACATTCAATATATTAATATTGAATTATAATGCAATATATTAGTATTGAGAATTATAATTTAGTATATTTATTCAATTATATTCAATATATTAATATTGAATTATAGTTTAATATATATTAAATATATTTAATTCGAAATATATTTGTAAATTTCTTTGCTCGAGATTTTTCTTCTCCTACGAGATAAGATAAATTTTTCGCGATATAAATTGAAGTGAGAAAGAAAATGCAGAGACAAAAGCTCGCATGCATCGAGGTGCGCGATTTCGCGTAAGTAGAATGCCGTGTATAAGTTGCAAAGTGACGTTTACGTTCGTCCCGTTCTCTCCCGACACCGGTCATCGATGTAGCATCGCGACCCCAAAAGATCGCGCGAGGGCCCCGTCGAATACGTTCTTACAGCGCGTATATCCGCCGCACGTAAAAGGTCAACGTTCCGCGTCTGCCCCACTTTCTCGCATGCCTGACCTCTTCGGCTCTTCGTCGTCTACCTCGTCCTCATCTCCTCCGATGTAATCGTGTCCAAGCGTCCACACGCGACGACGTTTTCCATCGAGAACCTTTTTGCGTAAGAAAAATCGAGGGTCCTCAGGCGAACCCCTCTTTCTCGACGAATTCTTTTTACTAATTAATTATTTTTTTTTTACTTATTTAATTCTTTTTAAAATTCAAAGTTTTCTGGGTAAAACATATCATGATTTTGAACTGTTTCTTCGTCAAATTTTTTATTGGCGACTTTGGAGATAGAATGTATAAATATTTGGGATTTTTAGAATAAAAGATCTGTGCGCGAAATTTATTTGATTAATTAATTTATCGAGCGAATTTTTTATATAAATATCGATATCAACTACTTTTCTCGGCGAAAAAATCTGTCAGATTTTTAAACACATGATTTTGAACTATTTCTTCGTCAAGTTTTTTATTAGCGATTTTGGAGATAGAATGTATATAATAAAAAATATATGGAATTTGTAGAATGAAAGATCTGTGTTATTTTATTAATTAATTCATTGAGCGATTTTTTTAATATAAAATTCGATATCAACAACTTTTCTCGGCGAAAAAATCTGTCAGATTTTTAAACATGATTTTGAATTGTTTCTTTGTAAAATGTTTTATCGATGATACAATAAAAGAAATCCATCCTTTTCTTTTTTAAATAATCAAAAATTCACACGAATGACTGACAATATATTGTGATAAACAAATAAAGAAAGAATAAATTACAAAGAATATAAAAAAATTTTAAATTTGAACGAAGAGACGCAATTTGTGTCGAGCAAACTGCCTTATTAGATTTAAATTGTAAATTATTAATATATCAAGACGAGCGATTAGACGTGTTTTTAAAATCGTAGATGATTCGATTCAATAGCTACGCAGTAAATTGCAGTTTATAACAGTTTACGACTCACATACACATACATACACGAGTTTCCTTTAATGAAGCGCTCGATTATCTTGAAGAGAAGCCAATTATTAGCTACTGAATGGATGTCGTTGTTTTTATCCAATAAACAGTGAGCTTAGATACATGAGTCGCGGCATATAAATTTTTTCTTCTAACAAATTTCTTAAAAATAAAATTACTTAGATAATTTTCGACGAATATCTATATCGAATTTGATGTCAAAACATTCGCTTAATATATTAATAAAATAAATTTCACAGATTGAATAAAATAAGTTTCACAAATTAAATTACTAAATAAAATACATTTCATTAAATTATTAAATAAAATAAATTTCTGTTTATCATATAAAATAAAATCCAATAAACGCGATAAAAAAGAGTACTTGAATTATTGCAATCAATTTTAATAATAAAATTTTTTATTAACAAATGTAAACTGATTTGAGAATTTTCGCTGAGAGAGAGAAAATCGATATCGAATTTGATATAAAAAAATTTGCTTAATAAATTTTATAAATTAATAAAATAAATTTCTATTTATCATACAATAAAATATATTTATCCAAATAAACGAATTTAAAAGAGTAGGTGAATTATTGCGATAATAAATTTCTTTATTAGAAATTTTGTAAAATAGTTTGAGAATTTTTTTGCTAACAATGAGAGAAAATTGATATCGAAAAATTCGCTTGATTAATAATTATAATTAATAAAATAAATTTTAATTAATAAAATAAAATTTTATTAATTTCAATTAATCAGATAAATTGTTTTTTATTTCTCTTAATGATATTTTATTCGCGACTTTGGAGATAGAATGTATATATCGTGAAAAATAAAATAAAATAAAATAATGCGCATTATATCGGTCTTTTAACATCTCCGAGAGTGACTCCTCGTCAATCTACTCCGTGAAAAGGCAATTTCTCGGTTATAAACACGCCGCGCATTGTCATACTTATTTCCAGTAGAAATCGGCAGATTAT